TGTTTGGTTTGTTGTTGTTGTTGATGTTGTTGTTGTTGATGATGTTGTTGTTGTTATTCATTGACAAATAATTTTTTTTCCGTTTTCTATTCTTTGTTTTGTTTAAGTTCTTTGTTTTTTTTGTTTTGTTTAAAATTTGTCTTTGATGTCTTTGTTTAGTGATGTCCGTGTATAATTTTTCAAAAATTTTATTACAATTGAGGCAGCTGTTTTTTTTTGTATTTGTATTTGTATGCAATTTTGTTTGTATGTATTTTTGTATGTGTATATGTATGTATGTGTGTATGTATGTGTGTGTGTGTGTGGCTGTGTGTGTAAGAGTGTGTTCGTTTATATGCCAAAATGTATATACATTCCTACCAGACTAACATTAAACCGTAAGAAAATAACAAATTATTTTTTACAACCGCAGTAAAAACAACAAACTCGACATCATCATCATTATTATCATCACCTACTTTATCATCGTCGTCGTCTTCATCATCATCATCATCATCGCCTTTATCATGATTATCATCATCGTCGTCTTCATAGATATTACTATTTCTTCCTTGCTTTTCGAGGATTAATTAATCTTCACTTTTATTTTTTCGCAATTAATTGGATCTTTAATCATTTAACCATTTATTAAGTAAATCGTTCATTTTGTAATTTTTTTACTCATTCATTCGTTTGTTCGTTCGTTCATTCGTCCATTTGTTCGTGTATTCATCCGCTAATTCCCTAATTCGTTCGTTCATTTCCTCGTTAATTCATTGATTCATTAGTTCATTAATTAACACTAATTCATCCATTCATTCACTCACTCACTCACTCACTCACTCACTCAGCTATACAACGAAAAGCTAGAGCACTTGCAAGAGAAAATAAAGAAGCTGGAGAGAGAGAATAGAATACTGCAGTCATTATTGAGGGGTTATGTTTCACATGCAAGTCTTCTCTACGAAGTTTGTACAGTGCTAATTACACTTTTATTATTATTATTATTTGTATTGTTCATGTCGCGAGACGAGACGTAATGTTCTGGTTTGAGACACCGAAACAGGAAAACCTCTCTCTGGCATCTACTTAATTTGAATAGTGTTTGTAAGCTGACCAATTTGTGTTCAAACGTTGGAAGGGTTTATTATTATTGTTATTATTATTATTGTTGTTATTATTATTATTTTGTTATTATTATTATTATTATTATTTTTGACTTGTTGGAAACAGTTGTCGAATGCTCAGAATTTTTTCAACTCATCTTTTCTCAGCTGTATTTTCATTTTCAATTTATTATTATTATTGTTGTTGTTATTATTATTATTATTAATATTATTAATATTATTATTATTTTGTTTGTATTCTCTTTTTAAATAATAATTAGTTAATCAATTTCTAATCGTTTAGTCTCAGACGCGCTCACAACAGCAACAGTTACAACAACATCAAAAACAACAACATCAGCAAAACAGCATCAAAGAAACGTTAACCAACAACAACAACAACAACAACCTATTATTAACTAAATCCACCACCACCAACAACAACAACAACAACAGCAGCAGCAGCAACAACAACAGCAACAACAACGACGACGACGTAAAAGAACTCCGAAGAAATTCAAGCCTCTCCTTGAACGATTTCCTTGATGACAGCGCCGACTTAGCCGACTCTATTAAAAATGACAGCTACGTTAGTTCTGGCAACTCGTCGTTAGACGATGATGGGGAAGATAATGTGAAGAACTTCATAGAGTTCAGCTACGATAAAGGCGACGGCATATCGTCGAAATCAACGGTTTTGTTGGGCACTCCTAGCGAGAAAGACGACGATGATGGTGTCGTTGTTGTTGTTGGTGGTGGTGGTGGTGGTGGTGGTGGTGGTGGTGGTGGTGGTGCAGGCGGTGCTGGCAATGTTTCCGCGCTTGTGATCAATTCTCTCCATGCCGATGAGTTCTTACAAAAGTTTACCTCAGTTAAAAACAATAATAGTGAAAGAGAAAGCACAAAAACCTACATTCACAATGGCATTAATAACGTAAGCGAAGATAACATCAACAGTAAAAACATTAACAGTGATGACATCAACATAGGCGCCTGTCTTATCAACAAAAACAACAACAGCCTTGATGTCAGTGAGGAATCTAATAGCAATAACACCAGCAACAACAATGACAACAGTAACAAAAGTCACGAAACACTAAGCAAAACATCAGACATCATTAGCTCAGCTAATCTAAGTAGCGTTACAACGATCAGTTTGAATGATTTTAACACAAAACAATCAATGAATTTTAGCACGGACTGCATTTTAGACCCCAAACATTTAGACGATTCAACTACCCTAACCAAAAATCATTCACAGTTTTTGAAACTTTCACAAACTCCACTACAGAGATGCAACTCAAACAGCATTCCTAATTTAACTTGCCTACAGAAGACTTTCGAATCTAACACTACACACACAAATTTGTACGTAGGCCACTTAAGTCAGGATAAAAAGTTGAAACGTAAAAGTTTAGATGATTCGGTAACTTTTGAGAGAAAATTTTACAAAATGACGCCTTATCAGAAAGATGTTGAGAGAGTTATTGATTTCTTTCGTTCGTCTGATAATTCCAATGCTAGGAATACAAAATCGAATGTGGTCATATCGAAAGATAAGGTGAACGAGTTGAAGAAATATTTTGAATGTGGTGAGGTCAAGACAAAAGCGAAATTTTTGCGATCACAATCTGAATCAAAAAAGGATTGTGAGAAAATTGCTGCACCTAGAAACTCAAAGCGTGGCGAAACGAACTCAAATATACAGGGCGACAGTACAAGTAACGTGACTGTTTCATATCAGGCTGATGAAAATAACTTCCCTTTGAAAAATAATATCACGAATGTATGCACAGTGAATGGTAAGACAAACGACAACTCTACAAACACTTACATTCGCGCCTCAAACACACAAAATAATAATGCTGAAAATATCCCCAAAATACCTTCCTTGAAGAGCAAATTAAAGAACATGAAATCGTCAAAATTGGCCGCAACCGACAAAATAACAAATGATCACAATCAAAAGTTTCGCAACAACAACAACAGCAACAATTTCATCGAAGCGCAGACTACAGAGCATGAAACATCAACAAAATCAACGAGCACAAAAGAAGCAAAACCAAACAAAACACCATCCACAAGAAACCAATCCATACCTCGTTTAGACGTTTCGAAGTACGTAACATCAAAGCCCAAACAACAAATACTCGACAAGCAAAAACCGAAACTAACAATTGGTACAAGTAACATCTCGGTACATCGGCAATCTCGAGCCTCTTCTGTACCGTCACCAATCTTACCGACAAAAATCCCTCAAAAGCGAACAAAAGAACCGGCAACACCTCAATTCAGAGTAACAGTCGCGAAATCAACGAGCTTAAAATCATTTAGCGATGTAGCCATTAGCAAATCAGTTAAAACTTCAACAAAGTTAAACCAAAACAACGAAAAATGGCTCAGTCGAAATTCGACCAGAAAATTAACTCAGACTTGTAAAACAACATCGGCATACGGTTGCCACAATTCATGCGTGATAACGGATATAGAGAAGTATAAGCTGGGTAGTGGTAACTTTAACGATGGGTTGCTTCTGCCTGTGCTTCACGAGAATGTCTGCAATGTGGATGACTCGTCGAATTTCGGCAACAACAGCAACAACAACAGCAACAACAACAACAACAACATGGTAGATGACGACAAGGTGCTCGTTGTTGATCTTGCTCATGATACAACAGAATCTTCACTGGTTAGTAGGAGAGAATATTTCACGTTTCAGGTTTTTATTCAGTTTAACGACATTCGATTATTTAATTTTTTTAATTTAAAAACTAATCCTTATTAGAGTAGCGATGACTTTAGTAAGATAAAAGATGAAACGAACAGCGTCTGCCATTCAGAATTTTCAACGAAATCGGAGCCCTCACCCAACTTCAACAAGTCATCCTACCTGCGATCATCCTTCAATCAAAAATATCTACAATGCGTTAACAACAACAGCCACAAAAACGCCACCACAAACAACCACCACAAACACGCCACTACAAACAACCACCAAACAACGCCACAAGCCACGTGTGGCTGCAGAATAAAAGCCCAAGCGACTACAGATCAAAAACAATTCACGCCAAAAATTACAAGACCCAAAATTCAAACGGTCAAAAATAATAACCTCGTATATTCAAAAACATCGTCACCTCGAAGTGATAAACTGATTAACGTTAATGTCCAAACTATGCAAGTAAAACTACCTCTCAAGTCGCAAATGCCAACACCATCAGCACAAAGACTAGAAAACATTTCATTTCAGGGAGACGATGCAACAACATTATACTACGAAACTCCGTCACAACAATCAACAACAACCAACAACAACAACAGCAACAAAAATTCGCAAATCCCAATTAAATCACCACTACCAACTGATGAAATCCTACCTGTCAGCAACTCAATAAACCGTTCGAAGCTAATCAGGACGGCACCATTCGCTAGCGTTTCATCCAACCTAACTGATACAAAATACTCAAAACCAAACTCATCAAAACAACCGGACAGAAACTCAACAGAGAAAAAATCCCACTACAAAATCCCACAACATCTCAATCCAGCTCTGCGACCAAAACCAACAAACGGACAAATCGGCGTGCCATCGTGCATAAGAATGTCTCCGGATATCTTACATTTTAGGAAAAAATTTGACGCGACAACTTCAATTACCTCACCACAACAACCGCAACAGCAGCAGCCACTTACTCCACAGCATCAACAACAACAGCAGACCAGTACTAATTCAGACAAACCAGTCCAGATCCTTTTAACTTCGGCCGCTAGAAACGAGCCATTCAAACCGACGGTGGAAAAAAATAAATCAAAATCTGGCTTTCATAATAAGGACAATAATATTAACCATAGCAATAATAATAATAATAATAATAATAACGATAGTAATAGTAATTCGGTATCGAGTGGAGATTCACCGGCTTCAATATCAACTTCGTCGGATGCTGATGAAGTGTTTGAAAGTCTCTCGAAGCAACTGGAAGACCTCACCAAAGTAGCTAACAACAACAACAATAATAATAATAATAACAATAATAATAATAATAGCAATAATAATAATCGTAACGTTAAAAATGGTATTAACCAAAAGTCAATGCATATGAGCACTATAGTTTGAAACTAGACGCAGATCATTCTTCCGATCATTCATTCATTCATTCATTCATTCATTCACTCATTCAATCAATCAATCATCAATCAATCAATCAATCAATATTCATTCATTCATTTAACCCTTCAATCAATCGATATAACAAATAATAATAATAATAGTAATAATAACAAAAACAAGTTAAAAATAAATTAATTAATAATTTTCGAATCATTTCTTTCATCCGCTCAACGTATCCATGACCATAATGATGTCTTCATTAAGTAGAGTTGTCATGACCATAATGATGTCTTCATTAAGTAGAGTTGTGCTAATAAAAATTAATATACAAACAAACTGATTCGGATTTTATTTCTAAAAACACGTCTGTAATACACACACATATCTACACACACATATCTACACACACATATATATACACACACATATATACATACAAAATCACACACCAATACACACAAAACATACAAACAAAACATTCCTGGCAATTTCGATTGAAACCAAACGATAACAACCGATTATCAAATGTTATTTTAAATCACAAATCTAAAAGCAGGCAAACAAAAAATACTAACAAATTGAAATTAAACACACAAAATGAAAAACCAACAGCATAAAAGTTATTTTCAAATTTTTTATTCGATTTTTATTTTTATAAATAAATAAAATAGAAAAGTACATATTAAATAGTTTTGATTGATTTGTTATGGGAGGAGCTAAGTAGAACAGGAAGATGTAACAGCATGGAATACGACGGCTCTGGATGAATGAATGAATGAATGAAAAAGTGAATGCATGCATGTTTGAATGATTAACGATTAAATCAATCAATCAATCAATCAATCAATCAATAAGTGATTGGATCAATGTGGAATGAAAAAAATGAATCTCCGAAAATGTTTGTTACTAATAAGAAACCTTTTATCTGACTGAAATGTAGAACAAATCCTTATTTTACATAAAAATTATGAATGAAAAAACATATCAATTATAACCTAAAAATTATGAAATCAATTAATTATATAATTATATATAATTATATACCATTTAGAGACATTGAAACCTGGATCCACATTGTCAGGTATGATTTTATATTTTCTTCACAAGTATTGTACGCATTAATACCTCTTAACATGGCAATCTAGTGTGGGTTTGTGCGTGCGTGTGTGTTTGTGCGTGTGTATATGTACGTGTGTGTGTGCGTGTGTATATGTACGTGTGTGTGTGTACGTGTGTGTGTACGTGTATATGTGTGTGTGTACGTGTATGCCAGATGTTTATGTAAATTCTCTAATAACAATAATTATAATAATAATCATCTACATCATCATCATCATCAAATTTAAAAAAAAGAACCAAAGAATAAGAAATCTGACATCTCTCAATGTGGAGCTATTTATAGAATCAATCCCCTCCCTTTGCATAGACAAATCAATGCTTCGAATTAAATTCAAATCTTTCATTATTCGTGATCTTCTGGTGGAAATTTCTAGCCCCTGGCACAAGTGCCACTTTTAGAAATGGAATTAAAAAGGGAATGTGAATTTTTAACAAAGTTACCCAAAAAATTATAAATATGCTAAGACTATCCATATCAATAATATACTGCGAGTGAATGAGTGAATGAATGAGTGAATGAATGAGTGAATGAATGAGTGAATGAATGAGTGAATGAATGAATGAGTGAATGAATGAATGAGTGGATGAATGAATGAGTGGATGAATGAATGAGTGAATAAATGAACACATGAGCGAACAAAAGAAGGAAAAAATTAATAAAATAAAAGACAACAGCAAACTGACCAAATGAATTTTATGCCTCTCCATTAAATGTTGCAGACCAAATGGTAGTGTGGTGAATATGTCCTGGAATTTTAAAATCTCGCCGACTTCAACATCGTCCCCTTGCTTTATCTGATAATTATGACCGAGTGAATGGTCTGATTGAATGAATAAACAAACAAACGAACGATCGAGCGAACGAACGTATGAACAAACGAACGAACGAACAAAACAACAACAAACATACAAGGCAAGACAAAAGAAATACAAAAAAACACCTTCTTAAGTAAGTGGCAAAAGTTTTCTTTGATATAAGTATCATGTATAGACGATGCATGGTTCTCTAGATAGGCCAGTATCTTAATATAATGATACTCTCTCGACTGCAAATCCTCAATGGAGAATGATATCTTCTGTAAATCGGACCAGAAGTGTGGGCTTAACATGTACTTTGGATACATGTAGTATCTGTTTGTGTGCGCGTGCGTGTTTGTGTGTGTTCTTGCATGTGTGCGTGCGTGTGTGTGTGTACGTGTTGATTGAATGTGATTAATTGGTCATGTATGTGTGTTTATATTGCACGTTCGTATAAACTGTTGTTGAATGGCTGATTTGTTGATTGATTGATTGATTGGCGACTGATTGGTTGGCTGGCTGCTGATTGAATGGATTGATTGATTAACCGATAGAATTGTTAAAAATTGAATAATAACGGTAGGAAGAAAAACGAGAAAGAAGAAAAAAGAGAGAGAAAAAAAAATTATGGTAAGAGAGGAAGACAGCAACTTGAAAGATTGAATAGATTGATAAAGAGAGAAAAAAAGAGAGAGAAAAAAAAGAGAGAGAGATACAGACAAAAATTTCTAACGCAAGCGGGAAAACGATGTATTGAGCTAGAGGGACTGGCAAGGAAATAATGAGTGGAGCTGATTTCAATAAATACTCAGGCATCTAAAATACAAAAAAATAATTTGTTTAATTATTTAAATATTTAAAAATAATAAAATTGAAATAATGAATAACCTGTTGGTATAGAAATAGTTGCTTGCAAGTGAAAAATGACAAAGGAGCACCAGAGTTAATTCTGTTTGATACATTGTAATATTCTTTAATGTCTCTGAAAAACTCTAGGACCCCTTTTAAAAAATTATCCTTTCGTATTAAAATCGCGTCATAATTATATTTTTTCATCACATTTTAATTAAATTATAATAATTTTTATAAAAAATTGATGAGTTTTTCATATATTTTAACTAGTATAAAACTTGAATCAACATGTGATGATTAAATTAATACAATAGAAATATTAGCAATAACTCTATGGTAAAATGAATATTAATCAGAATCAGAAATATAAAATAAGTTCAAATCTTTCAATAATTTTATAAACTTTATCAAATATAAAAATAATAAAAAAAAAAACAAGTAACCATTTTTGAATAATTTAAAAAGCCTATGAGCATTCGGTAGAGATTCTTTGAATCTCTCATCAAAATTACCCAACTGCCTGAGATATTTTAGAGTTAGGAAGTTTTTCAATCTGCTTTGAAAGGTCAGCTGCTGGTGTCTTCTATCTGTCTCTGTTGAAATGTGTCTAGTAACAAAAATTGTTAGATATTTCATAAATTAAGATTTATTTGGTTTTAAAAGACATTTAAATTTAAAACTATATCAACAAGTAAGTATTAAATCGCTTTTTAGTCATAATAACATAAATATTGATATATATAATATCTTTTTCTTTTTGAAAAAATTATCAATTATGCAAAAAAATTAAAACTAACAAACAGTGAAATTTAAGATGACTAGAAGGAGAAAAACATGCAACCAGCTTACCTAACGTTATTAATTAGTGAAATATATGATCTGGATCGTCTGCTGTGATGACGGTGAACTGGAAGTATAGCATTCATAGAGATTTTGGTCAGGCAAATTGATGGTGTTAAAAGAAAAAGTGCCATGCAAGTTAATTATGATCGAAATAATAAATTGAAATAAATATTATTTAACGATTATATAATTAAATGATTAAAATCAATCGCAAATTCTTCCAGCAAAATTATGAAATTAGTGGCTTGACTGATTAGTTATTAGTACTTTATTTAGTAGAAGAACTTTAAATGAAACAAAAGCGAACCTAATCTTAAATAGAAAAAGTAAATTAAGCTTTAACAAATTAAAAGAAAATCTAAAAGAAATTTAAACTAAAAGTGAATTAGGTAATTAAACATTATACGTTAAAACCTTTTCCTAAAACTATTATTCACGTTCTTACAATAATTTAAACGCGTTCGTCTTTTCGGTAACAAACTCAACCGTACATTTTACAATCAGGATACATTTTGCTTTCTAAGTTTGCTTTTTTTTCTCAAAAAATACCCAACTGCGTTAAGTCTTTACAATTTTGATAAAATAAAAAATAATAAATTGCCGAAAGAAAATAAACTGATGTTTCATTAAAATAAACTAATCAAATAAAACTAAGAAAAAATTCATTCCAAAATATATAGATCTTGATTAAGCAATTATTAATCAACCTGACGTAAATAAACCAGATCAAGGATAAAGCATATTAAAGCAATAATTAATTATAATTAAAATAATAATTAGTAAAATATAGGAATAATTAATATGGAAAAAGAAAGATTGAATAAACTGATGATGAGTTGTTGTCATCATCGGCAGTGTAAGGCTCCATGTGAAGATGTTGCTTCTGTTCTTTCGCATTTTCCAACTCATTCTGTTCATTTCCGTTTAGAACATTTTCACCACTCTCATTCGGTACATCATCATCCTTGCCATCACCGACGCCAACGCCGTGATTGTAATTAGCACAAATATTAGCGCATTTCTTATCAATACCAACACCATCTTTGCCGAAATAAACGTTATCATTATCACTACCCTTATCGTCTAGTTTCGAATAACGCCCACCAGAATAACCACCAAATTTTACGCCAATGACGTCACCAACGTAGTAGTAATTAGGTTCAAATATGGACACGATGGTGAGATTAGTCGTAGGATTGGCCGGGGGGTGCAAGTTCACGTTGAGCGATTTCATGTGGCAATATGCAGTAGGAGTGATTGCTAGTGAACATACGCCCAGTATGTAAGCCGCAGTGCAGTAAGCCGTCACCTTAGTAATTGTGAAAATATATTATTTATTATACTCTTATAATAATAACAATTGATATGATAAATACAATAAGAATTGAGATATAGTAAGTGACAATGGGAGAGATACCTTGTAAAATTCTAGACAGAGGAGTGCGAATTTTTCAGCGAAATCGTAAGCAAGGTCATTATCGTAACGGACTGCAGTATTACAGCCAACATCACCATCGTAGTGGCTATTTTTTATTTCCGGGATAGTCGAAGTTAGGACGTCGACATCGGTGTACGTGAAAAAATTTTGATTGCGGGCTAAATATTTTCTCCAGGCTATCCTGTTAAAGTTAAGCACATTTATTTTTCAAGTTAGACACATATACATACATACTTATTTTCATGCATACACACACACGCACACACACATACACACACCAATGCATACAAACGCATATATACAATGATGTATATACACACTCATACAAACAATCAATCAACCAATCCTCGTTTATAGTCTCCATCCGTACAAACAAACATATTTATATTTATTTAGACATACAAACACATATACACACATCATTACATACTACACAATTTTAAATAAGATAAACGTCGGAATTAAATGAGATAACTTTTTGTAGTCACTCATTCCTTCATCAATTGATTGTTAATCAATCAATTCACTCACGCAATCATTCATTCATCCACCCATTCATTCATTAAAAAATTATCTAATGGCCTTTGTTCGATTTCCATTAAAAACGACCAAAATTCATTATTGCTGACGTGCACATCCCATTCCTGTAGAGAACAAAGAAATTTAAAATCATAAATCTTAACATAAAAACATAAATACGAACAAAAATTCATAAGTGTAAATATAACCAGAAAAACAAACAAAAAATAAACAAACATTTATAAATATGAAAACAAAAAATATAAAGAAAAGGAATGAAAGGGAGAAAAAGAAATACAAACAATAGCACTAAGAAATTCTCTTTCCATGTCGTGTAGTTCAGCTGCTTCAAGATTGTTACCACTGCTTCGACTAGCCAGTAACCAATGTTTGAGTCTTATGTCCTCATCTTCACCTTCATCGATAAGATACTTTGAGGCCACCATCTGAAATTATAAGAAAATCATTTATTCATTCTTTTGTCTCATCATTCATCCACCAATTCATTCCATCATTCACTCATTGGGAACCAGTCATTTCTCTGCTTATTCATTCAACAGTTCACTCATCTATTTTAATTTATTCATTCAACAAACCATTCAATCATTCATATTTCTATTCATCATAATCACCATGGAAACAAGAAACAGGTCGGTTGAGGAAACATTATCAAGGTATTCGTTGTCTTTGGTCTTCAGTCTTTTAGCATATATCAGAGCCATCATTAGTGTGCAGGATGAAATGTAGGTACCACTATAATATTGGTGTTTGATTAAAAATGGATTTATATAATAAATGAGAATAGATCATTTAATAAAAACAATGATTCTAATTGAAATATTGATGATGGAAGTTAACTACAACAGTGCAATAAAAACTACATCAACGATATAATTAAGATATAATATCATAAATGATAAAATTTATTATTATAACAATGATATCAACCTGCATACAGATGATATCCAATACATATCTACCTTACCAAGGCCTCTTTGAGAAACCCTATTCATATAATCTACTGCAAGTTCTAGAAAAAAATATTATATTTTAATTAATCATAAAAAATTATAAATAAAATCATTGGTTATATAATTGCCCTAAGAAAATTTATTTATTTTTTTGTATAATTAATTAATTTATCTATTTTTCTATTTTATAAACACTATTTATTAGACAATTTATTAATAACTCATTATGCTTAGAGATCAAACAAAACTTTTATAATAATTAGCAAACACTAATACTATCATTTTGAGGTAAGATTCTAATATTATTGATAACATTCAGTAATAACTGTCATAATGTTCACTTTAGCTAGAAATATATGAATAAAGGTAGGAAAAACGTTAAAAAATGATGTTCTATATGTGTAAGAATAGAATGTCAGTGTATGTAGTAAATACTGAAAAAAAATGTACTTACCAGTTAGTGAAAGAGAAGGCCTGTTATTTCTGTTCTTTGATGACCTATACATCGTTTTTTTAATTCTCTTCTTAAAATTTATGTGGTCTTCAAACTGCAAATAAAATAAATTAAATATGAATAAAATTACAAATAAATGATATGAAATGAATTGGAACAAATTGAGATGGCATAATTCCCATAATATATCATATCAGGATATATGCCATTTCAATTTGTATTCCCCAGTAATCTAAAACATCGTTGCGTACGTTTCATTTTGTAAAATTATCAAATAAATGAACAAATAAATTATAAATACAAAACGAAAACCGACCGAGTAAAAAATTTGAAACGAAACTAACATCAACGTCGTCCCACTCATCTTCAGTTTCCGGAGCCGAACAGCAGGAGAAAAAATCAATAAACATAATTTAAATAAAAAGTTATTAAAAATTATTATGGATTTTTATTTAAGAATATAAATCATTAAGTTATATAATGCAATATGACTGAGAAATGTTAGAAAATCATAGAAAATGCAAAATTGAAAAGGTGCATAACGATACACGCGTAAAAGCTATGGAATGCCGAAATCGTTTTTAAATAAAAAATAATTTGCAATCGTAATGAAAAAGTAAAAATGGTACAAGAATAATCATTTGAACGTTTTTAATATAGCCTGTGCAATAATTTAATTTTATAAATTGTGGCACTGATTACCGCGGCTCATACAGAGTGTATCGAATGTTATAAACTATGATATATTTATATATATTGTTGCATGGTTTATGATGATTTTCAAATTAACTTTACACTTTTTCTATTATACGGTATACCATAAAAGTTTTTTATGGTAAATGCACACATAAAAATTAAGACATTGATGGAAAAAAACACCTCTAATATCAAAACTGCAAACAGTTTACCATAATTCTACTTAATTGTGCGAACATTTTTATTTAAGTTTCATTTTCATTTGCTAAAAGTAAATTTAGCGAACATTTTGCGCGAGATATTATTTTTATAAAAATTGTATTTGATTGAATAATTTTACAAACATTTTTAATTAGTAATTGTAAAAAAATATGCCACGAGGTATTTTAAAGAGTAAAGTTTGGAAATATGAAAGTAAATTTACGTTTTTTCGATCTCACTCTATCACTAACTTTTATTTTATTATAGATTTTTTATATTTACTAAGAAATGAATTATGAATTTGAAAAAGTTCTTTTAAGATATGGACCTTAACTAAAATTTTAAATCAAATCAATCTGAGATAAAATCATTTGAATAAAATTAAGTAGGACAAACCACAAACATAATGCTGCTAAACCAAAATGTTTAATTTTTAATAACTCCAAAACATAGATGATGGTCTAGGCAATCAACCTATTGAGTCAAGGTGGAAAAAATACTGGCTGGAGATCGATGATTATCATGGTAACCTGACATGGTACGAAAAGTTCAGGCCTTGTACATTTAGGTCCATTGAAATATCAGTTAGTAAGTTATCATAAATAATTTATTTATAAATTGTAAATTTATTATTTAATTAAAATAAAAGTAAAAAAATAGGTTTATTGTTTAATGTGCTATGATAACTCATTAAATTAAAAGTGAATTTTCGTTAATTATAACAATTCATTTCTATATTTTATAACAATTATTAAATTCATGAATAAATCTTTTCCAATAAATTTTCAAGAAAATTGTAAAATATTTCACGAATGGTGAGGATTGTGAATCTATACCTTCCTGCCCTGCCGTTCCTGAAAGTAAAACTTACCGAAACATGTTCGCCTTCCCAGAAGACATCGACAACGACCCAAACAAAATAGTGTTCTTTGTCGTTAGCAGACCACAGCATTGTAGGTTAGGATTAATTTTACCATGATATTAGATCAATGTTTACTGTTTGCTTTTTTTATATTTAAAAATTCTTTCCTAATTCTACAGGCTCTGGTCAGAAAAAATAAAGAATTATGTAAGTAGATGATTAATTTTATTATTAAAATTTGTGTGTGTGTGCATGTGTGCTAGAACTTGTATCATATTATCATTTACTAAACCAACAGCAGCAACAAGATGGTGCTGGTAACGATGATGATGATGTTGATGATGATTCCAGCAAAAAACAACCTTATCATAATGATGAAGAAGAGGATGGTGATAATGATGATGATGGTGATGATTACAATCCTCATCATCATAAACATCAACGGCATCATCATCATCCACCATTCAATGGTCATAAACAACGGCATCACCAACTTCTTTCAAATAATTATGATAACGGTGATGATATGGAACTCCAGTATCATGATTTTAAAGACCATGACTACAGGCATCCACCACAGCAGCTACAGCAGCCACCACAACGGCCACAACTTCCTGATAATGATTACATCAGACATCATCATCATCATGATCGTCATCTTCTTCTAGATGGCCGTGTTCAACCTCTCCATTATTATTCAATTGATGATGATGATGATTATGACGCTAGCAGTGCTGATTATGATGAGGAGGAGAAGAAGGAAGATGGTGGTGTTGGTGGTGGTAGAACTCATTATGGTGATAATCAGATTTTACTTCCACGTCAACATCAACGACAACAACATCATCTTCAAAAACAACAACAAAATCATCCTCAAATTCAACAACAACAACAAAATATGCAACAAAAATATATGCAGAAACAACAACATCCAAAACAACAACACCATCAACAACACCTTCAACCTAATCACTCACAGCAACATCAGCAACAACATCCCAAACGCAAACATCATCAATCATCATATTACAAGCAACAAGGTATGGTTTTTGTGGGATTGTATGGAGTTTCAACTATCAATAATTGTTTCTAGTATAGTATTAAATGCATGTGTACCCATATACACAAATAATACGCAATAATACCTAAATTGTATACACCAATACCCAATTAATACACCAATTATGTATAAAATTTTTCTCTAAAACTTACAGATAGAAAACAAACAGATAGAAACCGAACCAGCCAGGCAACTAATGAGGATTTATACGACGGTGATGTTGAGAATGTAGGAGCGGATAACACAAACCCGACATTGAAAGTTGGCTCTGCAGACGTTTGGCACCTGGTCGGCAAGCAGAATTATGGAGTTACTTCCTTGATTCCAAAGCACTCGCTTGATTTCCTCTGCATCCAAAATACAAAATTCGATAAGGGACATTTCAACACGCGCGCGCACGGCTGCAAGATGTTATCTCTTGGGGGCAAATCTAACTCGCCGTGTGTCGGTGTGATAATCAGCGAGAGATGGGTCAAACAAGTTTCAGAGTTCAAGTACATTGGCAAGGAAATTGTCGTAGTTAAGATAAAAGGCGATGCCATTTGTGTGCTGTCCGTCCAGTGTCCAAAGGTTTTAGAAGAGATTGAAAGGTTTAAGTTTTTTGAAAATTTAAGAGACTGTCTGAAATCTCTGATCGAGTTTGAGTTGATCATCATCTGCGGTGGGTTTGAAGGGCAGTCGTATATGGAGAAGGACGATCGTACTCCCATCCTCAGGGAAGGAATTAATAGCAGAGACGCTGGCATGCTACTGAAACTAATCAATGAAATGAACTTAACTCTGGAAAACACACACCTCCTCAATAGAAATTCATTCTCCAATGGCGATCTTTACAATTTCATTCTCACTCGCAACAATGGCGCAAATAAATTAGCCGAAGTACGTACCTGCTCCGAACTGCTTCTGCTGGGACACACGCTGTCGCTGGCTACTTTTGCCGGCGATTTTACCGTCAGCGGTCATTATTTCCGTAATGAAGATTCCGATTAGTCTCGTGTTTTATTCTTCAGTGAGGTCATCCGTGGTAGACTTCTGTGTCGGCATTTTGTCATGGGGCCATTTTCGTCATCGCCATCAGCTATGAGACTTTCTCCATTGTTTTTTATCTATTGATGTTCTGCATTTAGGATGTCACAGTAACCGATAAAGTGATGTTCTTTATTCTTTGTTGTGTTTTGAGTTTTGTTTCTTTACTTAAGGATGAACAGTTACGACGATTCATTTATAGTTTTGCTATTATTATCGCTACCACTAATGCTGCTATATATAGAAGTAAGAAATTTTTTTTGTTATGTGTTGTGAATGGTGTTCTACACCTGTGTTTATGCTTTCTTAATGACGTCACCGTTGCACTCTGAAGCACGTGTTTTTAAATTACGTTAAGTTGATTCGTTCGTTATTAAATCATTTCTCGAATGACGTATGGAATAAATGATCGATGGATGGATTGGTTGATTGAGTGATGGTTGGATTGGTTGATTGATTGATAATTGGATTGGTTGATAGATGGATGGATTGGTTAATTGAATGAGCAAATTGTTATGATGTTGTATTTATATCTGAAAAAGATAGTTTCTCTGCTTTTTTTGCTCTATCATTATTTTGGATAACTTATAAATACATTACATTTATATCAATGCATACTCCTCTTCTAACCAGTATAAGAGATAGACCAATCAGCATGTGTGTGTATCTCTGTGTGTTTGTGTGTGTGTGCGCGCGCGTGCGTGTGTGTGTACCTACACATATATACGCAGACAACGTACATACACGTACACATAATTCAATGTACCATTGTCGTACATGCGTGTTGCAGAAAAATTCTAAAAGGTCTTTTTTAATATGGAAATGAAAAGAAATATGAAATCTAAACAGCACATCCCTAAACGGACATAACACGCACAATGAAAAAATATACATACATACGTACATACATGTATACATACATGCATGCATACATACGTACATACGTGCATACATACATACTTACATACATATGAGTATATATAAAGGAAATGCATGCATATAGCCAGACGTAATCAACATAATTCTCTTCTTGCTTTGTTCTTCAGAGTCCGGTCTCTAAACGATCGCCTTATTTGGCAGTTCTTTCTTTCATTCATTCGTTCTGTCGTTCGTTCATCAAGCTTTCATTCCCTAATTTATTGCAGAGAAGTCGGCCAGAATCGATATTCGAAGATACCTTTCAATCGCATCCTAATTTTTAGAAGTTAGTTTCTCACTCGGGTAGTCTTCTACACAAAGGAGAGAGATATCGAGAAAAAGAGGGAGAAAAATAATAAAGGAATAAAAAGAAAGAGAGTGAAAATTGAAGAAAAGAAGATAAAGAACGAGATAAAGAAATTATTTCATAAAGAAGAAATTGTACTTTGATTCAACTCTCTAACTGCAATTTAAAACGGTCAGTTTTATGATTTTATTTACTCATTTGATATTCGTAACATAAATTATTATAAAATGATTGTATCATATTAATGATTGTATCATGATATATATCTGATGACGATGATGAGATAGAATTATTATAGACGATGATGATGACGCCGGCTATGATGCAATTTAAGATGATGGGGGGGTGATCATTTGTAATTATACCTGTTAAAATAATTATTTGTGTCAAGTGATTTTTGCTATTTAGAGGATAATAATAGTTAATTATGCAAATAATAATAGTAATAATAAACAATCATAATAATAATAATTAAAACAATAATAGTAACGATAATTATACTGGGCATTATTTTTATTCATTTTAAAATCCAACAACAAACGCAAATAAACTGTCTGCCTATTTCTTCGCTACAATTATCGTTGAATCATTACTGTTATTATTATTATAATTATTGTTGTTGTTGTTGGGAGAGAGAGAGAGACAGAAGAGAGAGATTTTAAAGAAAATTGATAATTGATCACAAAGTTTAATGATGAAGTTTATAATAACGTTTAGTTAGTCCATTCTTATTTTAAATTATATCCTTCTTCTCTTTGTTCCGGCCTTCATTCATTCATTTTTTATCTTTTTTTTGTTCTTTCATTCGCTCATCCATTCATTCATTCATTTGTGCATTTTTTAATTCTTACGAAATAAGTAGCATTTTATTTATTTTCACAACCATAAATTCGTTAAATCACTTATCTGTCCTTTATTCAATCGTTCATTCATTCTTCATTCAATCCATTCATTCACTCGAATTTATTCATTCATTCGTTATTCAATCCATTCATTCACTCATTCATTAATTCATTGAACGGTTATAAAGCAATGTTCTAAATCTTACATAACGAAGTCTTCGATAAATATTATAATGCAAATACGTATATATTTCTTTTACTACAATGATAATAATGATGACGATGTAATAATAAACAATAATATATCCAGTTTTAATAATGTGTGTGTGTGTGTGTTTGTGTGTGCATGTGTATGTGTGTTTGTTTGTCAAGTGCAAATGCCTTGTTTGATGCTTTCTTTGAATGGAATGAATGTTTTATTTATTTTGTGGTGATGGTTGTCCTGGCTGGCTGGCTGGTTTCATGTTTCTTCTCATGTTGAAATTTCGATTTTAATTGAAAAATTGAAACATCTGCAATAACAATAATAATAATATTAACAATAATAATAATAATAACTTATATTATTATTTAACTAGTTATAACACTTATAGATTAAGAATATTTTCGCATATATATATATATCCTCATTGGTTTTTAAGAATTCTCAAATTACAAAAGAAGAAAAACGAAATAAAGTGAATGAATGAATGAATGTACGTATCGACGGACGGATGGATGGATGGAAGCACTGATCAATGGATGAATGAATAATTGATTGTATGAATATGTACATACATTCATCTCCATCTATACATTCATTCATTCATAATCGATTATATATATATATATATATATATATATATATATATATATATATATATATATATATGTGTGTGTGTGTGTGTGTAGTATGGTAAAAATACATACACATGTTGTATAAAATACCTATATTACTCACATATATGTATTAACATTTTATAACACATATGCCACTATAATTACATTAAACGCGGGCAGACATACGTAAATACAAACATTCATATACATACATACATATACATACTTCTACATACATACATACATACATACATACATACATACATACATACATACATACATACATACATACATACATACATACATACATACAGCAGCTCCTGCATGCAAACATTGTAGAAGATTATTCACCAGTCTCTTGTATGAGTCACCAGATCATCATCATCTTCATTCAGCTTCTTCATCGTCGTCGTCATCTTCCTCTTCTTCATCATCTTCATTTCTTTTTCATCATCGTTATCACAAGCATCATCATTATCAGCATCTACGGTAAAAATATTTAGGCCAATGTTTATCACTCTGACTAGTTCATTCCACACTTTTTAAATACACACACACACACATATATATATTTGTATATTTATTTATTTAATTATTATTATGTTTATATATATATATATATATATATATATATAGTATTATATTTATTTCATAAGCATAATGATTTTCAAACCCAACTCTACATACTGTTTCATTCTGCTGCTAAATTCACGACAACGACTTTGAGACGTGATGACGACGACGAAGAGGTTTATAACTATAATTATGGTAATAATAATCATCATAATAATAATAATTATTATTATTTATATGGCGCTTATAATTACGGCAAACACAATCTTACCAGCATGTAATAAACATGGCAAACAATATAATGGCCTTCCCCTACCATCATCATCATCACGACCACCACCATCATACCATCATTATCATCATCATTATCATCATCATCTTCTTCATCGCCAACAACATCAAATCAAATGACAAAAAAGACGTTTTATTAAAAAAAATAAACAATAATAATAATGGGAATAATAATAATATAATAATAATATAACAACAACAATAATAATAATGATAATACTTTCAAAATGTATTTTCAATGAAACTAGCCAGACACACACGCACACACGTACACACGCACGTACACACACACACACACGAGGTACTAACTGTACTGCGTAAGATAATAAAATAAATTTTTTTTTTTTTTTTATTCTTTAAAATCAGACGCAGAAACTGTAACAACATGCAAGGCAGTGAAACAAAATTAAACAAATAAGTGAGAAAATAAATACAAAAAATGAGAAAGAGAAATGATAAAACATGAAAATAAAATATGTTAGAATAAAATAAATAAAAGAAAAGTAATTGACGATGGAATATAAAATGAAGTAACGGCAAATTGTCAATCAACCAAAACAACAAAAACATCAATTACATCGAAGATAACATCTACAACAACAAATTAACGACAACACATCACATCAACAACAACATCACATCAATGACAGCAACATCAACACAACATCACAGATCCATTATTGATTGTTGTCGGGCGTGCATGCAGCTTACAGCTTTTTTTCTCCTTGTACGGTTGGCATTGCAGACTCGGCGTCAACTATTACTGCTGCTACCACCACTACTACTATTACTACTACTACTACTACTAGCATAGCTGCTACTACTACCACTAAAACGTTAACGACTACTACTACTACTGAGGCTATTTTACTACTACTACTACTAATACTTCTACTACTACTACTACTAATACTTCTACTTCAACTACTACTATTACTACTAACCCCACTACAACCACTATTACTACTTTCAACTATTGCTTCTAAAACGCTGCTGTTGCGAGCGTAGATAGCTATTTAAAGCAACCAATGACATTAAAGCATCATCGTCGTCGTCGTCGTCATAAATTAATTCATCTAGCGCTGTAGACGGTATAGATTTTTTTATTTGGAGGCAACGCACTGTTTTGTTGCTTTTTTTTACACTGTTCTTATTCTCTATTCTCCCACTTTCTCTCTCTCTTCATCTCTCTCTCTCTCCATCACTCTTTTCATCTCTCTCTCTTTCTCTCTCTCTCTCTCTCTTTTTTCTATCATACCTTCACTGTTTTCCGCGAGTTTTCTCTTTAAGACTAACTCTCTTTTTTCCTTCCCCCGTCTTTCTATTTCCTTCTCGCTGGCATTTTTCCACAAGTTCATCTCTTTGTCTTTATCTTTTTCTCTCTCCTCTGCCTCTCACTCTTAATTTTTTATAAAAATCTCTCTCTCTTACTCTCCCTCTCTTTCTCTCTCTCTCTCTCTCTCTCTATCTTTCTTGGTTTTTCCTTGCTATTTCTGTTTCGAAATGTTAAAAACCTTATTAAACGTAACGTAAAGTTGATCACATGAGTTTATGTCATTTTTAAAAGCGCAGATAATTACGATAATAATAATAACGTAATAACCATAATAATAATAACCATAATAATAATAATGACCATAATAATAATAGTTATTATAATGATAAAAATGATGACGAAGTTTGAATGGGGATGAAATGTTGTCTGGATTTTCTGCGCTCTCCCTTTTAAGTCGTTCACCTCCTTCCTACTTTTTGATACATGCCTGTTTGTATGTATGCATGTATATATGTAGGTATGCATGTATGTATGTTTGTATGTCGTTATGTAGGTATTAGTGTATGTAAGAATGAATGTATGTATGTATGTTTGCTTGTTTGTTTGTTTGTTTGTATATAGTTAATTTCGCATGTATAAATGTATGTATGTATTTATGTGTGTATATTCGATCGTATTTTAAATGTATTTAGGTATTTACGGCTCTACTTGTGCATGGTAACTTGAGAAAAAGCACCTTAGCTTAATGGCTTTTGACTATATTTAAATTAATTACCACGCTAAACTTAACAGCGATTAATGACATTGTTATTGTTTATTATAATTATTATTATTGGTTATTATTATTATTATTATTGTTATTGTTATCCATTACAATTTGTAACTCTACCTATAATAAACCCAGCATAATTAATAAAAATGTGTGTGTCTGTCTGTGCGTGTGTGTGTGTGTGCGTGTATGTGTGTGTGTGTGCGTGTGTGTCCATGGCGTTATCATCTTCGTTGTATAAATTATGATTGAAGATCGGTTTGACGTTTTGATGGTATAAGATTATGGCTTAGCAAAGGAATTATGTTATACACACATACGTAAGTACATATATACACACATACATACATATATACACACACATACATACATACATACATACATACATACAAACAAACAAACAAACATACACATACATACATACATACACGCATACACATGTATACATATTACAATTACATAAACACACATACAAATTTCTTTTAGTATGTACTTTGGTACGTGTAAGATGATACAAGACACTTGTTTTGTATGTATGTATGTATGTTTGTATGTATGTATACATGTTTTTATGCATGTTTGTATGTATGTTTGTATGTGTGTTTGTATGTATGTTTGTAAGGGATGAGTATCTTGATTTATTGTTCATTTCTACATACGTGTTTTCCATCACTGATACTTTCCATTTTGTTAACTTTTTTACGCACGATATTATTATTATTTTTATTACTCTTCTTTTTCTTCCCATTATTATCATTAGAACGTTGCTCTAAAATCATAATCTTTTGATTTAATAGTTTGATAAGCCCGTCCGTATGTTTGGAGATATATTTTTGTATATACATGCTTATGAATAAAAAATATATAGGCCAGAGAGAGAGAGAAAAAAAAGTGAGAGAGAGAGAGAGAGAAAAAAAAGAGAGAGAGAAAAAAAAGAATGATAGTGAGAGATATGAATGATGGCTTGCATTAATCATTAACCCTTCCAGCTTCATTCATCATCTTCCTCATCATCATCGCAATCGCAATGTTATATTCTAGCTACCGCTCTTATATTAATAATCATCATCATCATTACTTTCATCATCATCACCATCATCATCATTATTTTCATCATCATTATCATCGTCGCCAGCATCGTCATCATCACTACCATCATCATCATTGTAACTGCACTTTTATAATTTAATTAAACTTGAACCGCCATCAATTTTCTTTAAAACATCTTCAGCGTCGTCGTCATCATCATCAGTACTCTCATTATCATCATCAACATCATCTCTACCATCATCAGCGTCATCATCGTCATCATCACTCTTCCTTAATCATTGTTATAACTATTATCAATCAGTTTACGACTCATTATCATCATTTTCATCATCTTCCAAGCCATCATCATCAACTTTCTTTCTGATTCTCTCTCTTTCTCTTTTTCTCTCTCTCTCTCTTTCTTTCTCTCTCCCACACAGACATAATTATAATTATGTCTGTTTATGACGAGGAAGTTGTTGTCCTGCTTGCTAAATAATTATGATCACAATCTGGAGGTTACCACTCTTTCTATTTTCATTTTCTCTCTCTTTTTTCTCTTCTTTTTAACATTTATACATTACATTATAAATATAGGTCTCTCTCTCTCTCTCTCTCTCTCTCTCTCTCTCTCTCTCTCTCTCTCTCTCTTTCACTCTTTCACTCTTTCTCAACCCAGGTCATTTTATATAGGTCATAAGTCATTATATGAGTTTGGGTGTATTAAATAGAAAGCGAGAGAGAGAGAGAGAGAGAGAGAGAGAGAAGAAAAAAGAAAGAGAGAGAGAGAAGAAGAAAAAAGAAAGAGAGAGAGAGAGAGAGAGTGCGGATTCAAATTGCGGCTGTTGCTGTTGACACAAATTGGAGAAATCATAATGACTTGTAAATAAGTTTATGCTGGTTAGTTGGGTCTGTGTTTTATTTTCGATCTTCATCACCATCCTCTTCATCGACATCACCATTTTCTTCTTCTTCATCATCACCAACATCTTTGTCAACATCGTTGACACCATCATCATCTCTTGTTGGAATCGAATGTCAGAACGGATGATATCGGATATAGCGAATCTGGCCATTTAAACTGTCGGACCAACGGAACAGCACACCATTACATAAACAGAGGCATTTGAAATCTGATTTATAATTTATAGCATATTATATTGTATTTACGTATGTTTGTGTGTGTTTGTTTGTGTGTGTTTGTGTACGTCTGTGTGTACTTACTGTCGCATTGTGGCATATTTGAATATTAATAGAAAAAGAATAAGAACTTAAAAAATTAAATTCCGCATTAGTTAAATGCCTTGATATGAATAATAACAGCAACAGTTATAATCAGAATGGATGAATGAATGAATGAACGATTGACGGAGACAAAATAATTTTTCTCGGGCAACTAGCCAGAACCTTTCTTTTTAAATTATGAATAAAAGATGCTATATTACCTCCATTCAATTGTAAATAAAAAGACTGCTTTATTCTGTTTTTTCACTCGCATAATTATTATATTAATTAACTCTATATGTTCAATTACCTCTCTCTCTCTCTCCTCTCTCTCTCTCTCTCTCTCTCTCTCTCTCTCCCACTCATCACTGTTATAACAAGTATTTTTCAGTGAATTAATAAACAAAATAATTGGATACTAGTTAATTACGATTACTTATTAATTAATTAATTAATACTTGATTAACAATTATAGGTGATATTATCAATATAAAACTATAATTTGTTAGTAATTATGTAATCAATTGTTAACTTGCTCTGGCCGGCCTTGGTTATGCATGATAGATAACAGTATCTAAACAGTTTGCAAAATTATAATATATATATATATATATATATATATATATATTAATAAAATTAATTATAAAATTGTTGCATTAATTGTAAAATGTTGATAAATATATATATATTATATATAAACTTTTGTTTTGAAGGCTAATTTTGGTTGTTCAGTGGTCAAATTTAGTTATCTTAACTTAGCTCTACTTTTCGTTATCGATTTTACTTTTTCGCGTTGATCTTAAGTTTGCGCTAGCTTTGATTTTATTTATTTTATATATTTCTGCCTAAATAAAAGTGATTAAATTTGTTACAATTTTATTCCTGCTATGAATTTTAATCAAATTTATGTTTTTTTAGTTCTTTGATAGATCTGATCACTAATCAACATGTCCGGAAAAGTTTTCATTGTTACTGGGGCCAACACAGGCATTGGATTTGAGACGACAAAGATGTTGTGTGAAGCTGGTCACGATGTTATTTTAGCTTGCAGAAGCGAAGAAAAGACAGCGAAAGCCATTGAGAAATTAAAGAAAAAGTTACCAAATGCTTTGGCCACTTACATGCATGTAAGTAATAGTAATAATAACTAATTTTTGTTTTACAATTTAGAAATTAATAATTAAGTAAGGAAATTAATTCTCACTCTTAGTACCAAAAATGTACAGGTATATAAGTGCAAGAGTGTACATTTGTATTGTGCTACTTTATTTCACTTTATTTCAATTGAGATAAAAAATGTTTGTTTTTTTAAACTTTAAATCAAATTCAAAAAAGCTTGTTTTAGTTGTTATTGTTGTTTTTATTCTCATTATTATGGAAGATAATGATCATTGCATCATTTATTTTGAATGATGATTTACACATTGGGGTTGGTATCTGGTTCATGTTACTGAGACAACATAACTGCTGAATCATTATTCTTAATAGCCCAATAATTATTATAATTATAATTGTTATTATTATTATTGTTGTTGTTATTGATGTTGTTATTGTAATAATGACTGTTTCTCATATGACTCTTCTACTTCTAATTTTAGAATTTGTTCTGGACAACAACAACAATAATAATAATAGTAATAATAATTGCTACAACAACAATTAAAAATTGCTTGTTTGATTTTTTATGGATTATTTAAATGTGCATGCATTTGAAAAGTTATTGATTCAACTGATTTAGATTCAGTATGTGATTTTTGTTTTTTGAATAAATAAATTTTCATCTCATAAAATAAAAAAGAAAGAGAGAGAGAGAGAGAGAGAGAGAGAGAGAGAGAGAGAGAGTATGCTACACTCTATTTGATCCTTGTAATTGTATACATGCATGAAAAAAGCATTCATTATTCTCATCTTGTTCTGAAAAATCCCACAAAAGCTCGATCTAGCAGACATGGAGTCAGTGAGAAAATTTGTTGAAGATTTCCACGCTACTGGTAAAAAGTTGAATGTCCTTATCAACAATGCTGGGTTGGGGCTAAACTTCAAGGACACCAAGAGACAGTATACCAAGGATAATTTCGAACTGACAATGGGAACTAACCATTTGGGTATTTGGGCTGTTGGTGTAGTGGTGGGAAATTTTGTGATGATTGTGTGTATTTTTATTTTTTAGTGGTATTGTAGGTTGTCTTTCTATGTGTGTGTGTGTGGTGTGTGTGTGTGTGTGTGCGTTGGGTACTGATGTGTTGTGTCTGTGTGTTTTTATTTGTTAGTAGCTGCTGAGGTTCTTTTTGTTCTTGTTATAATTATTAATATAATTATGATTGACTATAATTACCATCCGTGACCAGGTCACTTCCTGCTGACCAACTTACTGTTAAAGGACCTGAAGAAGACAGCAAGTGGTGACGACGGTGAAGCTAGAATCGTCGTCGTTGCATCTTCATTACATGACCCAGAGACCAATAAAAAATTAACTGGCAGTTAGTGCAAACTTTAATTAGAGTTATAATTAAATAACATTTGATAGAACTACTAATGATTGTGATGCTAAATTTAATAAAATTATTAATGGTTTAATTGAAAAATAACATTAATAAAATTACTAAATTTTGCCAAATAAATTCTTGAAAACCCAACAACTTCATCACACGCGCACGCACACACACACACAACACTCAGACTTGCAGAGCATGGATTTGGATGATTTGTTCATGTACAAGGAAGGAGCTTACAATGGCATGCAAGCATACAAGAACTCCAAAGCTGCTAATATCATGTTCGCATATGAATTGAGCCGCCAGCTAGCTGGCACTAATGTCACTGTCAATGCTGTCTGTCCCGGTTAGTTTTGCTCTGGTGTCTTGACCACGAAGTTATTTACATCTTATTTTGTATCTTTTGGTCCCAGACACTCATTCATTCAAACAAACAGCTGGGTAAAGAAGATACATAATAAAATGAAGATAATATTGCGGTCATCACCAAGCCTTGGTCGGGCTGGGTTGTTGTTTGACTTCGTAATGAAGACTCAGATTTTGTTGCTTTTATATGTCGGTCAAGTATTTTCAATAAAGTATGCTTGTGTTCTTGAGCTTTTTATGCTTTTTTAACTTTATTGCAATGACATTTTTCACTTGTACAAGGCTTCATTCCTGCTACTGAATTTATGAGAAACTCTGGAAAGGCTATGAAGTTTTTCTGTCGGTACGTGCTCAGGTTCAGCAAGATCACAAGAACTGTCCATCAAGGAGCCAGCTCCTTAGTCTCTCTTGCTACTGATGAGAAGTACAAAGGTCTCGCTTCTTTTGTTTTTTTTTTTTTTTGTTGAAAACTCTTGAAATTTATAGTAAAATGCAACAAACAACAAGCTACTAATAATAACGTGTGACTAGAGTGATATTACAGAAAGATAACAATGATGTGAAATGAATTTTACAAAACAAGGGGTGACAGGGAAGTATGTTAGAGAGGATCAGGAATACAAATCGTCAGAGGAGACACTGGATGAATCAAAGCAGCAGAAATTATGGCAAATCAGTGGTGGCTACGTCAAGTTGGAAGGATTTGAACCGCTTGAACCACCAACACCTCCTGCTCCCGAGCCTGCAAAATCGGCTGAAACTGTAAAGTCTGTCCCAGAGGAAGCCGCCGAAGTTCCTCCTGCCGATTCAGTTGCCACCACCCCTGCCGTCAACGGAGTAAAACAAACGGTCGAAGAAGTGAAGACAGAAGTGAAAGAGGTTGCTGGGGATGTAGCTGAACAAGTCAAACAAGACGTCACTGCTGAAGTTACCAAAATCCAAGAAAACGTAACGGAAATCAAGAAAGAAGTCAGCGAGAAAATCGAAACTGGTTTGACGGACCTGAAGACGAAGGCAGACGACATCATAGAGAACGTCGAGACCAGCGTCAAAGACGTTGTGGAGGGGCTGACCAGCACTGAATCCCCTGCTATAATAGCTGCCCCTGTTGAAAACCCTGTAGCTGTCGAGGGCTAATTTTCAGTTTAATAGATCTACATACCGTTATTATTACCATTCATATTATTATTTGAATCCTTTTATATATTTATATATCTTTGTCACTAAAACGTTAGTCATTTTGTACATGCGCAACTAAAACTTTTATACATTCAATCCAAAATTATGTAGAGTACAATAAGATTATATATACAGATATATCTTTAATGGTAAAGCTAAAACAGGCACCAGCACAAATTTCGTTTATTTGCTACATCCATAACGAACAAGCACACTGATGACCACTAGTAAACAGCAGATATTCGTATTGCATAATGAACAAGTTATAAATACTAAACATTATCAACACACTTATTCATACATACTTCTTTTACTTATTTCACAAACATTTACATTTAATTAAATTTATCGTTGTTCTGCTTGATCTATTGTCTCGTTAATGTATTTCATTTATTATGTATGTGTACAAGCTATAATTTCTATGTAATTATATATACATATATATACTTTTTAAACTGCTTAAAACGTTTTTAAGATAAAAACCATAATTGTCATCATTCTGATTGAAATATATATATAATTATATATACATACACCATCAACATTTTAGTTTTTTTTTATGGTACATGCATTTAAGACAATTCGTTTGCTACAATTCAGTTACGTATATCTATCTTCTATTTTTTACATATTTTGGGGCGTTTATGTAACCAGAATGTAACAATACTAATGCTATTACTTCTACTAAAATAATTTATAGTTACAAATAAATCTAAGATTCATGATTAAATGCCTTAAGTAGCTTATCATTTAAGGTGCAGTAGGTATACATGTGTGTATTTGTACGTACGACAAACATATTTATTTTTGTACTAAGGTATATACGCAAGGTTGTACAAAAGTGCGTACATAAAGTGTTTAAATACAAACTCGTACGATTATATTCAATATTTTACGTTTAAATTATAAATGAATATTCTTTTTTGCTCATAACGATAAATTATTCGTTGCTTATTTGTTTTTCATGACATAATTTTACTCATGTTATACTTATTACCATATATATATATATATACACATATATATATATATACAATTTTTTTGCCATGTTCATCAAATTTCTGTAAACGTTCCAACACATCTAATATTTTGTTATGAATAGCCATTTTGTCAGTTCTTAAGATCGTACTATATTTTTGTATTTCATGGTGACATATATCTATGTAATATGACATATATATATATACGTACGTGCAGACCCGTTAGCTACTTGGACAGACAGAATTGTGCAATACACAAACACACACATTCAGTCCATGTATGCATGCTACGGCCACTGTCAATTACGTTTCATTACCTGTTACTTTTTATTTTCCATTATTTTTACTAAATGTTCATAATCTCTATTCATATTTTGCTATAACTTATCTGAACACACTGTGCTTATCTAAATGATATAATTTTTCTGGCGCTAAAACCACTAAAAAAATGACAAGAACATTGGTGATACAATTGTGCAAATAAATTGGCAGGCAGGCATGTTGCTGATGCCGCGCGTTTTGCAGCTCTGGTGCATCTACTTCCAGATAATTTTATGGCGGCACAATGCTCTTTCTTCGTCTTTTTTATTCAAAATTGTCAATCAAAAGTGGGATTCATAATAAATATGTGACGTTGTTTTTGTCTGTTGTTTAACTCACCAGAATATTCAATGGTTGTACGTAGCGTTGCGCAGCCCAAATTAAACGTGAACGCAAAATTTATTTAAATTGTTCAAATCTTTCACCGTTCACTTCCAAACTATAGAAGTGAAGACAACAAATACCAACGCAAGTCAACTTGCTACCTCAACAAATAGCCCCATTCACGGTATAGTTACACGAGCATAAATTACTAGCGCATCTGCATACAAATTAAAAGATAAATTAGATGATCCAGAAAGAAAATAATGCAAATTGAACGCGTGAAAAACAGAAACCATCGAAAATAAATTAGATGTGTACAAGTAGTCTTCGTAGACATGGGGCCACTGCATTACGTACACATACTACCCGGACTTGGGCTATACAAGCTAGACGCTTGCAAGCAGTGCACGGCACAAGTCAGATAGAAAAAAATATTAACAGCAAAAAACGAAAATGGCAAACACAAATGCAACAATACAATCACAAGAACGTACATCATTCATACGCACATACATATATGAGCATACGCAGACAACATTTTCAGGCTTACGTAGACCTCCACGAAGCTACTAAACTGATGAATCTCGCTCAATACACAAACTTAGAACTGTTTAAAATTGTATAAAAACCATTAAAAATAAAAACCATTCGAAAATACAAACTTATCAGGGTGGAGAAATCGTGTCTGGGGTAAGAACCTTTACTCATAAAATAATTGTAACGCTAACTTCTCTAAGTACTGACTCTTCATATAAGTATTTAGACGTGAATTGGCAGGCGTACGAACAAGACTATTCTACTATGAAGTAGGTACGCGGATGTCATCGTGAAGTTTGCGCAAAAAAGGCGCACAAGCCTCTCCCAACTATTTATAGCATTGTTTCTTTATTAATCCAACCTATGACTGAAAAAAAACTAGAAATCTAACTAACAGCTAAGATACCTTGAATCCTTTATGGGAATGGCGAACTTACAGGCAATACATCTAATCTAATATAAAGCGTATCGCACACAAGCGTATATGCAGACTAATAAATTTGTAAATCTCTTCAAACGCCGCTAAATAATTTTTAAGAACGAGAAAACGTATGAATAAAACTCAAAACTCTTATTTGTAGACAATAAATATCAAATATAAAGCTGAATTAACTGATCCATAGTATAAACTCAACGGTCAAACGCAAACAATTAAGTCAGCAGCAGCTCACTCTATATTACAAGATCGCGATAACATGCATTTCTTAAATTCTAAAACATCACATACTATATCAAACTCTTAATTTTAATCACTTCATGTATACGTTGGTTTCTAAGAAAGTTAAATAAAATTTTAAACGAAATACGCTAGTCACCTTACATACAATAAAATTTTAAACGAAATACGCTAAAGTCACCTTACATAGAACGGGGAATCAATTGAAAAAAATGAATAAATTACAGCCGCTTTCGTTTCTTTTCATTCCTCCTCGAACTTGAAACTTCTCAAAGCTATTTAAATAATGAATCAAGGTCATCATGTCCATGAACCACTATTTATCCTGACACTTTCAATTTCATCTGGCTTCACGTTTAAACTAGTTCTCTTAACTATATGCAATCGAACTTCCTCATTGGCCGACTGATTCTGATTAACAACCTGTCGTTAGCAAAGCACAAGTGAATGGGTGTGTTAATTGGTTAACTGACTGAAATTCCATCATCAATATCAAATTAATTAATTTATAAATTAACTTAATTCATTGTAACAAACCATCATCTAACTCTTAGCTCATTGAGAATCATAAAATATCTTATTTCGTAACTGGAATGCACATTAGAATCAAACTATACTGATTCAACTCAAATACCGTATTTGAAATAGAAAATATGAGCTTAAAAACTAATCAGCACTTCTAAATAGTGAAATTTACATATTCTAACTAAATGAATAATAAAAACTCAAAACTCTTGTAGAACTGAAAACTTACCTACTTAACAAACAAAACCTCATCTATCTCCTTCCATAACTTCCTTGACTTTGTGGACCAGATGAGGAAACAGGTGCAACGGGAGAGGGGCCACCAAAATTTGGTTGGTTAAACCCAGTTGGGGTACTAGGGAACCCACCACCACCGCCAATGTTACTACCGGTGTTACCACCGCCAACTGGGTTTCCACCAGAAAAGCTACTGTTTCCGCCACCAGGAGTAGTTCCAAATCCAGCACCGCCATAACCACCACCACTAAAGCTTTGTGGTGTACCAAAATTAGATGAAGAACCGCCCGTTCCACCTCCTGTGCCACCATAGTTACTCGGGTTGCCACAGTATCCACCTTGGTTGGAATTTCCCCCATAACCTCCTCCTTGATTTCCACCTTGTCCATATCCACCTCCACCACCAAATCCTTTCTGATTACCACCACCAAAGCCTCCATAATTACCACCAGGGTCATTGTAGTTAGATGTATTGTAGTCGTCACCTGAAGCACCAAAGTTGTCACCTGGTCTGTAATTGCCCCCTCCTCCTCCACCACCACCAGCACCAAAATTATTGTTGTTATAATTCCCACCACCACCACCACCATAGCCACTGTTTCCATACCCACCACCACCACCACCATTATTTCCGTAGCCACCACCTCCTCCACTGTTGTATCCTCCCCCACCACCACCTGCAACAAGTAAAAATTAAACAACGGTTACTACGTTACAGTTCAGTCCATTAATAAATTAATAAGTGATGATTAATATTTGAACACGCTCCTGAGGTACAAATCAACAATTCAAAATTTAATAATTTAGGAATAAATCAATTAAAAGAATTAATCACCTCCGTACGGTCCACCAGAATTTCGATACCCACCACCACCACCACCTCTCATTGGACCGCCACCTTGACTGTTCCCATAATTTGATCCAAACCCGCCTCCTCCTCCTCCTCCCCATCCTCTGTTTCCTGTGTCAGTGTATTATCATTATAAATCATTCCATGCTCAGTATCATCTCATGCATTTTGTATTCAAGCATTATTAATATCCCACCAAAACTTGTGTATTTTTTAATTTATAATTAGACATTCATTGTATCATGTACCACTTAACGTTATGATTACAAATGGTTAGTAAAATATCAAAGATAAACAACAAGGTAGACACTATAACAATTTTGATGATAACAGATATTAAAAGAACAAAAAAATGAACATTACAAGTAGCAGTAGCAAAGTAACAACCTGGCCCATCATCATAGCTATCATTCCAACCCCCTCCACCTCCTCCTCTCCTATCATCATAGCCCCTTCTCCCGTAGTCAGAATTCCTTCCATAGTCATCCCGTCTGCCACCACCGCCGTCACGACCACCATATCGGTCATTTCGATCTCGACCACCATAGCCCCCGCCTCGACCTCCGCTGCGTCCTCCATAATCGTCGTATCTGTCACGTGGGCCCCCTTTTGGTCAGTTTTGTTAGAATTAGACAACGGCAAGACATTGCATACCAATTAAGTTAATTATAACTGCGAAATAGTTTTAATAATTAGGACGAAAAGTGTAATTATAAATGATGAAAATGGTAAAGATAATAACCTCTCCTGCTGTATGGTCCCATATCCCTACCAAATCTTCCACCACCACCACCTCCTCCACTGCCACCCCCGCCTCCTCCAAATCTTCCTTTACCTGAAATTATTATATTAGAGCATTTAAAATCTATTAAATTTTTAACCACATCATGGACGTTTCTTAAAAAAATGTTGAAAATGACAAAAAATTGAGAACTATTTTTATTGTATAATTAGATGAAAAAAGTTACAAAAAATTAAAAAACAAACTTGAAAAATAACATTGGAAATAAACAACAAACAAGTGAATAGCATTCAAAAACTGATTTAAAATGGATTTACAAAAATGTAAAAAAAAATCAATCGATACCTCTGATATTATTCATCTCTTCTTTTGATATCGCCTTCTTGGCATCACACCGAAAATTCTTTATTTTGTGATGCTTTATCACTGGTTTATGAAAATAGAAACATGTTAATTATGAAAAACCAATCTAATAAAATTAAATACACCTTGTTTTTAATGATTAATATTATAAAGCAAGTAAAAATTCTACACTAGTACTTTACATTATAATCTATAAGCATATTTATTTTAAAATATAAAGATCAACGAATGCATATCATTGATAGAGGAATACTAACAGACGACTTTATCAACACAGTCATAATCATCAAATGTTATGAATGCAAAGCCTCTCTTTTTCTTTGTTTCTTTATCTGTGATCACATCAATCTCCTCGATGTTTCCAAATTGTGAGAAATAATCCCTCAGATCATCCTCTTCTATTTCTTCCTTTACTCCACTAATGTACACCCTTTTGATGGTTAGGTGTGCCTCTGGTCTACCTGCATCCTCTCTTGGCATGGCTCTTTTCGACTCAACCTCTTTTTTGTCAATTTTGTGGGGCCTTTCTCTCTGAGCATCGTCAACCATGTGGGCGCTCTTGTACGTAACAAAACCAAAACCTCTTGACCTGAATAAATTAATGATTTTACGTATTTAAAATAAAATTCATCTAACAAGACAAAATTCACTTTTTGTACTTGACAAATAAACATAATTAATAAAACTGTCATAAAAAAATAAATCTAATATTCAGCAGTCGGTTCAACCGATGACTAAGGTAATTTAATAAAAAATTTACAGAGCACATTGCAAAACATCCGCCATCTTTAAAATTTTAAATTTGGACAGATTAGCTACGAATTAAAAACCCTTGGGACCTAAATTTTTAGAAAAAATGGCTACTAACTGTCCGGTTTCCGGATCTTTCATGACGACACAGTCGACGACTTCTCCCCACTGTTCGTAATACGCTCGCAGTTCGTTCACCGTCGTTTCATGACTCAAACCGCCGATAAACAGTTTTCGAAACTGTTCCGATTCACGATCTACTTCAACCTTCGATTAAAGATAAAAAAAAATAATTAAAATAACCTTTAAAATAACTAATTAAATGGGTAAATAATTTATTTCAAACTTACGTCCGGCATTTTAGCAATTCAAACAGTAAAATCACCAAGAATCGGCAAAGATAACTCCACAGGAAATACTAAGGTACATAAGCTACTTTGCATTTCTGTTTATATAGCACTTTACAATGCATAAAATAATAAATAACCATAGATAACCATAGATTTTCATATACTTAGCACTTGATCGACGTAAGCCATTAAATAGCATTTTTGCGTCAACTTTTAGAAATTCATTCATTCAACAAGCAGCTTTTGGAAAAGAAAAACTTTATTAAATTCTACTCGAAAAGAACTTTAAAATAAAATCGAAACCTTTTAACCTATAAGTCATCCAACGAAGTAACAGTAATAAAGAATAATAATAGCTAGATAATATAATTTAATTATCCAGTTGGCATATTAACGCAACGCCCCTAGCAATCCAGTGTTCATTTGGTTTCTTACTAGGGATATTCATGGCTATCACGAAATTAGTGGAGTGCCCCGTAGTCGAGAGGACCCCTCGGCGTTCCAGGGTCTTGTAGACTGGAGCCTTGTAAGTGTTCTTGGTTGAGGAATCTGACTTCTTACAAGGAAGCAACCAGATCTGATATGGGTTGATTGATTGGCTGGTTGGCTGATTCGTTGGTTTATTCAATAATTGAATGATTAATTGATCGATTGATTGAATAATTATTGATTGAATAATTAGTTGATTTGCGAACTGAGAAAAACGCACCACAGGCATAGGATCGTAGAGAATTTTAGGCAGAGATTCGGCCAAATATTTCGATGTCCTATCCCATCTCGCTCCATCTAGAAACAATCCGTGTATGTAGGCACCTATGTATGTATGAATGTGTGTATGTTTGAATGCGTGCATGTATGTGTGTGTACATGCGTGACTGTGTGTACATGTATTCATGAAAACTTCATCCACAAACCATCACTCGTACACACATATACACATATACATACAAACCATCTTCCGGGGGATCATTGTATTGGCTGACCTCCCCGATAACCTTGTAACAAAAGGTCAAATGGTCGATCGGGATCGTGTATTTGCGCGCGAAATTCTGTTGAACTCCTGTTAAGAATGCCTGCGTAAAGAAAAATCCGGATAGCCAGAAAATAGAAGGGGCATGGTTTTCAAACCAGTCCTGCAATATGAGTGGTCGAAAGACAAGTGATAAGCATTGCGATTGGCTGGTTAAAAGATGGTAATAACTGTTGTATTTTGCTGAAAGTTGTTGATAGGTCGCTAATTGAAATTAATTTTTTGATTGAGGGGAATGTTTAGTATAACTGCAATTGAAAATTTTAATGTTTTTTTAAAGATATAAATTAAAAAATAAATAAAATTGAAAATAACCTGAAGAAAATTCAACCTAGCCAGAAAGTCAGTGACGTAACTAGCAAGCGGTTTCAAAGATGGGTAGGATTTTTTCATCCACATACTCGGAACTTTGTTGGTCAGCAAACTGACCACTACCTCCTCCATATCACTCGACATCACTACTAAACCCTAGTGGCCGATTTTTCTTCGTGAGATACACATATACACAAGTAGAAAGAGAGAGAGGAAAAAAAAAATGATTAGCATCCCATTCACTTCCAAAAAATTCAAATATTCACCTGAATAGCTTTCTGAACATTAACGAGACTCGATTTGATAGTAGTTAAGAGTTTATTGAATCGACCCATCTCTTGCACGAGAACCGTATTCATGCTCTGCTTGTAAGATGTCGGATATTTATCGATAGCCAGTCTCGGATCGAAATCCAAAGGCAATCGTTCGTAGATACTCGACGCAATCTCCATCACTACTTGCTCGGCTGATTTTCCTTTCACGGATACTCGCTAGTTTTGGTACATTTTTTGTATGCGTGCATGTACGTGCGTGCATGCACTTAAGTTTATGAGTGTGTGTGTGTGTGTGTGTGACAACCGTTTTTGTTTTGTTGTGTATCTCGGGCCGTTGAATTAGGTGTTGAATATGATTAATAAGAGCCATTTAGATAATGAAATCAATATTACTATTAGACGTGATTTATTTCATTAATATCAAATCAAATTTTACAAACTTTTTTCTAAGCATCGTCAAAGTGTGTGCATGATTCGACCAAGAAACGTCAATGACAGCACATAGATAATTGAAACAAATAACGATATGAAGGAAAATTTGCAAAAAATTGTTAGAAATAGGGTATGAATTTTAAATTTCACAAATTTTATACCAATCAATCGATCAATTAATTCTTGTAAATCAAATAGCACTGCGCTTATACAAGCTCACGAGCTACTTAGCAAAACGCACAAACATTCAACAAAATGGATGATTCGCGTCGCAATCAAAGTCGGTAAACCGACGAACCTTTATAATGTTCATTGTTTCGAAGAATAACTTGGCCTCGTTCTGATCTTTCGTAATGTCAACATTGGCATGCAGGCCAAATATGTTTGGATGGACAGTGAATGGGAGATTTTTGATGTATTCTATGTAATCTTCGTACTACGGCGGTATTGGTTGATATTTTGTATTTTATTGTATTTGTATTGTATCTTATTGAATAATAATTGTATAGTTTCACATGATGGGTTCAATCAATCAATCAATCAATCAATCAATTAGCTTATAAAGCGCTATTTCCGCGATGTTCAACAGCGCTCCTCAATGAATTTTGAAAACAGATGGGTCTTGAGATCCGCTCTGAACTTCGCAAGTGATGGAGAAATAGTTAGAGAAGTAGGTAGAGAGTTCCAGAAAAAAGGACCAGAAAAAGCAAAAGCAGATTTGGCAAAAGAGTGTTTAACACGAGTTAAGAAAAAGCGAGAAGAAGAAGACGATCGTAAACCGGGGCGTTTAGGTTCAATTAATATATCTGATAAGTACTTAGGAAATAATTTAGATTGAGACTTATACATGAAAATTAAAAAAAAATTATTCTATTAAAATAAAAATTTATTCTATATTTTATAGGTAGCCAGTGCAAGAGAACAAGATATGGAGATATATGAGAAAAGAAAGGGGCACGAGCAACTAGACGAGCAGCAGAGTTAAAAGCTTTACTTAAAGGATAGAGTATAGAGTCAGGAAGACCATAGTAAAGCGAGTATTGTATTGAATTGTATTGTATTGTATGGTACTGTATTTGTATTGTATGATATTTGTATTTTATTACACGCTGTTGTATAGTTTTGTTTCTTATTGTTTTGTGATTGTAATTGAATGGTGTTATTTTGGCTGTACCTCTTTTTGTACGTGGTTTACTTCGTAGTCTTTGTATTGTGTCTGTTTGGATGTACTATTATTGATCATTGTGGTGGTGGTATGCGAGGTACATATCTTGTATTGCTTGTATTTTATACTATAGGTATTAAAATAATAATAATATAATAATGTAATAATAATAATAATATTAATAGTAATAATAAAAATAATCACATTTTCCTCGTCCGGGGCGTAATAGAACTTGCTTTCGTCGAAGTAGTACCTTTGTGACACGGACACAAACAATATTATAATTAATAATAATAAAAGTGATAAAAATTATTATTATTTCTTTATCTTAATTATCGTTAACTATTATTATCTAATACAATACAATAATAAACTATCCAACGAAGTTTTGTCACCTATCTTGCTCAATGATTTCTTTACAGTAGTACTTATCGAGTATTGTCTTCAGGGTTCTCCTGTCCCAGTTGTCAGTAACTCGACCGCCATAGTTACATTCTCCTGTTAAGTACTTTAGCGCTTCGAACTGTACTTCCTATGTACAATGTGTGCGTGTGTGTGTACTTATGTGTGTGTATACTACGTGTGTGTGTGTGTGTGTGTGTGTGTGTGTGTGTGTGTGTGTGTGTGTGTGTGGTGCGTGTGTCTTTAAACTAGCACACAAACCTCATATTCATTGAGGAACATAGCCAGCTGTTGGACTGATATTTTAAGGTCAGCCTCGTTGAATTCGTACTGGATGTTCCAACCTATAGCTCCAAATTTCTTTCTTTCTTGAACTTGGGCGTGGAAGAAACACAGGCCGAACAGCAACTTTTTCCAGATTGCCTGAGAGGGAAATAGAGAAGTTTGTCTAATGATGGACAAATTAAAGGAGCAAACGAACGAGTAACAGTAGAAACTTGAAATAATCGGGCATTTGTAATTTTATTTCATAACAAAATTTAAATCTACAGGAACATACAAACGCAACGACAGCATTCTATTTCAAAACTATTTATTTTCATACAAATTCACCGGACAATTAAGAATTCACCGGTTTAGTAGAGCCGTTAAAAAATTCCGGATCCCTAATCGGAGACATGTTGTAAGATCTAAGAAGGTTGAACCTGAGTCCCTTGGGGGGTTGTTTGGTCATTTTGACGCCATTTTGAAGAATGCTAACTGGAAACGTATCGGTAGGATAACTCGTCAGCCAGAGCCTAAAATCAGGATGGCATGTTTCTGGAGAGAATTCCTGCAAGAATGAAAATTTTTAAATTTGTTAAATTTGGTTGGGATGCAATTAGTGGAAATTACTAATTTAGTATACGATCACTAACCTCACACAACTTTTCCAATGTGCCCATCCAAGAGGGGGCCAGGTGACAGTTTTGCAGGACGACCCACGTTCCTTCCTTTATGGCCCTTGCAATCATCTTCATAGCTATGGGGCCCTGACCTTGACCTAATGATAGAGACTCTAGCTTTGAACCACCGTAACCCTGTTTATTTTTGAAAAAAAAGGTTTTTATGTTTTCATTTATTAATGGACCCACCACTAATCGCAATTCGTGGGTTATTTTTTAACAAGATAAATAAATAAATGGTTATTGTTAATAATTAATGAAATTTTCAAAGAAAAATTTTAAATCCACCGACTTTATCTTCAGCGAAAGCCAGAAGTGCAGCTATAGGATCAGATCCGGGTGAGAGGATAAAAATCAGCGGCGAGAACGCATTGCTGTCGTTGTAAGATTCAAATAAATCGAACGGGGGAGGTTCAACAAACTGCCTGCCCATGTTCGCCATGATGAACTCACTGACTGCTACCATAACTTTATCTGGTCTTAGTGCTCTAAGTACAAGCATTCGTTGAAGATCAGTTAGGTGGAGATATTTCTGAGGGACCGGGTTCAATTCTGGGTTCTGGAGAAAATGATTAATAATTTAAAACATTGAAATATTTTCTTGAAACGACGACAATTAGAACAAACAATATATTGTAATATGATTACAAAATGAACAATTGAAACAAACATTTTGAAAGAGAAAAACTAACAAGAGCATCATAAATAGCTCTCCACTCATCTTCATGTTCTGTGAGGTGGTCCTTGATGCCCGAGTACGTTTCATTAAGTTCATTGAGACGTAGTAACTCATTCCAGTTGGAGTCAGGGAGCCAGTTAGTTGGATTTCTGTTTGCAGTCTCCAAACTCACGCCGCCAGTAAGGAAGAAATTAAATTCTTCATCATCGATCAGTTTCTCAAATTTCAGTAGACTTGCAATCAGATGGAATGAGAAGAGGTGCTAATTTGTGTTTGCATTTGCAATCGTGTATGTGTTTCTATGTGCGTGCATATGTTATGTGTGTGTATGTGTGTGCGCGAGTTAATTAAAAATAGATGGAGTTTTTAAACTGGATAAAATGTATAGAGTGTATATGTAATAAGCTGGATAATATTCACGCAATTAAACGTTGAAATTGACCCATACATTAATAGACCAATCTAATATTCAAATTTTGATAAATATAAGACAATAAAACCAAATAGCCGACCGAATAGCGACCAACCAAACGAACCTTATCTTTCTCGAAGAGCGATCTACAGACATTACAGTAGAGGGAGTAAGTGAAATAAGACTTTAAATTTTCAATCCTCTGTTGCAAATTTTCAGAAACAACCGCCTTCTCAATGGCCATGACGAACAAGTTGATAAACCAAGTTAACGAATTTTGGTACATAGGATCGATATCGGCTAAATCAACCACGCAAAAAAATAGTATAGTAGTGTATCTGGCTATCGGTCTGTATGCGTCGCGAGCTAAATTTATTTTGGCTTCTGTTTTGTCAGCCACAGCCTAAATTTTATGATAAAAATATGTTTAATATGAATTTTTTTACTATAAAATAATTTATTATGTAAAATAAATTATTGATTATTAATATTTTATAAATAAAACATCAAAGTTAAAACGAAAAATATGAAACGCTTTCACGACAGACTTGTTTCTCGGTTATTTCGTTGGCCAAATTTTTAGAATCAGAGAGAATCTTAATGGCTGACTCATCCTCTAGAATGTTCCCTTGCGAGGTCGACAACACCTGATGTAATAATAAAAATTATTATAATTATGATGACCATGCCGGCTATAATTGTACAAATATTATAATTTTTGTAGTTATTATGAAATTAAAATGATTTCTTTAAACAAACGGACAACAAAGAGAGAGAGAGAGAGAGAGAGAGAGAGAGAGAAAGGGAGAGAGAGGGGGGGAATATATCACAAATCTAAAAAAAAAAAAAAAAAATTTCTCAGACTCTCAATATAGAATCTTCAACTTGCTGCAACTGTTTCTTATTTTCGGCACTCTGGACGATCAACAGATTCCTCTCCTCCTCCAACTCTGGACGCTCTCTAGCAACTACAATTCCCAACAACTGATCGTCCAACCCTTCTGTTGTTATCATAAAATTCAGTAGAGTCACTTTTACAGCAACCTGGTTCAATAAATATTAATCTTACTTAATAACTACTATTAAATTTTATTTTTTTTTATATTATTCTTTATTATCATTTTATGAAATGAAAGACCGAATGCAATAGAAACCTCAGGCATAAAGTGAGGATTTCGCAACTTAGTGGTGATGAAAAATCTGAAATCTTGACTGAATTCGATGACGTTATCTCCTAACTTGATGCAAGTTGTGCCGCCCTGTTTGAAGGTTTGCTTCATTAGGAGAGGTTCTAGTAAAGGGTCTAACTCCTCGCCGATATTTTCTAAAAGAACCGACGTCCCAAACTGAATTCCACTTTCTAGGGTTCTAGCTAAGTCGAAATCGGTTAACTTGACGACGCTTAAGTTGTTCTTTTTCTCTAACTTTTTGATGAATCTGTTTGCTTGGCCTTGTGGATCTATCATCAGAGGCCATCTGTTCGTTTGGCTGTTGTTGTTGTTGTTGTTGCTGTTGTTGTTGTTAGTGAGGTTGTTGGTGTTGATGTTATGATGCGACTGTTGGCATTGTCAATCCAAGATGTTAATGTCGATGTAGTTTCGCTTCATTATATTTACATATCAAACATTGTTACAGTCTTAAGCGTTTCATTCTAAAAAATATTTCCAATGTATTCACTACAAAACGAGAACAAAAAGTTAGAAAGACAAATCCCCAAAAACCTTATAATTATTCCGTTATCTATTGAAAATTCATCGGATGGCAGTCCGAAAATCTTCCAGCTCCTAATCTGCACTGGATCTCCCAGAATGTTCGCCAGTGAAAAATCTTCGGACAATGGTATGAGGGAGTTTCTTGTTAATCTTTTCCACAGTAATATTTGCTCCTGGTAATGTTTTTAATGCATTAATTCATTGATTAATTTACTCACAAATTCATTCACTCATTTCTTTATCATCCCTCCATCTATCTGTAATTAATCTGTCCACTAAATAACCAATTCATCCATCCATTCATCCAAACACCTATGATTAATTTAGATATTAAATAACAAATTCATCCACCCACCCATCCATCCATTCATCCATTCATTCATCCATTCATCCATCCATTCAATCATTCATTCATTTACTTGTCTGAAGGAGGAAGTAAAAGGTCCCATGTAGGCGATGATAGCCGATGACAGCAGGACATCTCCAGTTATGGTGAAATACTTGACGCTCATCAGCTGGGCGGTCACATTCCATCTATCTTTCTCTCCTCCCAAACCCCCTATCAGCTGTTCGGCTCGAGTCAACTTCTGACTGCACTCTAAAACCTTTGTTTGTGAATGAATGAATAAATGAATGGATGGATGAATGAATGAATGAATGAATGAACGAACGAACGAACGAACAAATGGATGGGTGGGTGGATAAGTAATTGAAATTGATGTATATATGAATGGATGTGATTGAATAAGTGATTGAATGAATGGATGGATGAGTGATTGAATAAATAATTTTGTTGACTAATTAAAGTTAAATGTTTAATTACTGCATAAAGCCATCTCTTCATTAGTTTAGCAACAATTTAATTAATTAAAACATTTTTTAGTCTTTCGTTCATTCGTTTGTCGTTTCAGTCACCCATCCATCCATCTATCCATCCATCCATCCATCCACCCATCCACCCATCCATCCATCCAACCATCCATCCATCCATCCATTCGAATAGCAGCAGAACAAAAAACCTGCTGCTCAAGCCTCAACTTTTTCTCCCTATTAATGCTGAGGACGGCGTTCATGCGGGCCAGCTTGCTCTGCACCTCCTGCAGTTTCTCCCTCTTTCTTCCCAGGACGGCCATGGCGTTTTTCATCTTGTTCTCCGCCTCTGCCAGGGCCACTTTCTTCGGACCCACTACTTTTATGACTCTTGAAAAAAGAGAGATGGATAGAGAGAGAGAGAGAGAGAGAGAGAGAGAGAGAGATGAGAAAGAGAGAGAGAGTGTGTGTGTATGTGTTGTGAGTGTGTTGCGAGTGAGTGTGAGAGAGAGAAAGTGTGTGTGTGTGTGAGTGTGTTGCGAGTGAGAGAGAGAGAGAAAGAGAAAAAGATTTAATATGAGAAAAAGTGATTTTAAATAATAAAAAATGATAAATAGAAGGAGAGAGCGAGTTAATAATAAAAATAAATTGGAAGAAATTATTTCATATGAGCGATCGAGAAAAAGAGAGAAAGAGAGAGAGAGAGAGAGAAAGAGAGAGAAAGAAAGAGAAAGAAAGAAAGAGAGGGAGGGAAGGAAAAGTTCAACACAAGAACAAGGTAAATCTTCAACTTGATGAAGAAACTAAAATGAAATTTCTCCCACTAACAGATCATATTTCTCTATGGCCAGTGCCCAACGACACAGTCCTTCGCAAGCACTGGATATAAATTTTATCTTCTCAGGATCAAAATCCGGATTAGTGGCGTAGTTTGCTCTTATTTGCTTCATCGTCTCTACCGGGATATTATCCTAAGTTTGAGTTTCTTGATAATTTCCGTGATAATTTTAAAATTTTAAACACACAATAGAAAGAGCATTAACAACGTAGCAACAATAATGATGGCAAAAAAATAAGAATGATAAGTAGAGAAATGACAAGCACCACCATCACTGTGGCTACCTTGTCGAAATTAATGAGAGACTCCAGGAATTTAGTGTCAGTCAACATTTTTAAAGATGGCCTCCAATAATCTAAGATCTTTTTTCCTTCCTTAGTCGTAACCTTTTCCGGTTTTATGCCCTTCAGTACGCAAACTGCCTCCAAGACTAATTTAATGCCGGCCGGCGGGTTCTTCATTGACCTCACTATCGTTATGTCCTAAAGTTAGGGTTTGGATTCATGTTGGTACTGATGCTGTTGTTGTTTTTATGCTATGACAATAACCGATAAGATTGAATTTGTTCATTTTCAAGAATGATAATGTGATTGGGCATGATAATAACGATATTTTGATGATGAATGAGGATGAAGATGATGAAGATGGTGAGGATGGTGATGAAAATGACGAAGATGATGAGGATGATGATGAAGATGACGAAATATACAATTCTAATAAATTTCTGTTGCAATAAATTTATAATTAAAATAGCGAACTGACAGCTGATGTTAGCGTATTGAGAGCAGTAACAGCTGAATTAATAGCTGGCAGGGCTACAGCTAAGTCTGCGTCGCATTCTTCCTAAGAATTAATTAATTAATTTTAATTAGTAAAATTTTTCATAATATTTCTTTTTACGAAAATTATTAACCTATATAATTATTCACCTAACCCTATATAAGCAATTAAGAATTAATTAATTAATTAATTCTCGTAAAAAAAAACAAAAAAAAGATGAAAAAAATTTACTTTAATAATTCTTGCGGCTTCAGCCTGTGTTTTCGCCTCTTCCTCGTCGGCTTTTACAACCTAGCGGTGAAAAATATGACAAACACATATGCACACGCACACACACACACACACACACACACACAAACCATGGACTTCTAATGTATCATTTAGATGTCCATGATACAGACCTTCTCTATGACTTCAACTTCGCTAGAGTCTTTTTCAATCTGCTCGACGACAACGTCAACCTCCTTGCTGGCCACAACTAGAAGCGGCTGCAGACGCGTCAGTTCGTCCTGCATCACTGAGACTTGTGACGCCGCGAATTTCAGTTTCTCTAAACCTACTTCGTATCGCTCTTTTACTCGTAAGATTTCTCTGTTGTGAGTGAGTGTGTGAATGTGTGTGTGTGTGTGTGTGTTTATGTGTTTGTGAGTGTGTATGTATTTGTGTGTGTTTATGTGTGTGTGTGTGAGTGAGTGAGTATGTGTGTTTGTGTGTGTGTGTGTGTGTGAGTGAGTATGTGTGTCTGTGTGTGTGTGTATGTGAGTGTGTGTGTCATTCGCTTGGGATTATCAATACCACAAAAAATTTAGATAACAATAAATAGATGAACACATACATCTAGAAAAAAAACACGAACACCGACAACTGACAACAGTTCCAGCTCGACCATCATTAAACTAACTGTCTCTTTTTATTGAGTATGTCTAAGAAAGTGCTTATCAATCCGAGGTATGACGTAGGAGTTACGTAACTGTGACGTCCTAACTGTAGTTGAAAACTTTTCGACAGTTCGATAGTTGTCAGATGAAACTGCATGCACAGGTTAATGCATGATTCTTTGGTGTCGCTGTCTAAGTCTAAGTCTCGTAAAAATTGTGTTGCTACTGCTCTGAGGGCGTCTTGAGGCCAAATCTGGGTTTGTTGTTCACTAGCTCATTGATTTGTTCATTCGTTTGTTCATCCAATCATTCATTCATCTATTGATGTTATTTTTATTCATTCACTCATCATTTCATTCATTCATCTATTCATTCATTCATTCGTCCGCTCCTCTATCCATGCATGCATCAATCTTCATCCAGTCAGACGTTCTTTCAATCATTCCTTCATTCATTAATTCACTCAGTCAACAAAAATTACCTGCAACCAATCAATGGTGCAGCAGTTTATAAGAGCTGGAAACTTCCTCAACCTATCACGAAAACGACGATGAAGAAGAAGAAGAAGAAGATGATGATGATGATGACGATGATGGTGACGACATTAACAACAGCACAAAAAACAACAACTGCCACTACTACTAATTTTACCAGTCAACAACAACAATAAAAAAAAACAACAACAGTTACTACTACTAATGTTACTTACACTACTGCTGCTACAGTTACTACTACTACTACTACTACTACTGCAGCAGCAGCTGCTGCTGTTAAAGCTGCTGCTGCAGCTGCTACTTTAACAGCTATTAAAACACCACCATCAATAAAGATAATACCGACCTGTTCCTGAAACTGTCCCCAATGGGACTCATGACAAGAACGATGTGAAAGTTATCCCTGCACTGTTCAATGAACATGTTAAATAACGATATCGGCGTTCCATCAGTTTGCTTGGACTTGTCTCGCTGTCTGAAAGTTCATTTGTTTGTCTGTTTAACCATTCATTCAGTAAATCATTCATCATTCATTCATTCATTCATTCGTTCGTTCATTCATTCATTCATTCATTCATCCATCCATTCATTCATTCATTCATTCATTCATTCATCCATCCATCCATCCATCCATCCATTCATTCTTTCATCCAGTCAGCCAATCAGTCACTCATTTGGAAATATATTTCAACTAAAACCACCATAACAACAACAACAACAACAAAACATCAACGTCATCATCCTAAGCAACAGCACCACCAACTTATCTAAAACCCTCATCTTCTCACATATGGCAACTTTTTCATCGGCGTTGAATAAGTTTGGAACCTCGCCGGCGTTCAATAAGTTGTTTATATCTTCCAGAAATGCTTCGTGTTTAATCTATAATTAATTAAATTAACTAATTATTTAACCAATTAATTAAATTAATTGATTACGCTATCATAAACTAACTCAATTATCATCACATCTTTTAAAATTTGAAAGTGAAACTAACTATTCCAAAAAACGAAAATGAAACGAACTATTTTAAAGAATGAAAGTGAAACTTGCCTGGTTATCTGTGAAAAGGAAAACCCCGGGAGCTCCGTACTTGAGAACTTTCATCAGAATTCCTTTCAAATCTTCCCTCCATTCATTCGTTGAGTAACTCTTCGTCACTTCAACCTGTTTCCAAAAGAAGGAGAAAAATTAAATTTAAATTAAATTAAACTTGAATTTAACTTATCATTTCTCTTATTTAACCTCGTCTGAATTAGAACAGACGAGATTTTTGTCTGGTCCAAACTGAAATAATTGTAAACAGGTACAAAAAATGGCGGACAACAAAAAAAACAACACAACAACAACAAAGGCAAAACAACAACACACAACAACATTTAAGCAAAAAACACACAACAATAACAAAAAACAACGACCAAACGACAACACACAACAGCAACAAGCCAACAACACCACAAAAACCCGACCTGGAAAAGTTCGTAATCTGCAATGAAGGCAGCGAGTTTCGTCAGCGAACTGCGACCCGATCCACCCATGCCCACTAGCAAGCAGTGACTTCGCGATTGCTTCAGAATTCGAGAGATTCTACACAGGTGTTCTATGGCGAATCTGTCGTTGGTGATTATTGTTGTTGGTGATTGCTGCTGTTGTTGTTGATGACGGTGCCGTTTGGGTTGACTTTGAGGTTTTTTTTTGAGATAAACACACACGCACAGGAACTCACACGCACACATAAACACACACGCACACATAAACACGCACACACGCACACATAAACACACACGCCAGCAAAACCCCACCTAAACAAGACAATCGTTATAGGAGTCTTATTAACGCCATTATATTCGTCAACGCTGCTCTGCACAATCTCTCTCAACTGTTGGACGTTGTAAACTTCGGCATAATTCCCTTGCCGGCCTTCGTTGAAATCACAAAATAGCAACGAATGCAAATCATCTTCAGTTATAGATCTAGAATTGTTCTGCATATGTAATTACGGATAGTAATTAATAATAATTAGTAACGACGATAATTAATTATAACGACAGTAATAATTAATTTAGTAACGAATAGTACAATTATAAATAATATAATATAAATGATAATATAAATACTACTACCAATACAACTAATACTCTGCCGCTACTACTACTACTACTGCTACTATTACTATTACTTATTATAACAATAAATAATAACTAATAGAAATAATAATAAATAATAATAATAATAATAACAACAACGACAGACGTCTTTGAGATCATTTTCTATCAATCTTTCAAGTAGGACGTCGAACTTAGTGAGCAGTTTGTCGTTCGAGACGTTCTTTAAGAAGTCAAAAAATGTGGCCTGATCGTCCCGGTCTACCAGACGATCGTAATAAACCCTCAAGACCTGAGTGAGTGAATGAGTGAATGAATGAATGAATAAAAGAATGAATGAATGAATGAATGAACGAACGAATGAATGAATGAGTGAGAGAGTGAGTGAGTGAGTGAGTGAGTGAGTGAGTGTGCGAGTGAGTGAGTGAGTGAATAAATGAATTAATTAATGATCGGTTGATATTTTAGAAACCTCGTGTATCCATAGTCTTTGGAGATCTTTAACCGTTGGAAAAGCAGACGGTCTTGATAACGTTACACCTGCCATCCAATCATCATTCATTCATTCATTCATTCATTCATTCATTCATTCATTCATTCATTCATTCATTCATTCATTCATTCATTCATTCATTCATTTATTCATTCATTCATTCATTCATTCATTCATTCTTTCTTTCATACGTTCATTTCTCTCACTTTCTTCTTCATTCTCTCACGAAAACAAATCAAAAACCTTGGATAACTCTGCTAAAATCTCTCAGATTGAAGAGGTAGTGAGACTTGGAGGGTGTGGGCAGTAGCGTCTTGATGGCCTGGTTGTAAATGGACAGTGTCGCGTCCACAATCGCGACACCGGCGCTAGTGAAGTTTACTGGAAATCCTCTTTTAATGGTTTCAAAAAAAATTACTATTTTAATAATTAGATAAAATATTTATGGGAGTATTTTAATTACTTTGTGAATGAATGAATGAATGAATGAATGAATGAATGAATGAATGAATGAACGAACGAATAATCGAACGAACGAACGAATGAATGAATGAATGAACGAATGAATGAACGAATGAATGAACGAATGAATGAAAGAATGAATGAAAGAATGAAGGAAGGAATGAATGAATGAGCAAACGAACAAACGAATGAACAACTAAATGAGCAAACTTGGATTCTAAATGCCACTTGATGATACTTTGAAATATGGTGAGCATGGAGTCATCGTCGAACGTGTTGATGGTGATCGTGTTGAAGTGGCGAAGAAAGCGACTTGAAAGGATATGGCGACCACCACCTTCATGATAACGATGATGGTGGTGGTAAAGATGAGGATGGTGATAATAACCAACCAACCAACCAATTAACCAATCCATCAACATTCAACCAACCAATCACAACTAACTAACCCAAACCAGCCAATCACAACTAACTAATCCCTCAACATTCAACCAACCAATCACAACTAACTAACCCAAACCAACCAATCACAACTAACTCACCCAAACCAACCAATCACAACTAACTCACCCAAACCAATCAGAACTAACTCACCCAAACCAACCAATCACAACCAACTAATCCAACCAGCCCAGCCAATCACAGAACTCACCAGCAAGCCCTAGGGCTCCTACAAGTTGCACCCCCGTCAAATGTATTGGCTCTGCTGTCTTGAGGTCGTACCAGATGCCCTGATCGAGAAGCTGCCTTAAGAGTTCAATAGGAGGTTGGGCGCCATATGTTTCTTTCACTGGCATGTTTAAGTCGTCAACGAAAATTACCTGCAGGTTAGAAAAAACATGATTGAAGAGGTGTGCGCTAAACAAACAAACATAAATGCAAACAAACTCACAAATACAAACAATCAAAACATACAAATACACATACATACAAACACACATACATACAAGCGATCAAAACATACAAACACGCCATACAATCATACGTACAAACACACATACATACAAACAATCAAAACATACAAAGGCACATACAAACAAACAAACAAACAAACAGAATATGTATTAGGTGCAGCTCCAAACACTCCTTTCTTCCTCTTGATAAGTTTCGACATGATCGTGTTCTGCGTCTCAGTGGCCGAAGTTTGCGATGAAAAGTTCATTATATTGGGCTTGTACAAATCTTTATTCATCTTTTTCAGTAGGTAATTCTGTTTGGGTATTTCTTTTTTCTATGTTTATTTTATTATACATTTGTTTCTTTGTATATTCTTATTCTTTATGTATTTTTTACCCATTGTATAACTTTAATCTTTGAGTACTTTTGAACTTCTCACATTTTGTATTTTAAAAATACCCACACAACAACTTAGAGTAATACAAAAATACAAATGACCCACAATAATATAGGTACTTTTTCCTGTTCCGGTCGGCCCGACCAATAGCATTGCTTTCTGATGTGTAACGAACAAATCCATAATAAATGTATAGGCTACTGTATTTTCAGTGGGGGTTATAATCTCGCTGTAGAGGGCGTCTCTGGGTATTGGGGGCATTTTGTGGAGACTTTCACTCCACTTGACCCACTGGTAGACCCCCTGAGACATGGTGATCCTGTAGTTGTAGACCGTGCCAAAGTTAGGGAATAGGGAGCGAGCAGTCGTCAGCATGTCGTTCTTTGTCATGTCTGTACCCTGTTAGGTGTTTGGTTTTGATGCATGTAGTGATTGCGTTTCATTCATTCATTCGTTCGTCCATTTGTTCGTTCATTCGTTTCTTTCATTCATTCATTTCCTAACGTACGATTTGTCTGAGGAGGAGGTCAAATTTTTCTTTCTTATCCCAATCGCCAGTAGCACCCAGGGACCAAATCAAACAAAAGATGAAGATGCACTGTGCGTAGCAATGTATGTATGTTTGTGTATGTATGTATTTGTTTGTTTGTTTGTTTGTATGTATGTACGTTTAAATATATAAGTATACACGATTCATTTTGATCTCTCTGCCGCGATTAACATCAACAATAACATCATCATCATCATCATCATCCACAATAAAAACATCGTCATCATGATCAGCAGCGTTATCATCATCATCATTACCGTCGGCAGCATCATTATCAGTACCTCAATCCATTCAATGATATGTTCTTGGTGCATCTGAGCTATCTCCTTATCGTCGTCCCTCAGATCTTCGGTCATGCATTCAAATAAATTTATGAGGCTCTTAACTAAATTGATATCTGTCGTCGGCGAGAGCTCCTGATTGGTTGATTGATCGGTTGATTGATTAGATGATTGGTCGGTTGATTGGTTGATTGATTGATCGGTTGATTAATTGGTTGATTGATTGGTTGATTGGTTGGTTGATTGGTTGGTTGATTGATTGGTTGATTGATTGGTTGATTGATTGGTTGGTTGGTTGATTAGTTGATTGATCGGTTGATTGTTTAGTGAATCAATTAAACGATCAATCGGTCAATCAATTGACATATGTACGAATAAAAGATATGTTACAAGCAATCAGGCGCCCTCCTTATTTCACACACACACTCTCTCTCTCTCTCTTTCTCTCTCTCTCACACACACACACACAGTAATTGCACTAACCTTAACTTCGTTGCGGACAAACTTCAAGCAGGCATCGACATACTTTTCAAAAAAGGAGGTCAACTTAACGACTAGCAGTTCAGTGAAGAAGGTCGGCAGGGTTTGAACCCACGACCTGAAAATTGGCCGCCAGCCAATGCTTGCCGGATCCATGTACACCATGCCACAACGAGACACCTGTGTGCGTGTATGCGTGCGTGTGTGTGCGCGTGTGTATATGTGTGTATTTGTGTGTGTATGTGTGTGTGCTAACATTAGTATTAATTATCATTATCGACAATCATCATCATCATCATGATCACCGTGGCCGGTGAGGCAGCTTCGAGGTCGAGCGGCTCGAAGATGAGGCTCATCTGTGGCGACATCTGGATGATCTCGCCACTCATCAGACACAACTTCTTGTTGTCGTCTAGCACCGTGTTCATGCTCTCAATCCAGACCGCGTCCACAGGTCCGTCGAAAATCAACCACTTGCGATCTGCAGACTGGACAGATTGGGAATGTCTCATTTGATTATTGTCAACCGGATGTCAACTGGCTGATCAACAAACCAACCAACCAACCAACCGACCAATCAACCAACCAGCCAACAAATCAACCAACCAGCCAGCCAACCAACCAGCCAACCAACCAGCCAACCAACCGACCGGGTCTTGAGCTTGTGCCCTGAAAGATACAGCCAAAATCCCATCGGACCATTCGTGGGAGACCGGATCAAATCTTCCGTACAACTGTCCCATTGTAATCGCTTTTGGGTTGATGACTATGTACTGCGCTCTGTTCTCATCCATCAAACCCTTGATTGATTGGTTGGTGGGTTGTTTTTTTTGGTTGGTTGGCTGGTTGGTTGGGTGTTAGATTGAATAAATTAATGGACCATCATTGGATGAATAAATGGATGAATGAATGGATGGATAGATGAACGAACAAACGAACGAACGAACGAATGGTTGATTGAAATTAATTGACAAATAAATAAGATAAAACACTAAATTATACCTGAGACGCTATATCCTCTAGTGCTGTGGCAAGAACTTTATAACTGCTCGACTTGCCAGCGAACGGTTCGCCAACGATCATGAATCCGTGTCTGACTATCATCATTTCGTAGATCTGAGGTTGTTGTTGTTGTTGTTGTTGATGATGTATTGTTGATGTTTGCCTTGTTTTGACCGCACACACACAAGACTAAAAACCAATAACCCTAACCTGCAAAATTTTCTCCATAAAATAATCTGTGCACTGCAAATTCATGACTTCGCAGGCCTTTAAAATAGCATTCTTCAAGATATTATTCTCCGGATTTGGCAATCTCACTCCAGGAAAGAGATCGGATGTGATGCCGTTGAACAAGGGAATGTCCTGGTTCAGAAATTTCGGGAGGTTGACGTCGATGATTGATCTCAGCATTATCATATCTTCCTTCTCGTTTGGGTATTTCATCTGCCCAGTTTGTTTGGTGGTTTTGTGGTTTTTTGCTTGTTCTTGAAATATTCTTTTAAATGTTACCAATAAATTAACTAACCAGCTAACTAACAAATCAATCATCCAAACAAATCAACCAACCATTTAACCATCCAAACAACCAGCCAACCAATCAACCAACCAACCAATCAAACACTCAACCAATCAGCCAACCAACCAACCACTCAATCAACCTTCAAATTTCCAGCAGCAATCAGCACAGACTTAACAGCCCGCATGCCGTAATCGTAGTGAGATTGAGAGGACAGCTGCTCTGAGCAGAGTCGGTACGTGGCGACAATCTTTACAGACAGAGGCCTGGCCATCAGGAAGCCACATGAATACAAACTTATCTCACTTATCATCGCATAATCTGGGACCATCATTGCCACGGGACGGAATAATGCCTAGAAAAAAAAATTTGGCTAAATGAGATTCAGGCTGCATGGGATTTGTGGGAGATGGATTTGGATGAAAAGAGGATATAGAAACGCCATTACTACCACTGCCGCTTCTGCTACGGCACCAGCTTCTGTCAATACTACTACTGTTTTTAAAATGTGCGGTGAGAAAGACGTAGAAAAATATTAACGATGATTATGATAACAATTTAAATACGAATGATAAAAAATTAAATAAAATAAATTCACTTTTAAATTATCCGGAAGTTCGGATCTTCCGGCATAGCCAGGATTCATCGTAATAAAAATGGCGCAAGATGGCACTAACTTAATAATCGTACCCTCAAAGAATAAGGAATCCGAGCCAGCAAGTATACCTGGGAGTATTTCCGTGTATAAATTAGTATTTTTTTGTATTGTATTGTATTGTTTATGTATTTGTATTTTATATGTATTATTTTGTAGATTTGTAAGCAGTTTGTTTATATGTTCCTAGGTTTGTATACTTGTATAATATTAGTGTTTGTGGTTTTTCATCAACCAACCAACTAACCAATCAATCAACCAACCAACCAACCAATCAACCAAAGTACCAAACAACCAAACAATCAACCAACCAACCAACCGACCAACCAACCAAACAAGCAACCGACCGACCGACCGACCGACCGACCGACCGACCAACCAACCTACCTCTTTGAATAGTGAGTATCTGTTGAGCTACTACAGACAGCACTTCCAAATCAATTCTGTTGAATTCATCGAAGCATGACCAGGCGCCACATGTGGCTAATCCCTTTATTTGTTTGTTTGTATGTTTGTTTGTATGTTTGTATGTATTTATGTATGTTTGTTTTTTGTATGAATGTATGTACGTGTGTGTGTGTAAGCAATGAATGTTTGTACATATGTTATCCCCGACAAGAAAAAAAAAACTTGAAACGAACTTTAAAAACTAATCCCTTTATTTGTTTGTTAGTTTGTTTGTATGTTTGTTTGTATGTTTGTAAATATGTTTGTATGTATGTTTGTTTGTATGAATGTATGTATGTGTGTGTAAGCATTAAATGTTTGTATGCTTTTCCCGACAAAAAAAAATCTGAAACGAACTTTAAAAAACTTGCCGAGTGCGATGTAGTCGAGGCCGTCTGAACAATTGAAAACGACGCATTGTTTGGCAATCGCCTTTGCCAAATCCTTCGTAGTTTCTGTCTTTCCTGTTCCGGCTGGGCCCTCTGGAGCACCCCCTAAGTGGAGGTGCAGTGCCCCGAATAAAGTTCTGGTTGGTTGGTTGGTTGGTTGGTTGGTTGGTTGGTAGGTGGTTGGTTTGTTGATTGGTCGGTTGATTGATTTGTTGGTTAACGTATTGATTGATAAATGGTTAACAAAATTATTTATTCACTTATTTAATTAATTAATTAATATACCGGAACCTGTAACATCGGTCAGTGAGCGGTGTGATGACGAGTCTCGACGTGTTACCGAGGTATTCGTAACCGTATCTCAACTGGGAGTTTATCATTTTCACAAACATGTCGAATGTTTTTCCACCAGATTCCTACAAATACATTCATTTATTTTTAGTTCATTCGTTTCTTCATCCGTTCATCTATATATTTATTTATTAGACAAACATAAAAACGAACGAACGAACGAACCGCCCAATAATATCTGAGTTGGGCCAGCCAATTGAAATCGTTCTCAGATTTGACGTCTTTGCCGATTAGTTCAGCCAGCACATCCCTGGAGTGTACGTCCAGCACGATTAGTGCTTGCAAGATGATGCGGTGCTGTTTCGAAAGCTCACCCCTCACCAGCGTCACCAACATTTCAATCTGACTGTTGTAGTGGTGGTGGTTGTCGATGTGTTTGTAGTTTTTTGATGATGTTGTTGTTGTTGTCGCTGTTGTTGTTGTTGTTGTCGTTGTTGTTGCTGCTGCTGTTGTTGTCGTTGTCGTTGTTGTTGTTGTACAAACAAACAAACAAACAAACAAACAAACAAACATACATACATACATACATACATACAAAATAGACACGAAAGCTTACCTATTGTTAGTGGCCAGGTATTTCTTCAGAGCCAACTGACCCTGGCCAATAGCCTAATTAATTAAATATGTTAATTCACGTCGACTTATGCTAATCAAATGTGTTAATATATGCTAATTAGATATGCTAATTTATGTAAATACCCACTTCGTGCACGTATGAAGTCCAATACAATTGCGACACACAAAGTACAGCCTGGCCGGACCAACTCTGCACCCAAGTACTCCTCTTGTTTTGGGGGTACGCTTCTATGGCGGTCGATACCACCTTTAAGATTAGAGGGGGGAGAACAAAAATTTTATTTATTTAAAAAGTGAGGATTCAGTAACTCTATGAAGACATAAAAAAAACTGCTCTACCATTAACGTCAGCTAGGCGAATGCAGTAATAACTACGTATAAATCAAGCGAACTAACGTTTTTAATAGACAAAACCATGGAATATTCAAGTTCGAGGAGCCATTTTTCTACTTGACCTTTGGCCTTTGCAGTCGAAACAGTCTGAGAGAGTTGGATGGATTCACCCTCGCTACTCAACATGTGCGTAATTTCAAGGACGTCTGTAAAGGTCAGGCGGGCTATGCCCTCGAAGCACTTTTTCAAATGCGGTTGCACTCTGCGTTTGTGTACGTGAATGTGTGCGTGCATGTGTGTGTGTGTGTCTGTGCGTGCATGTGTGTGTGCGTGTGAGTATGTGTGTGTATTATCTACCTCGTCGGGTCCTTAGTTTCCGTCAATATCTCAAGTAGTTCGTCATTTGATAGGAAGAAAAAGCGAGGGAAGTACAATCTCTTTTTCTCTAAGTAATCATTCATTCCCTGGTTGCGATAATTATTAACAATAACGTTAATATTAATAATAAATATTAATAATTATAATAGTTATTATTAATTAATAATAATAATAATAATAGCGAAGCGTACCATCTGTACCATGTCCAGTAGTTTGTTGCACTGTTTGAACGACTCAACGACCTTCTCAATGTTAACCAGCGATGTTACTTTTGCATCCTGCACGACCTGCTTCATTATTCCTTTGAAAATTTTGTCCACCTGCATTTTTAGATTTCGTTAATGTTAAATACACACGCACACACCTACACACACTCACACACATACACACACACACCTACACACACACACACACACCTACACACACATACATAAACACACATACACATACACACACACATACATAAACACACACACACACAGACCTGCATAAATTTATTTCCTTCAGATGGCATCTGAGCCATTATATCCCTGGAGCTAAATATAGGCTCGAGGTACAAGTAGTTAGCCTGCATTTTCAACCAGCCATCTAAAGCCTGTTGGATCGTTGTCAGGGTCTTACCCCACTGTCTGATTTTGTTGATGTTGCTATTTATCATTCAGTATCATTTAAAACACTCAGACGTATAACCGCGCAAACATACAAAACGTACGTACGTACGTAAGGAACGTTAACTAACGCGTACAAAACATTCACACAAACATAAAAAACACATACACACACACGCACATACACACACGCACACACACACACGCACATACACACACGCACATACACACATACACACACGCACACACACACGCACACATAAACACGCACGCACACACATACATACACGCACGCACACACACACACACACACATACATTGTAGCTGCTTCGTGTGGTTTGATAAAGGCAGAACTCAGCATCGTCATCGTCCTGACTATGTGGTCTTCCAATAGAACTTGTATCTCGTCAACTGATGATACTATGTAAGTGGCGCTATCTCGATACGGTAGTAAAGTAAATTCAATCTGTGTGTGTGTGTGTTGTGTGTATGCATGTATGTGTGTGTGTATGTGTGTATGTACGTGTATGTGTGTGTGTGTGTGTGTGTAAGTGTGGGTGTACGTGTGATGTATTAGCTCGCGTACGTGTGCGTTACGTGATTGCGAAATAACTTTCAATTGTTTATGCTGCTTCTTAAATTGTTTTTGAGTTGTATATATGTATAAGTACAACTTTACTTTATTTTTTTTTTCAAAGTATAGAGTTAAAAGAGCAACAAAATGACACTCGCAACAAGAACGATCAGACAAACAAACAAACATATACCAATCAACAAATACAACAACACAGACAAACACACAGACACACACAGACAGAGACACTTACATTCGCCCATTCACTGGTCATCTTCATGAGAGCCTTCTCCAGCGTATATTCCTTACTAGCAGCTTCAGCGATGGCTTCAAACTGTGGCAAAAATTCTTCTAGGTGAAGTTCAATAATCTGCTCCAAGGTTGTCTCTGGTTTAGGAGTGATGTCACGACCGACGATTTCGCTAATTTTGAGCCAGTGCCTCTCGCGAATGCTTGGGTTTGCAAGGTTTTGTATGATCGGCAGGTTCTTGCTGAACTCTTCAATTTGTACGCGGGTCTTTTTTTGAAAATTTTTTTAAGAAAAAATGTCGATTCACTTCTTACAGTTGTCAGATTTATATTATTGTTCATCAGTAACTGATCAATCAATCAATCAACTATCTCCATCCAATCAATCACTAGACTGATAAACCAACCAGCCAATCAATCAATCAACCAGCCAGCCAGCCAACCAACTAACCAACATGGCCAGTTTTTTAGGGGCAGGTTGTTCGCTGAAAGCCTTCTCCAGCCTGTTCAACGTTCTAATGTAGTTCGATATATCCGATTGTACGTTATCCGGTATGACGTTTTCTCGCGGGCCTTTCATCCAAACCCTTGAAAATTTAAAAAAAGATCATAATTACACGCACACACGCGCACGCACACACACGCACACAAACAGATATATATACACACACATGCATACTTGTAACTAGTAAGGTATTCCATGATAGTCTCATAGAGCTGTTTATACGGTTTCAAAGTGTCGTAGATTTTTCTTATTTGCTGGTCAAAATGCGTTATATTCAATTGGAAGCATTCCTCTTCGCTGTTATACTTCTCCGCCTAATGTTAATAATAATAATAACAATAATAATAATAATAATACTAATAATAATAATGATAATGATGATGATGATGATGATGATGATGATGATATCAAAGGGTGGCGAGGTGCTGTAGTGGTTAAAGTGCCTGCTACTGATGCTGCTCTAACTGGGATCGAATGCAAGGAGATTAGCACCATTCATCCATTCATCCCATGCAATTCGTGTGATGCATGGATTCACGCGTATTTGTGTGTCGTCGATACGGAAAAGGAGTACGTGGAAAAGAATTGTTAAAAAACAGCAACAGCAACAACAACAACAACAGCAACAACAACAGCAACAACAACAACAACAACAACAACAACAACAACAACAACAGCAACAGCAGCAACAACAGCAACAACAACAACAACAGCAACAACAACAACAAATCCCACTAACGAGAATGGCGGCGTCGTCAATTTTCTTCTCGATGGCGTTGGCCATCTTGAGGTAGGTCGGAACGTCGCTGATGTTGAACAACGTGCCGAACTCCTGCACCTGCTTCTGGTAGGCGTCCAAGTCTTTCATCAACTTCTCCAAGTTCTCCTGTTTTATATTTATTGAATCTCATTTTCTCTCTCTCTCTCTCTCTCTATCTCTCTCTCTCTCTTCCTATCTCTCTCTATCTCTCTCTCTCTCTCTCTCTTCCTATCTCTCTCTCTTCCTCTCTCTACTACTACTAATACTAATAGTAATAACTTGTAGTTGTTCTTGAAAGAGTTCCGTCTGCTTCTCAACAATGTAGGCGTGTTTAATGAGCACCTCCGGAACCCTGTACACAAATCTCAAAGTGTTAATATTAAGCGCTATATCATACGGACTGATTGTCGTCTGCTCGACCAGGTATATCATTTTGGCGGTCTCATTTTTGACAGCCTGTTCTATGGCTGGTAGCTGATGGTCGATGATCTTCTCGCCGTTCTTCTTAAACTCCATCAGCTCGAGTGTGTTCTCTGGTTTCTGTAACAAGGCACCCATCAGCTGCTCGTGTTCGGCGCATAATCTGATGGCGGGCGTTTGTCGGTTTAACTTTCTGCTTAGTTTCATTTATTTAATTTAAAATAACAACAACAACAATAATAATAATAATAACAATAATAATAATAATAACTTTTCGAAGAATGCTCTGTGCATGGTGTGCATAGCATCCAGGATCCTGTCAGTGTCCACCTCAATTATCTTCCCCAGCTGCTTGTTCAGCGTTGAGCAGTCTATGAAGAAATTCTCCTTCACGAATTTCTGGTGGGGGCATAATAATAATAATAACAATAATAATAATAATAGTAACAAAGAACAATAAAAATCAAATCACCTTTTCTAATTTATCAATGGTCTCTTTCAATTCACTGAGTTTCGTCATCATACTGGTCATATCTTCGAATTTAACGTCCTCTTTCGATAGCATCGTTATTATATCTTGGGTAAGCTGTGGTGGAGACATTTATTGATCTTTGTTATGCATGCAACTCTCTGAGGCGCTCGCGTATCGTGTTGATGAACGGTGGTGTTAACAATGATGATGATGATGATGATGATGATGATGATGATGATGGTGATGGTGGTGGTGGTGGTAGACTGACCCTGCCCTCGACAATGTAGGACAAGTCATTATATCTCTCGCGAGCCTCCAGTGGATACCGGTAACTTTTCATCAGCGCGTCTTTTATGATCAGCTTTTGGAAGAAGACTATGTTGCTGGGAATCTTTATCTTCAGCATTCTATCTGGCTGTTATATTTGAAATAAATTTATTTGTTCTTTTTTTCTCTTTACATAAATTTAGGAATAATCAGCCAAAACCGAACGAACGACCAACCAAATAAAGTATATCAACAAACAATCAGCCAATCAAATAACGCCTTCAGACAAACCAGCGATTAAATTACATCAATTACAAAACCAGCCAGCCAATTAAATTGAGCAACAATTAACCAACCAATCAGGGCACGACTACAAACCATGTGATTGATAAGCTTCGTTTCTATTCGCGGAAGTATTTCCGTGGCCCTAATGACGTCATGGTAGACTGAATGCATAGCGCTTATTATTTCTTCTAACTTTGGCCTCAATTCTATTTGGTCATTCTCTAACAGTAGTTCTATTATTATGCCGCTGTGACTGCAATCTACCGTTGGTGTCTGCGTGTGTGTGTGTACATGTATGTGCGTGCATGTGTGTGTGTGTGTGTGTGTGTATGCATGTCCATGTTTGTGTGTGTGTGTGTGTATGTGCGTGTGAGAGAGAGGAATTTGGATTTATGTAATAAATCTCGGTATGCTTGCGTATTTAAATATTAATTAATACGTTCATTCATCGTTTGTTCGTTCGTTCGTTCGTTCATTTCATCATTCCCTCATTCATTAACTCATTCACTTCACCATTTAGTCATTCATTCATCCATTCATCCATTCATTCATTCATTCGTTCGTTCATTCCCATTCCCACAACATACGTCATTCAGCGTCATCTGCCTATTAAACATCATGGTGAATTCCGTGATGGATGATATGGTCAGCTGGAACATCAACTTCTCCATCAGGACAGCTGCACAGTCGAAAAAACGAGCCATCTTCTGTGTTGTTAGTGGGACTAACCCTGTTGTGTTGTTGTTGTCGTTGTTGTTTCTGTTGCTGTGAATGAGTCTGTGAATGAATGAGTGAGTGCATGAATGAGCAAGTGAATGAATGAATGAATAAATGAATGAATGAACGAACGAACGAACGAACGAAAAAACGAACGAATGAATCCTTGACAAATCAACCTTTGCGACTCTCGAGATAAAACATCCTTTGAGCGGCAGGCAAAAAACTGTAGATGTAATAATAATAATAATAATAATAATAATAATAACAATAATAATAACATAATAATAATAATAAAATAATAATAACAATAATAGCAACGAGGGAGAGAACCTTTCCTGAAGCTTCCACTGAAGATTAGATACCTGTCCGTAACACAGCCCGATGAACTCGTCCAACGTCATTGGCGATTGTCTCGTCTCGAAATACAAACCGTTGATCAGCTTCAAACTTCTGTACATACAAACATACAAACAAACATACATACATACGTACATACATACATACATACAGACATGCACATACCCAAGAGTTTGATGCCAAATTGTGTTAGTTTTTCTCATACAGACGTGTATTGTGTAGAGATTCTTCGATAAAAACTCGATACTCCGAACGAATCGACTGTGCCACGGTTTTGGTAAAATTTTTAGCTCATCCCTGTACGTCGATTTTGGCGGTCGAAATTTTGAGGAATCCGACACGTAGAGAGATGCGAGTTTTTGAAATTTTTCGTAATCTTCGTCGTTGCCGTCATCTTTTCTTACGTGGTTCGTAATGTATTCGACTGAATAAATAAATGGATGAAGAGATGAATCAATCAATCAATCAATGGATCAATGAATGGATGAATCAATCAATCAATCAATCAATCAATGGATGAACGAATTAATGCATTAATGAATAAATGAACAAATAATCAAACAAATGAATGAAGATATGAATGGATGGATACAATGATGAATGCCCACCGACAATCTGCCTACTCCTATCTACGTACAAGTCGGTTACTTCTTTCAGCAGAATTTTAAATTGAGCAGATCTCGCCATCTAAACATAATTATTTTAATTATTATAGATGGATGGGCGAATGGATGGATGGATGGATGGATGGATGGATGGATGGATGGATGGATGGATGGATGGGTGGATGGATGGATGGATGGATGGATGGTTGGCTGGATGGATGGATGGATGGATGGCTGGCTGGATGGATGGATGGATGGATGGATGGATGGAAGAATGCACGCGTTGCACACATACCGAATAACGACTTTCGCAAATGAATTTGAAATTCATTTATTCGTTTATTCATTCATTCAATCATTTACTCATTTATTCATTCAATCATTCATTCAATCATTCATTCATTCCGTCATTTACTCATTCATTCATTCATTCATCCACTCATTCATCCACTCATTCAAACGAACCCTTAGATAAAGAGGTATGAGGTTCTCAATGTTGTTGAGCCAGTCTTCAGACATTGGCGGTATCGAGCTCATCTCGGCAAACCCATGCTTTATAAATAATCTGTACTGATTCTTCTGTATTGGTGTTGTTTGTTTGCAGTTGATGCAGATGCTGGTCTGCTGTGGCTGTTTTGTCTTCGTGCTTGTAAGTGACTAACGTAAAAATTAATTAAAGAGTTTGTTGTTTTTTTTTATGTTTTAATGTATTATAATGCCTAATCGTGATATCGTCACGTTTACGTCATCAATACCCCCATAAAAACGTCATCATCACTGTCCTCCTAATCATCAACAACAACAGCGACAACAATAAACAACAACCAACAACAACAACGTCATCATCGTCGTTAAAATGGAAAAAATTAAAAGCAAGAGATTGAAAAAATTTGAACGTAACGAGTTCGGCCAATGTCGGTTCATTGATATTGGCGTCAAACTGAGGTACGCATTTCAATTTCTCTGGATCCATCACTCTCTCTTCATGTAATCTGTCGTTTGAATTGTCAGTCACGGCAAGCCTTTACTTTTCAGCCAGTTAAACTACATGGACGTTTACTTGCAATTTGCATTGTCAATTGCGTCAAACTTCTTACGCTGATTGCATTACACATTTTTCATTTGTCAAAATTATCAAGAAAAAAGAAAGACAAGTTACTAAAATCATTCAAAAATATCAGCAAAGAAATGAAAACAAACGCCAATTCGACTAATTTTTCCCTAAAATTTCTCTTTTTTTCCCTAATTTTCTTCTCTGCCTGAATGGCTCTGTATTGGGGATTGAGCATTTTCGCTCTTTCGGTTCTTGCTTCATATTCTTGTTTCCTGACAGTATTATACCGTTTGATCTCGTCTGATAGGAACTTTTCAAAATCGGTTTTCATTCGTTTTACATCTGTCAGTTTGTTTTTTAATCGTTTAACAGTTTCAACCAGTCAATCAATCACTGACGTCAATTAACTAAATATTTAGTTTCAATCAGTCAATTAATCAATCAATCAAATAATATTAGCAAATTAGCTTGGTAAATTAAACGATCATATAAATTATAATATTATACATTTTTAATGGCGTTTATTGATATTATTTTTGTTAAAAAAAAAAAAGAATAAATCATACAATCTTGATAGAATTTCGAGTTAGTTGGCAGACAGTTCAAATCCCCTCCGTATTTTAAAAATATATCCTTTAAATTTTCAAGTAAGGCATGAAAATAAATATAAAAAAATTGACATATCAGTATAAAAATTATTTTTATTGGGCTTTTAAAATTTAAATCAAGGTTTCATTAATTTCTGGTGAAATAAGTTATAAAATCACTTTGTTCGTTTGTCGTCTCATATCTTCAAACTCTTAATTTCAACAAAATGTTAAATTTAATTTAGAAATTGTCAATTTTGTTAGTAAGCCAATCAACTACTCTTCAAATTTCAAACTGCAAGCCGTTACACAATTACGTAATCGCATCCACAAGGTATGTATGAATGACGTTTGGAAATAATAACGCTGTAGAAACTCCACATTTACTAATTTATTAGCAAAATTTCTTAATTTATTTGCAAACATTTTACACGAAATAGTTAAATTTTTAAAGTTTGAAGGCTTTTTTCAAAGAGTTTCATGCAAAATTACTGACGTTTGTGTATTGGTCACTCTATAATATATTTTAAAACTATGACATATAATAATTATTTTTACTCTATCTCTATAAACAAAATATGTTTAAATGTTTTTTAATTTGAAATAATCAAGTAATTTGATGATGAAACTTTAATTATTAAAAATGCGCTTTAGAGTTGACCTATGGTAGTTTTGACATTAGCTAGCGTAGAAACTTCGAGCATTTTAAATATAATTATTTAATCTCGACCGAGTGCGATTCTTTTGTTCTTCAAATTGCGTCTTTTCTTCGTCTAAGGTGAATTTTATTCATTTTTCATTTAATTTACTTTTTTCAGATTTATTTGACAATTTCATTTTGCGATTGTTTCATTCATTTGTAAATTTGTTCACGATGTTTCTCGTAGTTTTCGCTGGCACGTGCGTCCTTCAATAATGCCGGTATAAGGTCAGACCACAAAATGTCTGAATTTTATCAATTTGAAAATGCTTTCGCTTGTCATTTGGCCGTTTGTATTATCCCTCGATTACTCTTCAATCGTTTTTTCAACTCTGATCAAAATCATTCATAGTGATCACCGGCAAAAAATATTACTTGGCCTTAATAATTAATAAACCATTGGTACTGATTGAAATTTTAATTTTGAGGTCATGAGAGCTATATTTTTAAGACGTTTAGCTCATTTGGTTATTTCTATCTGTGTGTGCTTTGTTTGATTATCATTATATATATTGTGGCATTGTTGCATCATCTCTCACATGTGTGATTGTCTTGAACATTTAAAATTTTCAGTGTTCAGTCATCACACTCATTAAAAATGCATCGCATTCCAAGTACCATGATGTCATTGGCAAGATCTGCCAGCATTAAAATGAACAGCAAACTGCCTGCAGCATTGATGGTGCCTGCAAACAGGAGTTATGCAAAGGATGTAAGGTTTGGAGCAGAAGGAAGACACATGATGTTGCAGGGTGTCGACACTCTGGCTGATGCTGTTGCTGCTACCATGGGACCTAAGGTTTTTTATTTAAGTGACATCTTTGTAAAATATTTTCACAATGTGTTCAAAAAATTTCTTTTTCTTACTAAGGGAAGAAATGTAATAATCGAACAAAGCTGGGGCAGTCCAAAAATCACAAAAGATGGAGTCACTGTTGCCAAAGCAATTGACTTGAAAGACAAATTCCAAAACCTTGGGGCCAAATTAGTGCAAGAGGTAGCAAACCGAACCAATGAGGAAGCTGGTGATGGTACTACAGCTGCCACCATCCTTGCCAGGGCATTTGCTAAGGAAGGATTTGAGAAGATAAGCAAAGGAGCTAATCCAATTGAAATAAGGAGAGGTTGGGAATGAATTAATTAGTGTGGGTGTGCTTGATGTCAATGATGTTGATGATAGAAATGTATTTGTGGTAAACTGTTCAATGATTGTATGTTTAAAAAAACTGTTTGTGGATGTGTAACTTGTTCCAACTTCACAGGCGTCATGTTGACAGTAGAAGCAGTCGTAGACAGGCTGAAACAAATGTCTAAGAAAGTAACTACACCTGAAGAAATTGCTCAAGTTAATTCCATTTTAAATTATTTTTTTAAATAATTTTCTGAATAAATAAATAATTATATAATATGTAAGCTTTGGAGTAATGTGCCATTTAATGGAAATTATTTATATTTTCTGAATAAATAACTTGGGTGTAATTTGGGATTGTGTGTTGTTATCTAATGGATGTACAATGAAAATACATTTGTTGTAAACAAATGGCTCAGCCAAAATATTTTAAAAACATACAACGGGGTGTAGTGTTGTAAATACATCAGACAATATTTTCATTTGATATATTTGCATACTTAATAACAAATACAAAACTGGAATTGAAGAATAAATTAAGAGTTGTTAGTGAATGTCTTACCTACTATTTTTTATATACATTAAAAGGTAGCCACTATTTCATCAAATGGCGACAAATCGATCGGCACAATAATTTCAGACGCCATGAAGAAAGTTGGCAAAGACGGTACTATCACCGTTAAGGTTGTTATGGTTGCTGCTGTTGTTGTTGTGGGGATATTTTTGTTAATGTGAGGATTTTGTTGTTTTGGGGATGTTGTTTTTTTTTTTGTTGTAAATGTGAGAGTGCTAATTAATTAATTAATTAAATAGGATGGCAAGACGTTGAAAGATGAATTGGATGTGATAGAGGGCATGAAATTCGATCGCGGTTACATATCCCCATATTTCATGAACACTGCTAAAGGTTTGTTAGGCTTTACACAAACACATACGAGCACACTCACGCATACGCACACACACAAATACAAACATGCATACAAAACGTTCCAGGAGCCAAATGTGAATTTCAAGATGCCCTAATCCTGTTCAGCGAGAAGAAAATCTCTAGTGCCCAGTCCATCATACCAGCTCTTGAACTTGCAAACACTCAGAGGAAGCCCATCGTTATCATTGCTGAAGATGTCGATGGAGAGGCCCTGTCGACTCTTGTGCTTAACAGGTTGGTTTGCTGCTACTGCTGCTGTTGTCTGCATTGGCTTTGTTGTTTGTTGTTGTCAGTGTGTTGGTGTGTTTGTTAATACAATACAAACATATTGAAACACATACAAACAAACATATGAACGCACATACACGCACAGAATTAAAGTTGGTCTTCAAGTTTGTGCAGTCAAAGCTCCAGGATTTGGAGACAACAGGAAGAATACATTGAAGGATATGGCTATTGCTACTGGTGGAATTGTCAGTGTTATTTCTATATTAATAGGTTATGCTATGTTGTTACTATTTGCTATATATTATTATGTAATACAAGGTGTTTGGAGATGAGGCCGATATGTACAAGATTGAAGATGTTCAGATTCAGGATTTGGGTAAGGTCGGTGAGGTCACCATAACTAAAGATGATACACTGTTGATGAAGGTTAGATTGTTGTTTGTTTGTGTATGTATGTGTGTGTGTGTGTGTACAGTTTTTCTCCTTTCCCTCTCTCTCCCTCTCTGTATGTATATGTGACATTTTTCTCTGTGTGTGTGTGTGTGTGTGTGTGTGTGTGTGACATTTTTGATTTAACAACTTGTGAAACCAACTGATCAAACAGGGCAAAGGTGAGAAGGCAGAAATAGAGAAGCGAGTGAATGAACTGAGGGAAGAAATAAAAGAGACGACGTCTGATTACGAGAAAGAAAAATTGACAGAAAGACTGTCAAAATTGTCCACCGGTGTTGCTGTCATCAAAGTTAGTTTTGGACTCTACGGTGGTTGCTGTGGCTGTGGCTATTCTTGTTGTTTGTTTGCTGGCAAGCATATTGTTAACAATGTTGATGACAAATTTGTATGCCCTTCTAGTACTGCATTGTGAAGTTACATGAAAATTTAAGATGACTTGATTTTAGCTGAAAATGCTTGATAGGTTTATCCATTAATTCAATCATATTATAATTGTAAGTCCTTTTTCAACTAAAATGATTTACAAAAGTTCAAAACTTCCCCCCAAAAGGTAGGTGGCAGTAGTGAGGTGGAGGTGAATGAAAAGAAGGACAGATACACAGATGCCCTAAATGCCACAAGGGCTGCGGTAGAAGAGGGCATCGTCCCCGGTGGCGGTGTGGCCCTCATCAGATGCCTGGACAGCCTTGGTGATATTAAATATGACAATCCTGATCAGCAAATTGGTTAGGAACTTATATTTATTTTGCTACTTTAGTTTGTTTTCTTTCTACTTATTCTACTTATTTTAGTGTTAAGGTAGGAGTGCATCAAGGATCAGTGTTATCACCGTTTCTGTTTGCAATTGTGATGAATGTTGTGTGTGGAAACATAATGGAGGGGTTGTTATTTGAGATTTTGTATGCAGATGATTTAGTCTTGATGGCTGATAGCATGGAAGAATTGCAGTTAAAATTTGACAGATGGAAAAGTGTTATTGAAAAGAAAGGGTTAAAAGTTAATATTGGTAAGACGAAGGTAATGGTGAGTGGGGAAGGTGGGGAGCGAGTGATAAGTAAAATAGACCCCTGTGGGGTATGTGACAGGAGAGTGAAGGCTAACTCGGTGTTGTGTATAGGATGTCAGAAATGGGTGCATAAGAGATGTAGTGGTTTGAGGGGGGCACTGAAGAAGGTGGAAGGCACGTTCAAATGTAAGAAATGTGCTCATGGTGTGATTAATAGGACGGACGCAAGGACGGGGTTGAGTGGTGGTATTGAAAGAGTGGAAAGCTTTGTTTACTTAGGGGATAAGCTGAATGCGGATGGAGGATGTTTGAGCGCAGTTACGGCTAGAGTTCGTGTGGTATGGATGAAATTTAGGGAACTGGGTGGGGTATTGTGTGGAAAGAAATGGTCAGTTTGGATGAAAGAGAGGGTATATAAAGCATGTGTGAGAGCAGCGATGGTATATGGTGGTGAAACTTGGGTGTTGAGGAGAGAGGAGGAAAGTGTACTGCAGAGGGCTGAAAGAGCTATGGTGAGGATGATGTGTGGGGTTAAAGTGAAGGATAGGAGGAGTAGTACAGAGCTGATGTCAATGATGGGACTGAATGAGGACATTGTGACATTGATAAGGAGATCGAGATTGCGGTGGTATGGACATGTGTTGAGAAGGGATGAAAGGGTCGGGATTAGGTGAGCGTTGGAGTTCGAGGTTGAAGGAGTGGTAGGAAGGGGTCGTCCGCGATTGGGATGGAGAGAGCAGGTGGAGAAGGACAGGGTGAAAGCGGGGTTGCGTGATACTGAGGCGAGTGACAGATGTGGATGGCGTCGAGGGGTATTTCGGTTTCATCATAGGTAGCCAAACGGCAACCCCCAATCTCGGGGAAAATGCCGTCTAAACGTGTGTTGTTTTGTTGTTTTCTACTGACTCACTGATTACTTAATTAGCAGTTAATTGGGTTTAATTTGTTACTATTTATTGCTTCTTGTGCACTCACTGCTTGATTAATAAACAAATCAGGAGGTGATATCGTCCGAAAAGCCCTGCGAATTCCATGCCACACGATAGCCCAGAACGCTGGAGTGGATGCACAGGAGATAGTAACAAAGGTGATGCAAGAGAAGGGGGATTTTGGTTACGACGCCCTCAATGGCAAGTTCGTTGACATGATCAAAGCTGGTATCATAGATCCTACAAAGGTTTGTGTTTCCGTTCGTCTAGAATTTTCATTTCATTCATTTACTGATTAGTTCATTTGCTATGATATTTTTTCTCAATCAAACACAGGTAGTAAGAACATCCTTATTAGATGCAGCCAGTGTAGCTTCATTACTAACGACAGCGGAAGTTGTGGTAGCTGAACTTCCTAAGGAAGAGAAGGCAGGCCCTGACGCCGGCATGGGAGGAATGGGTGGCATGGGAGGAATGGGTGGAATGGGGTATTAGGTAGCTGATTGGATGGGTGGACTTTGTCGTTGGGTAATCTGTTTTTTGATTGGTTGATTGACTGTGTGTTGTTTGGTTTCTTTTTTTGTTGCTGTCTACCTGTCTGTCTGTCCATGATGCAGATGTTAATGTTACATATTTGTAATTTCATCATCGTACGTGGTTTAATGTAATGCTATGGTTATGCATTGTGATGTGGTGCGATGCGTTGGTTATGTAATGCGTGACCCAGGTGGATTCGTTAAAATAAATTTATAGATCACTACTAGCACTACTAAATGTGTTTGCTCTTTTTTTTAAATTTTTTATTAAACCTTTTTCAATTTTTGTTAAAAAATTCTGTTTATGTCGTTACAAAGAAAGTATTTTTTTTTTGGTTTCGTTTTGTATGTACATAGGAGTTTGTTTCTTGGCTTGTTCAGTTTGTTTGCTGTTGGCAATGTCGGCGTTGGAAGGTTTTATATAATTTGTTGGAAAGCTAAAATATTTTATTTCATGTCGTTAATTTGTTTTTTATTTATCATTATAGATATATTATTGATGAATTCATTTGGTTATTTTCCTTTGTTATAGCTTTATAATTGGATCTGTATTGAGGGCGTTGACATTTGTTAATGATGTTGTTAGTCAAAATTGTGACAATGGCGTGATGATGTTAACAAATGCATAATTAATGGATTGATAATTATTGGCTTTATAAAATGTTTTTTGATATGAGTTTGTTTTTAGTACAACTGTTTGATCATGTTTGTTGTTGTTGTTGTTAATGTTTAGTTTTATAATAAATTTTCTTGTTTTTTGGGTCAGTTCCTTCGTTTAATAACAGATTTTAATAAAAATTCAAATCAAAGTATATATATATTTGCTAGAGAAATATATAAATATATTTGCTAGAGAAACAGTTCAGAGTTACACTGGCTGTCACTTTATGCGAATTAATAATTTTCACCTGGAAAGTAAATGGTTTTACCGATATTCTTTTTCTTCTTAGTCACTTTAAATTTTTTAAATAGCTGGTGATAAAATTTGTCGGCCTTGTCGCAAACGGTTATCTCAGGGTTGTACCTCGGTCTGGGGTGAGTCCAAGACTTTCTGAAAGGTGCCGTCACGAACACCTCACTGGTTCCATTTTTGTCGACGGCTCTGCTGAATTCCAGGTAATAGAGTTGGTATCCGTTGAGGATCTGTTCACTGGCGTCGGTGCATTCGTGCTTTTTATCATTACTTGCGTCATTTTCTCCAGATTTTTGCTGTGTCGTCATTTTAAATTTAGCGTAGTTGTAGTTGATTTCTCCGTATGGCGAGACGAAGGATGGTACTCTGTACATGAAATGGAAAATTAAGTGATCCGCTTGTTGGCATTCGTCAAGTTCCGGAGTGTTAATTGTTCTGTTGCAATTGTAAGAGCCGTAACTTCCGTTGTTCGTCGTTATGATCAGGAGCGACCGAACTAGCCAGGGATTCTCGATGTCGTAGCCGTGATCGTAGAGTAAAGTTTTGACGCTGAAATTAAATTTTAACCTCTCAGGTGGAAATTTATCCTCGCTCGTGTAGTTCAGAACCGTGTTTTCGTGCAGCATGACGATGGAAACGTTGATGAGATGGTATCGCATCAGTTTCATGGTAGGCTCCTTCCTCCAGTTTTGTACCGCGAAGGATGTGGCGACGCAAAATAACAGACAGCAGACGAAGATGAATGTGCTCTGTATGACGTATTTATCATTTTTTCTTATCTTCCTACCTTCTATATGCGCGAACCAGATTATGCGTGTTAAGATGTAGATTATCCTGAAAGCGTTGCATATCGATTCAATTCCAGTTGTGTAATCCCTTCTGCTCTTACTGATGAAGTATGCAATCGTAGAAAGAGGAATGTGTTTGAATGTTAGCGTAATCATCAGGTCGTACGGGATGGGTAGATAAGTTTCGCGTGATGGACTGTACAACAACGAAAAGCTGTTCAAACTTTCAAACACGTATAGGAACCAGCTAACTACTGTGAAAGCAAGCAAAAGTTGCCAGAGAAAGGTCCTTGGAGGACCAATGACTAGGCAGTACTGCAAGTTCGAATCAGTCAGCTGAGCAAAATTAGCCACATTAAGAACCATGTCAATGGTTCCCAGAGTTATCATAACACCTACCCAGGTTTTGTCGGCCTTCACGATCTTTCCAGTTATCAACTTCACAGATCTCCGATACCTACTTATCGACTGTGAATGTTTGTTGGCAGAAGTTCTGAATTTCACGAGTGGAATTCCCATACGTTCAATGATTGGACGATGAAGCAGTGGAGGACGTTTCATCTTTTTCTTCCGACTTTGAGATTTATCGCGATGTTTTTTCTTTCGTTTGCTTAGCTCTGGGCTCTCAGGAAATGTCGTACATTCAAGAGATTCAGCAGGGCTTTCGAGATCAAGAGTTGTTTGTGTCTCATCTCTCGATTCTTGCGTTCTGTAGAGACGTTTTTGTGGCTGCTGTAGCTGCTGTTGTTGTTGTCGTCGTTGTTGTTCTATTCTACCGATTACTCTTTTTCTCGTCGATGATGGCTGTGGTGGCGGTCTACTGATGCTATCATCTTCATCTTCCTCCAATGAAATTACAAAATTATCTTCATTCAGCATCTTGCTGGTATATATTCAGATGCACAAAATTTATGTGTACGTATTTTATGTACAAACTAACAATTATACGTCGCTTAAGAATTTTTTTTGTCGTACAAACAGGAATACAAAAAGTTACTGAACCAGTGGAATCGTTGTCAGCCGATTGCACAGCTGAATATTACATTCATACATAGATTTTTTATGAACAACTTTTACATTGAACGCTGACTTCCTTATATACAATACAGCAATACAGGCAGACGTCATAAGACACACACACACACACACACACACACACACACACACACACACACACACACACACACACACACACATACATTACCACTGTTTACACACTGATGCCACGAAAAACTATGATGATGATAACGTTACGTCGGGTTATTGTTTATAAAACAAACAAACCAAATGTTATTGCAGAGCTGGATGTCGTTTGGGATTTAGTAAATGATAATTACAACTCCTAATACTGTATTGAGTTGTGATTGATACACGCAGGCACACACCACACAAACGCATACGTATAATATATTGATTCATATCATCCATAATAGTATAACCAGCACAGTAAAATAGAACTGAAAGGATAGTACGATACCAAACAATCAAACGGGCTAAGTTACACGTAGAGAAAACCCAATATTTCTCGCTTGGTTCATTCAGTCAATTGAATCAACTTTAAGATGCCCTCAAAGACCTTGGTACGTTCTAGACGCAGATCTATGAGTATTTACATTGACTTACAGCATTCACAGTATTAACATGTGAATACTCGACGCCAGAGATGTTTTCAACATCTGCTCTGGTGCTTCTAAAACATTTTGACGCTGGCCTCTTTAAAACAGATCAAATTAGTCTTCCTCACAACTTACACTCATTTTTTAAAAATTAGACTCTTACAGACGAAGCAATCAGCAAAATCAAGTCATCACTGTGAATTTATTTATTGGTACAACATAAAATTGGACACTACATACTTCGGATAAAATCAATTAATGAAAATCTACTCATCAAACCACGAATGGATGAACATAATACCTAAGCTAGGCACATACTCACCATACCACAAACAAACTCACACACACACGCACGCACACACACACAATTTATCTACATGTATACATACATACATACGTAAAACATGAACATACACATACATATCTATTCACATATACAATAAAATGAAATGAATCCAAAATCAAGATATAGATATATTCATTATATTTTACGATGGATTATATTAACAAATTGAATATATATATACATATATTTTAAAAAATCCACAACCATTAAAAAATTAAATTTATCCATATAACAAAAAACACTTCCTTCTTCAAATTCGCAATAAAAATTATTAATTATAATATTTTAATAATAAAAATTAATATAATACAATACAATATATATATTATATAAATATATATATTATATATATATATATACATACACACATGTATATATATATATATATACATACGGACATATACGTACACACACGTATGTGCACATGTACTTATATATACACATGTACACATATACATACATACAATATTTCTCAAATGAAAGGAAACTGAAATCAACCATAACACAAAAACAACACGAGCAACAACAATTGCAACAGTGAACGCTAGCATAATAATAATAATAATAATAATAATAATAATAATAATAATAATAATTGTTATTATTATTTATCTTTTGTAATTTCTTCTTTCTTCTCTCCATCAGTTGGGGCTTCATTCTTTTTTTCCGGGTTGTCTTCGTAACTAATCACACGCAAAAAATGCAATAAAAATATATAAAATTATAGATAAAACAGCAATAATAACATAAATAATAATAATAAATATTAAATAATAATGACTAATAATGGCTTATAATCACGTAAATAATAATAACTTATAATAACCTAAACATTAGCTGCAGCTCTCCCTTAAGGAGTGCAACACATAGTGGTAAGCCAATGCAGGCTGGTACTAAATACAAGAGAGCTGGCTATGGAGGGCATAAGTTATTCAAATTTAATTATTTATTATTATTATTTATTTATTTATTAATTATTAATAATAACATAATAGTTTATAACAATGAATATTCATAAATTGATCGTTCACACATTCATCTATGCAGTAAGTATAACGAAAGATGATTGTGTATACATAAGTGATAATCAAAACTTGTAAATATAAAACATTTATAAACAGCTAGACACACACAACTGCAACAAACATAACAACAACAACAACAACAGCAACAACAATAATAATAAATAATAACAATAATAAAAAGAACCTGAGCATGTTTGAAGTAGTGCATAACGAAGACAGTTGCGACTAGTCCTAGGAAGTAAGCAACAAAGCCAGAGTAGAAGTAAGTACGCTTGCCTTGGTGGACACTGAAACCATTGTAACATAATTATTAATATTAATTATAATAATGTAAATAATTATTAATTATAATTAATATGCAATATTTAGAGTAATTATTATCAATAATTGATAATTAAAAATACTGAAAAACTGTTCGAAATCATGAATGCTAACTAATTACACGTGCAAATTGTACAAAAATGATACATAATATTAGTAACAGACATAATTTACAGATACAAAGATGTAATTTAAAGATATTACCATATAATTTATAGATATTAAAATCTAATTTACAGACATTAAAATGTAATTTACAAATGTAATTTACACACACCAGCTTACCTGACGTCAAACCTAAGTAGGAGAGCAATAAAAATTCCTGGAATTACAATATCCCCAAGACCTAACATAGCAAAGTTCTTGGCATCTAGACCATTTTCTAGAAGATCTTGAGGGAAAACCACTGGAACAGAAAAAATTAAATAACACTAATTATATAATTACAACAAACCAATCAATCAACCACTAAATCAACCAACCATTCAATGTCAATTAATAATAATATTATTTGTATTAAATAAATAATATCTACACCAAATATTTTTGTCAATATACTAAAAGTTTTCTGGAAAATAAATTTTGAAAAGTTAAAATCTAAAAGCGAGAAATAATGAAGACCATGTTGTACATTTAATAGGAGCTTCAAATGACTTGGCAACCGTCACCATGACGTCAGTAGCAAACACCTACAAAGAAAAACAATTTTAATAAATAATTAAACCAATCAATCAACCACTAAATCAACCAATCATTCAATGTCATTTAATTAACCGACTAACCAAACAACTAAACACTCACTCACTAACTCAACCAGTTAAGCAATTTATCAATCAATCAATCAACCAATCGACCAACCCAGAAAATATCATAAAAAAATAGTCCCCCGAGTAAGATGCATCCAGTACTGATTCTATTCAGCTGAAGGAATTCAATACCATTCAATGCAAATGCAAGCCCAAACAGGTTATTGGCAATCCAATGCTAAAATATTTGTATGCATGCATGTATTTGTGTGTATGTATGCATGTGTCTCTATGTATGCATATGTGTGTGTGTAAATATCTGTGTGTGTGTGTGTGTGTAAATAATCATAGTGATTAAAAATTGAACTGAAATGATAATAACCCTTTTGATAAGATACCAAAGACCAATGGCACAGCAAATCACCAAGCACACCAGATCCTTTGTGTCGAATTCATAATTGCTCAGCTCTGTTTCAGAATCATCATCATCATCATGTTTGAGATTCATAATTTTCATCATCACCACCATCATCATCAATCATCATCATTACCGGCATTATCATCATCATCATCATCATCATCCTAGCCTGATTTCTGTTCATTCTTTCCTTTGGTCAATATCAGATGGTACTGTTCATTTGGCACCCATGCTGGAACCAACCTATGCACTATTGGACTGAATTATTTTTCTTTATTTATATAAAAAATTTAATTATTAATACAAATAATTATTCAGTTCTACATAATTAATCATTAATTATTTGTAAAAATTATAATGGAAAATAATAATGATAATTTGAGTAAATAAGTAAATTTAGATCTATAAACTTAATATGTAACAACTATAACCATTAAGTTATAATAGAAAATATTACATTGAAATAAAAAAAACATCATGATAATAAAACAAAACATTGAAAATTTTTGCAGAAACAAACACCTCAGAATATGAGCTAGGGCAAGCACACCAAGAAAGAAGAAATAAACAGTTAGCAACATGTTTATGTGGTCTTTTGAAAAGATCTAGGAGAAATAAATTAACTTTAAAATATTTTTAACAAAACAAATGATTATTTACAGATATAAAATAACAAATATAGTTATACAATTATGATATTAAAAATCAAAAATCAAAAATGCAACTTATACTTCCCACATCCATAATTTTTTTTAATAATTGACCTGAAAAAAGATGTAGAGGCCGAAGAGAGCTGCACTGGCCATAATGGGAAACATGGCAGCATCCTTGCTAGACATTGTTTCAGTGGGGGTTCCGGATTTCTGGAAAAAAATTAGAAAATATTAAAAAACTAAAATAAAAAAGCTCCTCATGGGCGCGCATATGTTAGTTTGAGGTTTGAGAGAAAATTTTATTTATCAACTAAATCATTGAATTGACAGCTTCATAAACATTTTATAAATAGGAATAAGAAAAGAAAATAATTTAATTAATAGCCATACGTTTGATCGACACATGATCAGGCACACATTCACTCACGTATTTGTATTTACTACAAACCAAACTCATTACCTTTTGTTCAGTATGGAACTTCACAGACCTGTACGATCCGTAAAAAATAGGCAGCAAAGCCATGGCCACCAAACTAAAATACGCTAAGGCCATTCCCTCTGGGGTCGCCGGAACTTTTGCCGTAACATTTTGAGCCTCAGTGGCGTTCAAAGAAGCATTTAAAGTAGAATTCTGCTCAGCCATCTTTACACCTAATAACACATCACACTAAATTGGCAAGTGAAGATAATGGATCTTTTGTTAAGACTTTTTTTGCTAAAACCCTCCCTACCTACAAATGCAGGAAAAATGTCAGAAATTGGCAAAACTAAAAAAAACATTAATCAAAAAAAATTAACATAAAAATTAAAATTTTTTAATTTAAAAATGTTATAGAGTCTTTGATTTATTGTAAAATAATTACCCATTTTGATAAGTCTTCCACATATATATCCATGGTCTCCCATCGTTTATTGTTTTGTGTTAAAATTGCACATTTTAAACTTAAGTTAACTTTTTTATTTGTTTCATGTTTTCTAAAATAAGTTCATAAAGAATCAAAAATGTCGGACGAAATATCGACTCAGGTATTTATTTCAAAATTATAAAATTAATTGAAATTATTAAAAAACTAGTCAAAACGAACTTTCACTAAACTTTTCTATCCCTAAATATTAAAATTGTATGCTCTCCATTATTAAATTAATTATTAATTCATTAATTAACTAATTTTTTAACTAATTAACTAATTTCCTACTTTGCTCCTAAGTCCTAGCCCTTAACTATTAACATAAACTAAGACTAAGATAGACTAACACACTAACTCACTTACTATCCTACACTGCAACACTTATTTACTTTACATTTATTATTTTTAAGGAGCGATTGCGATTGGAGAAAGAGGAAATACTGAACAAAAAAATTGAAGAAATGAGAAAAAAAAATGAAGCAATGGCTAAAAAGTTTATGGTTGGTACAAAATATTATTTTAATTTAAATTTATTTTTATATTTCAAAATCAATTAGGAGTATGATTACAAAATTCAAAAGCAGTTCTCAACCCACAATAACTTAATAATTTATCTACTTCTTTTCAGTGTAACTATCAGTCATTTTTATTCAATCATTGATTTTTTTATACAATAATTTCTCCAAAAAAAAATATTTTCAAAAGGAAGCAGAGGAAGACCGAAAAAAAGCTGAACTGGCTGGGTGTGCAGTGACTATAAAACCTCCCCACAACAACAACAATAACAATAAAAACTTTTATAGCACTAATTACAAAAACATCAGCAACAATACTTTTAATAATAGTTATAATAAGAAACAAGAGTCTTCGTTTAGCCATAGTAATAAATATAATTTCAAAAATGATAATAACTATCAGAATGGTAATGACATTAAGAATAGAACTGACAATGACAACAACAACAACATATTCAACAATTTTGCCCAAGCTGATGATAAAAGCAACGCCAACAACAATGTAACAACAAGTAATTATGTTACGGACAGTTCTAAAGATAGCGACAACAACAATAGCGTCACTATTAAACCTTTAGTAAGAAACTTTTTAAATAAATTGATAAATAAACATTCTTAAAAATAATTTTATTCATTTAAAATTATAACCGCAATATTATTGTGTATACGTTTTTTACAGATCTTTATGGATGCTAGAGACAAGTTAAACGCCATCAGACAGGCTAGGCAACAACAACAGAACAACACCAACAACAATAATAATAACGTAAATAACAACAACTACCATACTGACAGCAATAATAACACTTATAACAACAGAAATATTAATAACGATAACAATTATAGCTACAATAAGCCAAAAAATAACAACTATAATAATAAATTTAATAGTAATAATAATAACTATAATAATAGTAGTGGTAAATTTGGTAGGGGGGGTAGAAGGTATGTCCCAGGGACCTCCGAAGAATGGCAGGAGTACATTGTTAGAGTTAACTTTTAATTTAAATTATCAAAAAAATTTTCTTTGTTTTCTTTAAATTATTAAAACACTTTTCTTTGTTTTCTTTGCCATCAAAAAATTGATGGCAAAGAAGTCCTACCTCGGAGAACTAGGTCTCTGGGCGCTAGACGAAGATTGATTGATTAATTTAAATTATCATTGTCCTTTAATACCATCCATTATTTACTTCATTCATTTATTTATGTTGATAGTTTGTGAAAGAAAAGTTAGAGAGAGAGAGAGAGAGAGAGAGAGCAAAAGAAAAAGAAATTGTGAGCTTGTGTGCAATAACAAGTCTCTGAAAAGTATTGTATGTTTTAGACAAAAATTAGTATAGATAGAAGGAGAGATGTCATATTATGGTGTAGATGGATAATATGTAGAAAGAGAGTGAGAGAGAAGAATATAAGAGAGAGAGGAGAAGGAGAGAAATATAAGAGAGAGAGAGAGAGGAGAAAGAGAAAGATCTGGTGAGGTGTGTGTGTGTGCATTTGTAATTCTATAATTATTCCATGAAATGTAATGATAGTAAACATTATGGTATAACATTTCAGAGAAACAAAGCTGAAGCCGATGGAAGAGAGAAGTTAAGGGATTGTGAAAATAGTAAAACTAATAAGGATAGACATTCAATTGGTGATATTAAACAAGATGATGCTACTCCTTACAACAACAACAGCAACAACTACAACAGCAACAACAACAGCAACAACAACAACAACGGTGTTGATAACAATTGTAGAATTGATAAAAATGATGTAAGCAGCTCGAGTGATAGCAACCAAATCAAGATAACTCCATTATCATCGGTGACATCATCAACTGTAACAACAACAGCTTCAACATTTTCATCAGTTGATAATAATAAAAAAGATAAAATGATTAAAATTTACTCAGCCGGTAATAATAGTAAAAGATTGAATTGCATCAATAGTACTAATGATGATGTGGATAACATTGACATGGTATGTTTCTATGTATGTATGTATGTATGTACGCATGTTTCTATGTATGTATGTTTCTATGTATGTATGTGTGCGTGTGTATGTGTGTGTTCTGTTGTTTCTCATACCATCATTTATATACACAAATGCACACAAATATAAGCACACTTGCATAAATACTTACACATACATATACATAGACATACATAATTACATACATACAATATACATACATACAAACATACATACATACAAACAAACAAACAAACATACAGCAACAGCCACCACCTGATCCAGCAAATAGATTTCTAGCTGATAGCTACAGAGACAGACAGGACAAAAACACTTCAAACCTGAAAAAAGTTAGGATTGTTCAAGAGGGGAATTTATGATGATAATTCTTATACATAAAGAAATATACTAACCACATTTAAATGTACAGTATACAAAAATATACAATGCATACAAAACAACATGACAAAATAAATACAAACGCATATAGTTATTATAACACTATTGAACAATTGCTGCAGCTCAATAATAACCTGAAACCTAATAGAAGGATACGTAAAAAACTAAACTTTTCTCGTTAAAACTCTGGAATCCTAGGAAGAAAATGTTTCCGAGAAATAATCTGGTAACAAACAGCTATTGCTTAAAGTTTAAAAAATTTTCTACAGAAGACGATGATGTTGATAGAAATAGAGATAATACCATGATGAAACTTGGTTTGCTCAATGTGAGGTCGTTGTCAAACAAGTCAGTGGTAATCTATGATGCCTTGTTGCATAACAAAATTGATGTTATGGTGCTTACAGAAACATGGCACAGAGCGTCAAATGATGAATCGGTAAAATCTGCTTTGCCACCAGGCTATGGGTACGTTGATGCCGTCAGGGAATTTGATCCAGCTCATGGTGGTTTGATTGTTATGGTTAAGGATGTGTACTCCCTCAGGCGGTTGGATATTCCAAAACTAACATCGTTTGAGTGTTTATGCGTCCAGATCTCGATGGCAAATACACCAGTCATTCTGATGGCGATATATCGTCCGGGCTCAAAAGGTGCCATGTGGTTGAGGGACTGATTGTGAATACCGTTCCGTTGTTGATAGCTGGTGATTTTAATATTCATCTAGAGGACGCTGATGATTTAAATGCGAGGCGGATGGAAGATTTTTTTGCAACATTTGATATGATCAGGTTTGTGCATGGTCCAACTCACGTCAAAAATGGAACATTAGATTTTGTGGCTGCTACATCGAGTTACGAGATTACTGATGTCACCGTGGGAACACCAGGAGAATTTTCGGACCATGCCCTTATAACGTGTTTGTTGCCCATGCAAAAGGTTAAACCAAAAATGGTAACTAAACTCGTACGATGTTGGAAGAAGTATGACAAAGTGGCATTTCGAGGTTCTTTGATGTCAACATTACTGGCTGTAAGACCATCTGATGATGCTTGCGCTGGGGATCTGATGAATTGCTATGTGACGGAGTTACGACGGTTGGCAGATGAATATGCACCAATTAAGAAGGTTAGCTGTAAATTTTGTCCAGTTACCCCTTGGTTTGATGACGAGTGCATTCGGTCTAAACGATGGTGTAGGAAGCTGGAAAAGAAATATCGCAAAACAAAGAATGATGATGATCGGAAAAATTGGTATGATGCCCTGAAGGACAGGAAAGTGTTGCTGATAGACAAGAAAAATAGTTATTGGCGAAATCAGATAGCATCTTGCAAAAAGAATCCTTCTCAACTTTGGCGTCATGTGAACAAGATGATGCATATAAATGTAAAGATGTCAGAGTCAAAAAAGACAGAACTTTCATCTGACGATTTTATCAACCATTTTGAAGACAAAGTTGATAGAGTAATGAGGGCGACTCAGCATTATGATTTTCCTGAAATTGAAGAGTTGTCTGTTGGAGTATTGGATAATTTTGAACCTTGCACAGAAGAAGAGGTTCACAAAATAATAACGCAATCACGTCAACGACATGCTCAGGTGATCCTGTCCCAACATACATTCCCAAGGAGTTTCTGGATGTTCTTCTACCCTTCATAACTGTCATAGTCAATGCATCTTTGAGAGACGGAATTTTACCAAAGATAGCCAAGCATGCAATTGTCACGCCGCTGTTGAAAAAACCCCAGTCAGATGTGTCTGATCCGGGCAATTATAGACCAGTTTCAAAATTAACTTTCTTGTCTAAGTTAATCGAAAGAGTGGTAGTACGACGGCTGGTGCAGCATTTAGACAAACAGAACCTGATGCCGTATGCACAATCTGCCTACAGAAGACATCATTCGACTGAAACAGCACTAACTCGTCTGTTGGTAGATGCGTACGAAGCTGTTGACAAGAAAAGGGTTTCTCTCTTGGCACTTTTGGATATGAGTGCAGCTTTCGACTGTGTCAATCATGACGTGCTGCATTTGGTTTTGAAAAATCAATTTGGTTTGAAAGGCAAGGTACTTGGTTGGTTGTCATCATTTGTTTGCGAGAGAACGTATGAAGTGGTCTACGGGGTACAAGCATCAACAGTCATGGAAATAAAGAACGGAGTTCCTCAGGGCTCAGTGTTAGGCCCACTCCTTTTTCTCCTGTACACTTCAGGAGTAGCGAAATTGTTGAAACATAATGATCTGCGCGTGTACGCATATGCAGATGACATACAGATCATCAGCAGCGCTGGGGTGGGGTCGGTGGGGGAAATGGTTGAACTTGTCTCAGAGAAAATAATGTGCCTAAAGAATTGGTTGGGTTCGTACAGACTAAAATTAAATGAGGAAAAAACACAAGTAATGTTGATTGGAACTAAACAACAGCTCTCGAAAACTGATGTAAAGAGCATAAGATTTGGGTCTGTGATGGCGCCGTTCACTGGAGTGGTGAAAAATTTGGGTTTCTGGTTGGACAGTACACTGAATATGCATCAGCATGTGAATAACCTCGTTAGGGACTGTTCATTTCAGCTTCGACAGCTTGGCCGCATAAGAGCCTCTCTTGATCTGGATACAACAAAATCTCTGATCCATGCGTTTGTGGTCAGTCGGGTTGATTATTGCAACAGTTTGCTGAGCGGATGTCCGAAGTCAACAATATATGGGATAAAATCAATACAAAACAGGGCAGCGAAGCTTATAGTACAAGGAAAAAAATATGACCATGTGACCCCAATTTTTCGTGAATTACATTGGCTGCCAATTGAAAGCAGAATCGTTTTCAAAGTTTTGGTGATGATGAAACGATGTATGCAAGGTTCGGCTCCGAAATATCTAATGGATCTGTGCAAAAAAACACCAATAACAGTGGCGGGTAGATTCTTAAGATCTTCCAAAAACAATGATTTTCAGAAACCGTTGGTAAACTCATCAATGGCGTCAAGAAGTTTTGCAGTGTATGGCCCAAGGATGTGGAATGATTTGCCAACAGAGCTGAAAACAAATGAGATTGATGAAGTGATTTTTAGAAAAAGAATCAAAGCGCACTTGTGGGATAAAGCGTTTGTGAGAACTTGAACGAGCGCTATATAAACTCTACATATATATATATATATATATTCTATTAATTAAACCAAATGTTCAATTGATCTTTTGCTATCCTTTCAGGACAAACAAAGGCCAAATCAAATAATAAGAAGAACTATTGAAATAAATGGCTATAGTAGCGTCAACAACAACACAGCTTCTTTAGGGCATGACATTATTACAACTATCCAAACTCCTAAAGAAGACCAAAGTAAGCAACCACAAACATCTCCAAGCCACAACACGCCCACCAACAGCAGCAGCAGCAGACCTCGTGTTGTTGGATCAGGACGACTGATCGACAAAACTCACAACAGCAGCAAACAACAACCTCGCAGCAGCAACAGTTACAACACAAAGTACAAACACAACAGCATCGCCAGTAAGCTACATCACAATCATTTTCCAACCAGCGGTACCAAGCCGAACAAAATCAAACCCAACATTAACAATTCGGCCATTATCACCACTACTATAAGTACAAGTCCAGAAAAGCCCCTGAAGTCAATATTGAAAAAACCCAGCCCGGATAAAATTGGCAAAAAAAGTGAAATCAGCGGTGACGTCATACTGGCCGTCATCACGACTCCAGGAAACGACGCTGAGGATGGTGATAGCTATGATAATCAGGTTGCTCCTGCTATAAATAGGTATGACCTGAAGAAGGAAGCGGCCATCTGTGATTGGTTGGAACAGTCCGAACAGTCTATAAAGATGGAAAACAGTTTGTTGTTGTTACTGTTAACCGTGTCATGATGTACTGTTTTTACTATTTTGACTGTTATTTACAAAGATACTATCCTGTCTGTAATTTGTATTCATAACAGCAATCATTTTTATAATGAAACAGATAATGATGATGGTGATGACAATGACGAAGAGGAATGGGAAGATGTTGACGACGATGAAAATATCAACGCCGACGACGCTAGCAACCATGATGATGATGATGGCGACTACGATGATGATGCAATCAAAAATAAGAAAAAATTATCAAGGATTGACTGTGCAGTTGAACACGGCAGCAAAGAGACCAATGCGATTAATATCGATATTATAGATGATAATGAAGAAAGTGAAGAAGCATTTGAGAAATTCATTGAAGAGAATACTCTGCACGTTGACATCAAATCTCCAGTTGTTAGTATCACCAACGAATCTGTAATAAGTAAATTTTACTAATTTAGTTAGTAATTTTTGCGATAAATTAAAATCCTGTGACATTCCATATACACACACAAAGCAGCACTAACTTAAAGTAGATATAAAGTATGCACGTGCTTAACCCATGCATACTTGTTTCGTGTACACGCTTTCAGCAAAAGGATACATAAGATATATATACAAAAACATACACAGAGTGTATACAAACAATACACATACACACTAATACATACCAACCGTCAGATCTGTGATTGGGCTTCCGAAATGGACAAACTCAGCCAAGAAAGAAAAAAAGAAGCACAGTTGGAACAGAAGGATGAAAAGGGTTATGAGAATAACGAAAGCAAAACCTCATTCAATCATAGCCTGAGTATCTCCGAAAGTGCGGCCTCTGACGTCGAAAAAAGTTTCAACAACATGCCGGACGAAAATTAGTTTTGAGTTTTTGGGTGTTTTGTAAGGTTTTACCTTACGCCATCGATATTATGTTCTTTTAATTATTTATGAGTGAATTATTTTTCCGTTGTTTACTTTCTTAAGATATTTTTACGTTAACTTCTTTTTTCGTTCATGTTAATGAAGTTACGAACTGACAATTATTCTAAATCATTGATATTATGCAGAAGTTTCACGTATTTTTTGAGCCAATCATGTTTTCAATGTTGATTTTTGTTAAACTTCTTCTAACATTTCATTTGTATATTTATTCAAATTTAGTAATTTTCTTACAAAAGCCTCTTGCATTACAAACGTTTTGAACACAAGCTACCTGCCTAACAGAACTGCTTATTAAGAAGAATCATCTAAATTACGTTGCATTGCAATTACCATTATTAACTTGAATAGCATGTTTTCATTAACTTATCTAGAATTTTTATATTATATTTTTACATCAATAAACTGAAAGAAAAGTCGTTTTTAATTTTTATTGTTGAACAAACTTAACCACCAAACTGTTCAATACATAAGAGGTAAATTCAAATCAATCCAAACACCAGCTGGCCGGCCGAATGAAATTGGCCAACGATTTAGACCTTCTCCTCGGGTTTGTTGAATACATACGTGAGACAGCATTTACCGCAGTACTGTCTGTCAAAATGGTTAGCCATGAATACACCGGCACCACATTCCTCGTTCGGGCATTCACGTCTCAGTCTGCTGATTTTGCCATTATCATCGACCTGTGTTAAGGAAAGATTAATTCAACAAACTTGAATTAGCAGCAGGTAAAAAAGAAAAGAAATAATGAATCAGTTTTTATTGATAGTGCTCAGTTATGGTAACGCTTGTGGTTCATAACATTTAATTATACTTAAAAATTATCTTAAGGTGTCCTAAGCTTGTCATCACAGCACTGTCAATAAAAACATATTATAAATCAAAATAAATTGAGGTATCAAAAATAAACCAAAATGAATTTAAATAATCAAATAATAATAAATGTATTGGTTGATGAGTGCTCAGCTATGGTAACGCTTGGGGGTTCATAACATTTAACTACTTAAATTATCTTAAGGTGTCCTAAGCTTGTCATCATTGCACAAACCTCAACCAAACATGTGTTAACGAAAATTGTGAAAATGTGGATACTCATTGGTGAAAGAACTTTTTAATTTTGAAATAATCTAACATAAAATAGATTGATAAATAACAGAAGACTTACTACGAAGAATTACTACAAATGGATGTGTTCAGTGAAGGTAACGCTTAGTTTTTCATATCACGTTACATTAATGTAATCTTAAGGTGTCCTAAAAATGTCATCATAACACACACCATGACAAAAAATTCAAACAAAAATATTAAAATTTTTAAAAAGACAAATGTGAGAGTTACCTTGTAGAACTTGAGAAGTGACAGCTTCACCTTCTTCTTCTTGTGCTTGTTCTTTTTCGGTGTGGTGTAATTCTTCTTCTTGCGCTTCTTGGCTCCGCCTCTCAACCTTAGAACAAGATGGAGGGTTGACTCTTTTTGTATATTGTAGTCACTCAATGTTCTACCATCTTCCAACTGTTTTCCGGCAAAGATGAGTCTTTGTTGATCAGGAGGAATACCTGGCAATAAATATTAGTAATTTATTTCATTTTAATATTTTTAATTAATAAAAATTGATATGAAACTGTTTCTTCATATTTTTTAATGCAGATTTATTGCCAAAAATGCGTTGCAAAGTTTATGGAAAAAATGAGAAAGTAATTGTAACACCTACCTTCTTTATCTTGGATCTTAGCTTTCACATTATCGATTGTGTCACTGGGTTCAACCTGAAGGAGTTTTTAAAAAAACATAAGTTGTACAGAAAAATAAGCAACGAAAAAATTTCCTTGTTACACAAAATTATTAAACATTTTGAGGGTTGAATTTACAACTAAATAAAAAAATTAAATGATTTTCTACCTCGAGCGTGATGGTTTTGCCCGTCAACGTCTTTACAAAGATCTGCATGATCGCTCAAATTAGTGTCCTTTCAATAAACAAATAGAGATAATTATATTTAAAAAATACTACATAAAATACTACAAAAATAAATAACAATTATTAACATGAAATAAACATTAAAAGTGTTTTAGAGCGATAAAGAAAGAAAATAGGAATCCATTATGAACCTCATGCACAGCGAGAAAAAAAGACGGAAGTTGCTAAATTTAGTATTTTGGTAATGGCAAATATTATAAAGCGCAAACTTTTTAACTTAAACTTCATATTTCATTTTGAAAATAATCTACATGAATAATTCAAAATTAAAACAAATTGTTGATTTTTAAAACTAATGTTTTTGTAATTATTTAAATTTACTGTATGAAAAGCTATAAGTAAATTATTTGAATGGCATTTGAATGGCAGAGCATATGTTCTAAATGTTGTGATTATAAGTGAATGTAGTTGAATTATTTATTATCAATAAAAGCATGTTTGATTAGTTCTTGCCATTTCTAACAATGAAAAGCACAAATAATTTTATTTATAACTTTTCACTGTTACTAATTCTTTCATTTATAGTTGACGTGGATGCCAGTAGACTGGTAAAAAAAATTTAAAAAACCTTAAGGGACCGTTTCAAATGATCATGAAACATAATTTATAATGACACCGTAAATAACAGCTTTTTTAAATATTTATTAAACATCAAAAACAAATATAACGTTTATAATAAATAGTTTGTTTTAAAAATAATTGAAACAGAACAGAATAAATGATTTTCACACGTTTTTTATAATTTATAATTCAATCAATTTGACATAGTCCATCAACTTTTATATTGAATGTTACGCATCAAACTAATGTAAAGATTTTAAATAAACACGAACGCCGATTAGTTGTAGATAAAAATGAAAGTTTTAATTTTAGTGATGTTTTAATTTTTGTCTTCGGCTGTTTGATGTTAATCGTGTAAAAATCTTGTTCAAAATGCCTTATTTGGCCTCAGGTTGTGACTGATTACATGATTTTGTTTGAACTTTTTTAAATAATATATTAAAATTTTTAAATTTACAATTAGTTATTTAATTTTTTTAATCATTTCGTCATTTTTAAAGCTTTCTAATTGAAATTGATTAGGTGAAAGAGTGGAAGAATCTCAATCAGTCACTTCCAGATTATCTTTCCTAACTAATTTTTTCTGGTCCTTCATAAATATATTTGTACTTTTGTAAGTTATTCTAATTTTCCATTTATTTATTTATTGAATTATTAATTATAAATTTTATTCTCTATCTTATATTTCTATCTCTGTTGTATTTTTAAACGAGTTAAAATTTAATTTTTTATACAGCTTTCGAACCATTATGGAAGTAAGTTTAGAGTTATTTAGCAAATTTTTCATCCCACAATTACAATATTAATATTATTGATTCATTAATCACTAATAAAATTGAAGATATTAATCAAATTAATATTTTATTCTTTGTTTAGCCATTTACGACTGGAAGGTCATCATCAGGGCGTTCATCTGACTACAGGACAACAGGGTATTTGTGCTATTTTTAGTACACCATCTGTTTAGTACACCTTTTCTTTCTAAGATAAAAAGATTTTAATGTGTCATAATTATCTTTTTTTCAATTTGATTTGAGATAAAGACTGTTGATTCATTTATTCATAAATTTGTCTACTTCATCTATCCATTCATTCATCCATTTATTAATCTTTTCATCCATCTATTCATTAATTTAACATTCATTCATTCATTTTTTCATTCAGAAGAGGACCAGATCCATTTGGACCAGGTGGGGGAGGAAGAAGAATGGGTGGCTTTAGAAGGGGCCCTTGTCAGTAAAATTATTTTTATTAGAATACTTAACTGTTTCATTTCAAATATTTTTTTACATAATTTTATTTTAATTATAATTTTAGAATTTTATATTGTTATATTATTAATAATAAAAACTTTTACATAGCTGCACCGTCGCCACCACCGATGGCTGGAGGAGGATGAGGAGGGTAGAGATTTCTGGCTCTGATTGGTCAATTTAAAAGCAAAATGATCGATCAATTGATTAATTTGATTGATTGATTTATTGATTGGCCGCCAGAAATCTCGGATCTGTTTTTTTATGGCATTTTTTAAATTGTATTTCATTTGCTTGTCAGCATCACGACAAGAATGAATTACATTTTTAAAATGCCCCTATCATTTCATTATGAAGTCGTTTAATTAACTAATTGATTAATTGGTTGATTGGTTAATTGATTAAATGACTACTTATGACGTTGCTATAGGAAACTTAAGTGCTTGTGCAGCTGATGTAGTAATGAATGATAGAATTTATTCTCTGTATTTCAAGTTATTCAACTTTTTTTTATAAGAATTGGTCGACTTGTTAAGTTTTCATTTTGCTATTGTACTTTTGAGGATTGTAAGATGTATTATTTATTAAATATAACTAATTTTTGGAATTGGTATGACGTTTTTTAGTTTGAATTAACTAAAGACTACAGTACGGGCTTTAAAAATAGTTGCATAGTTTGGAAAATCACAAAAATTGTCGATTAAGTAGGATACCGGTTGGAAATTAAAGTCGATTTTATGGCTATAAATTTATTTTAAAACGATTTTAAATGATCATAATTCCAATCTTGCCCGTCAATGTATATGCCCATATGGCTTTATCTGATATTGAAATATTTAAATGAGTGAAGCGCTAAAGCATTTTTTTAATAAAAACAAAAGTTAACTTATAAAAGCGGGGTAATTTAATTTTTTATTTACATCTTGATCATAGAGAATTAAGTTGTTAAATAACTAATCATGTTTGCTTGATTGATTAGTAATTTCGTGAAATAAATCGAAAGATGAATACCATCGATTTTAATCTTAGCATTCAATTGCTGCCTGCTTTTTCTAACTTCAGGTTTTTGTTTTATTTCTGTTTTTTTTTAATTTTTAAAAAGTTTTTTTTGCAAATTTGAATTCATGATTTAATTTGCAAATCTAATTTATGCAATATTTTACCATTTTGATTTATTTTATTCACACTATTTATATATTTTATATTTAGTTATTTATTTATTTTATATTTCAAAATTTTTTGCTCAAAATTAACAAGGTAAATGAAAATAAAAATTAATGACAAAAAAGCCTTATTTATTTAAATTTTTATTAATGTTTTAGCAAAAATAAAACCCTAAACCAGAAGAGGTGTATGCAATTTAGTCTGTCAAAAGACCTTTTCACATCACACTTACAGAAAGCTACACTTTCCAATCAAGTCCTTTCATCTCTGCAGCAAATAATTACCAACCCCAAATCATCAACATTAACAAATGACCCCGAATTAGATAATTCAAGTGTAAGTCGTGTTTATAACGTTAATGAAGTCAGTTCCAATGAAACAGACATCATCCAGTCGAGCAGTATTAGTAGGCAATGCATCATTAACAACAAAAATGAGGAAACTCAACAACAATGTGACCATTTAGTTGAAGGGTTATGCACTGTCTCTAACTATGCTATTCCTCTCTCCTGGAAGCAGTCAGCCATCTTTATGGCCGTCATCAACCAAAAGTGCAAAGATTATAAAACAGACATGGGCTTGTACTCTCAGTTGCTGTCATTGCTTGCTCACATCAATAAAAATTTGGTAAAAGTTTATTTTCAGTATTTTTTCATTGGTTTTATTTATTTTTAGTGTTAGAATAGCAAGATATAACTAGATATAGATGTAAATAATTATCTAAAATCACTTTATGATGTATAATTTAAAATATGTTAAGAGGAATTATTCATATTTCATTACTTATTCAAGTCACATCCAAATTCACTTTAAAATTCTTGTTTTGCTTCACTTAACTATATTACTACAGACATTCAAATGTACACACATGCATGCAAACATACATACATTTATATATTATTTACATACAGATTTTAGAATTAGACAACAATCTGGCAATCTTCGAACCGCTAACAACCTCTGTTGGGGTCGTGGTTTTATTAAAACAAGCCTTTAACAGCCCGATGAAAGAATATTTAATGTGCAATCAAGGTAAGTTTCATATGCAGAAGAGAACGTTTGATATCATCTGGGAGAAAGTTATGAGCAATAAAGAATCTGCAATGAAAAGTTTGCATATTTGTGTATGTATATATATACGCGCGCGCTCGTGTGTGTACATGTGTGTGTACATTTGTGTTTGTACGTGTGTGTGTGTGTGTACATGTCTATGTTGTGTTTTTATATTTTTTTATTTTTATATGATCATCCTTAATTATTTAAAAACTTTTACCGGCTGTGTTGTGTATATGTTTGTATGTGTATCTATATTTTTTGATTTTTACATGATCATCCTTAATTATTTAAAAACTTTTACCAGCTGCAAATCTTAATACAGAACTATCAACATCACCAGACAATGAAACTGCACCTACCATCTCAACAGAGAGTGAATCCAACCCTGCAAAAATCTCCGCTGAATTATACAAAAACGAAAGTGAAACTTTAGTAGAAGGATTAACCCCGCTCGAATGTTTGAAAAAATCCCCAAACATATTGAGTAAATTTATCAAAGATACTAAAAAAGTTAGGTCGCCAAAAATTTCTGGACACTTCCCATCTCGTAAAAGTTCACCTAATCAGAAAACTTCGCTGAGAATTTATAACAAAAATAAATTAATGAGCGATAATAAAGAGCGTAATAAACAACAAAAATACTCTAATGACTTTTACAACAATTTAGAAAGCCACAATAAAATCACATCTATGGAGACCACCAACACTAATTACAGCAATTCAGCAGATAACTTTTCAAATGATGTTGTCCCCGGCTGTAGCAGCAATGCTAATGATATAAACATTGGTGGTGAAGTTGTTAACGCTACTACCAATACAGATGTTGTTAATGTGAATGTAAATAGTAGCCATGGTAACAAAAGAGATGTCCTTGTTGAGGCTGATGTTCCTAGTCTAACCAGAAGTTCAAAAAGGTCATTACAATGCTTAGAATCCGGTGCTGTTGCTACACCGCCTTCGAAGAAAAGAAGAAAGTTAACTTGTTTCTCGTCTCAAAGTTATTAGTTTATCGTTTTTGTCGTTGTTGGTGTTGCGATTTTTGGCTGTTATTGATGTTAACTTTTTTGTAAATGTTCGTAAATTTATTTTTTTAATTTTTTTTATTAGGTATCGGCGTAAAATGATCAAATAGTTGTTTTTTTCTCTTCACAGCACAATCAACAGTAAGCCAAATCAGCACAGTCGTCAGCAAGAGAGAGTATGGGAAAGTATTGATGCCGTCATCTTTTAACAGTGACAACAACAACAACAACATTACCATCAGTAACAACAGTAAATACACCAACAACAAAACTAGCAACAACAACAAAGTTAGCAGCAACAACAGGACTAACAACATCAAAACCACACAGAAACCGTCACTTATTAGACAAAACTCCATCTCGACTAGGGCCCAACTTATTCTGGAAAAAAGCAAAGAAACTTTAAAAAACATCGTCATTTCCGCCATAGACGATGAAAACAGCAACTCTAACTACTCTTTCCTAATTGGTGGCTCTGGCAGTTTCAGTAACAACAACAACACCACCACCAACAACAATAACAACTACAACAACATTAATGACGCTTCCATTAGCAGCAGTGCTAACAATACTTTCAACAACAGTCTTCATGGCACTGGTATCAATAATAGTAGTTCAGTCGGCCACAGTTTTAACTCTAGTTTCAGTAACGATAATAATGATTGTAGTGGCAACATTAATATGAATAATAATGATAATAATATGAATAATAGTGGTAATAATAATAATATGAATAATAATAGTTATAACGCCGGTAACGCTTCTTTTAATTTATCATTTAATAGTAGTAATGATAGAAAGGGTTCGCCATCCAAATCTTATTCCCTCAATGGCACTGTCTTATACAGTGTCGATAAACTTGCAGCCGATGATGGTGAAGATGACAACGAAGAGGGAAATGTTTTAATTGGTAATGATACTAGCAGTGGTAGTAATTGTATTCACAAGCTAAATAATACTGATGGAACATCTTGTAAGGTTATCAAAGGTAACAATGTTAACTTCTTTATCAAATAGTTTTTCTCATGTTGTTTTCTTCATTGTTTCTTTTTTATTCATTTTTTCATTCATTTCTCGACTTGCATTCTTTCAGTTATTCTTTTTTGTTCTCTCTCTCTCTCTCTCTCTCTCTCTCTCTCTCTCTCTCTCTCTCTCTCTATCTCACTTTCTCATAAATGTTAATCAATGAAAATTTTTTTAGATCAAAAATTATTTCGGGTTTATTTTCCTTCCAAAAACCAGATTTGAAGTCGGAGGATGACCTTGCATCGCATATAAAGTCCATATACGCGAAAGTTATTGACGGCGAGGCAACATCTATAGCCGGGGCCAAAAATATTGTCAATGACGTCATGTCATATTTCAGTGGCAAGCTAATATTAGGGGATAGATGTGATAATGTTGGTGTTGGTTTTGTTGTTTGCTGTTGATGTTGTTGTTTGCTGTTGATGTTGTTGTTTGCTGTTGATATTGTTTGCTGTTGATGTTGTTGTTAATGTGATTATTTTTATTTCACGTTACTTTATTCTTTCTTTACTCCATTATATTTATCATAGTTAAAAGTAATTTCGACGAACGCAGCCAAAAGAATTGCTTACTTTCATGTCAGCCAATGACATCCTCATCAGTGCAAAGACGTTGAAGTCTAAATTCCATTCAAACAATAACACCAATAAGGATTGTGAAGTCCAAGAGTTAGTGTCATTATTGATTGATCGTTCGTTTGGTTGATTGATTGATTGGTCGGTTGATTGATTGATCGTTTGATTGGTGGATTGATTGATTGATTGATTTATTTACTGATCAGGTGTCTATTGCAAGTTCATCTGCACTTTCAAATGGATGGCTTATGCTTGGAACATATCAAAGAAAGCAAAGAATGCCAAGAATATTTGGAAGACAGACAAAATGAAGTATTATCATTTAAATTTTTATTATTATTATTGCTTATTTTTTTATTTTTTTTTATCCATCCAGATAGTATCAATATTGAGGATGATATCATTTAAAGAAGATACAACCTACATATCTAACTTCTTAAACAATGTGCTCTTTGAAAAGTGACTATAACTATTAGTTTTATTATGATTCGTAATTTCTTTGGTCATAATTATCATAATTTAATAATAATGTCATGATAATCGAACGAATTTCATAATTTAATTTGTTATACTTTAATGTTTCAACTTTATTTCATCGCAACTTTCCCAGCTACCGTTTTTCAAGCCCTAATCTACTGTACAAGATATACGACAGCCTAATCCAACCAATTCCTCACCAACTTCGCTATCTCATGTCCCCAGATAAGTTAGACGATGCCTTCTTCGATCTGCCTAATTTGCTCACTTCTGGATTGAGCCAGGAACAGAAAAATAAAATTTCCGAATCGAACGACAACAGCCTCATCTCACAAAACGATAATGAAAGTTTACTTTCCAACGACAAAACGACCAAAGATAAATCAATTCTATTAGACCGGCCAATGAAGATTTCGAGTTCTACCTTGTCTAGAGGAATTTCTTTTAGTCAGGCACCAAAGATGAGAATTGAAATTACAAAACCAAAAGCTGAACTGAGGTCTGAGTTTGACACCTCTGCCGGATTTAGAAGGTCAGAGAGAATTGCTAGTGCGTCCAAGATGAAGGCAAATTTATTTGAAGGTAATAGTAATAATAATAATAATCACAATAATAGTAATAATAATAACGGTAGTAGTAATAGTAATAAATGTACTTACTTTTTGAAATAATTTTGATCTGGTAGTGGGTTAAGTAAATTCGTTTTCTTTTATAAGTTTCGATTTCAAAGTTTTCATAGTAGTTTCTATTACTATTTTCTACTATTTTTACTGTTTGTACTATTACTACTAACTAATAATACTATCACTACCACCACTACTACTACTGTTGCTACTACTACAGCTTCAGTACAAAACAGTCGTTAACATATTTTTAATTTCCTTCTCTTACATCGTCAGCGTCTGTTAAGCCCGAAGCTATGAAAATCAAAAGGCTTCTGTTTGGAGATGTGAAGGAAAAAACGCCTAGAAAAACTCCTAGTAAAAGTATGTAGCAGTAGGGTTAGGGTCTAGCAGTAGTAGTAGTAATTTGTTAGTATTGTGACAATATTTGTCGTTGTATTAATGTTAGCTTCTATGGTAGTTGTAGTTTGGCGTCAGTAAGATTTGTAGTAGCAATGGCATTAGTAATTATTACTAATAATAACGAAAATAATAATTTAAAAATTAAAAGTGAAACCAGAAACATTGAAAGTGAAAAGAGCTTTGTTTGGAACTCCCAAGGATAAGACTCCCAGGAAAACCCCGACGAAGACACCGAACAAAACACCGAAAAAGACGCCATTGAAAAGTAAAAAAAAGTTTTTTGAACGTAATTTTTAATACCTTCGTTAATATTTTCTTACGATTTATTTACATTTCTGATTTATTCTGCCTATGCACGGTTCAAGTCTGTTTAGAATCGATCAGCATCAAGTAATGATTTGATCACATTTTTAAATCAAATACTTTTAATTTTAAATTCATTTTTTAATTTGCTTCATGTTGACATTAAAACAAAAAAAAACCAAGGAGTTCTATCTCATCACGTTGTGAAAACAAGATTGGTAAAAGAGACCCCTGATGCTAAAAAGGGTGTGAGTAGACTACTACAAAGGCGACAGCTACCAGCAGCTGCAGCTTCGACAGCAGCTGCAGCTAGATCAGTTTCGATAGCAGCAGCTCCATTAAGTCCTTGGGACGAATCAAAGTGGAGCATCGAAGAAACGCCCATGAAGGACGATGAGAAACGTTCCAGCGCTATTAACGGTTATAACAGTAATTAATGTTAAAAACAGTTGACGACCGATTTTTTATTGCTTATCCCACGAGTTTCATCAAATTTCGCTATTCAAACCAATTAATTCATCCAAAATTGAACTGAATTTTATTGTTTCAGACGTGCTGAATTAGTTTTCAGTTCAAGTTCTTATGAGTTCATATTAAAATTTCGCTCAATTTTGTTCTAACCTTAGCACCATTTTCTATTTTAGTGGGCCTCAGTCCCAAAGCTCTCCTACGTCCACACCTCTGATAATGAAACAATAACAATAATTTTGAAATATATTCTCTTTTTTCTCCCCCTAGACACTTCACTGACGTTTTTTTCCCAGCCCGTCCGCAGAAGCAACAGTTTGGAGAGGAGAAATTCATTTTATTCAAATAAAATGACCTCGACAGCGGGAACGTCGCTGTTGACGTCATCGTCGTCATCATCCATTGCTTCTAGAAACGTCTTAAGATACACTAATCTAGAGAAGAGATTAACTGAAATGATGGAATCATCGTCAGGGATTAACAACAACAACAATAATAATAATAATATGAGTTATAATAAAAACAATGATGATGATGGTGGAAGGGGTTTCACTAATTTCGTCATTACCTCCCCGGTTAGGCGGGTGTCGGCCAGGCTGCTCTTCAGTTCGGCTGCCAGTCCGAGTCCTTGAACAAATACAGCAACAAAAACTTTCATGGAAGGTGATGAAGGTTCACAATCATTGAGTGTTTTAATGATTTTATAAATTTTAATGAAATTTACAATCAGTCATTCTATTAGCATACGTGCTGTAATTGTTGGGTTTACATTCAAATTTAATTCATACATCTTTGTATTTCACATGTATGACTGCTTTTCACGTAGAAAGTTTCAAATATAAAATTGTTTTTTCTTTTGTTTTTTAAACATTCTATCTATGTTTACTGAAAAAAAATAAAACCCAATACTGAATCAGTATGGAAAAACACTAAATGAAATATGCATCGCTTTTACTGATATTATCAATGGATTTGCCCAAAAGAGAAAAGAAATCTGATAAAAGATTATTTAAAATTGAAATTTTGCTTAGTAGTAAGAGTTCATTTGATAAAAAAAATCACATTTTGTAATTAAAAATATAAAAATGTTCGATTATGTAGTACATAGTTTATAATTTAAAATATAAAAATGTTCGATTATGTAGTACATGTAGCACGCATTGCATGAATTATAAAGGACCAAGACCGTGGACAACACACGAAAATTGTTAAAATGTACAGAACGTACAGAGAAAATAGAAGCTTTGAGGTCCGGTTGTTTTTAAACGGGTCAAGGGTCACCATCTGCAAAACTGGTCATCTTCTAAATTGAAGCATCAAATTTAACATATTTAGGCTTGAAAACAAACAAAATCCACGGAAAATATATGAAAAAAATTAGGAAAGATATGAAATGACACGCACATATATACATATATTCTATATAAATGGTCGTTGTTCTATCACAAAAGTATAATCTTTTTAAATAATCTACCTACAAATATCACAGATACCAGAGAAAAAATATTTATACATATATATATATATATATATATATAAATTGCATGTATGTATGAGATTATATGCACTTTGTGACTAATACATTGAATATTTGGACAAAAATTAAATAAAATTCAAATGTATCTTAAAAAAGTAATACAAAACCTGTGTATGCAATTGCATAGATAAAAACTAAAAGATAAATTTAATAAAAAAACAAACACACGAACGCAGGCACGTACACACACACGCTCACACAAGCATCCAAATTTTATTGAAAATAAACATAAAACAAAAATATAAATAACACCAACATTCCGAGCAATTCATCCAGTATAAAAATAATTATTATAATGGTAACTCTACCACCACAGCGAAAACAAAATAAGAATACTATAAATTATTACTCGCTATTGAAACTATTACTTATTATTATATGTAATAATTTCAATAATTAAGAGGATTCTGTAGACATAGATAAGGATTGCTTATCGAGAAATTCTTCCATGAAATATGCAATTAGGCTGTTAAGATCGTCCGGTGACTCAAGCATTACCATGTGACCAACGTTCTCCATTAGCACTAGCGACGAAGTTTTTATTGTCTGTGATTAGATTACATTTGCAAAATTAGGTAATCCTTATTTTTTAGAATAAAGTCTATTGAGATTTTAAGTTAAATTCTTATAAACAATCTGTCTAGAAGCACCAATAAAGATTTGTTAACCTCTGAATAAAATAAATATTTAAGTTAAAGGATTGTAATATTAAAATGTCATCCCAATTTCCTGCTACTAACTACTTCTAGCTAAAAACATACAAAGTGTCTTACAGTAATAACATCTATTAAATGTTTCGAAATAAAATAAAATTTGGCCATAATTATTTATTATTAGCTATATTATAATTGCTTATTGTAATTAATATATTTATTATTATTTTATAAAGTCACATTTCTGTAAATAAAAAAAATTTACTCGTACATTTTTCATAAAATAAACTTCTTCAACAGATATCAGTCTATCCTTTTTGCCCTGTATCAATAACGTCGGTGAAGCTATCAATGAATAAAAATTTACCCCACCCTCGTCCCATCTCTGGCCGTTCAGTGTGTTTTTCAAGACAAAAATAGGAACAGTTATAGCAGTCAGATGACATAGATTATTTCGATTCGGTTTGTGGAATGATCGACTGAGTATGTGAAAAACATCTAGATATATTTCATCAAACAATCCAGTGAAGAATAATGAAAAATGTATAAATTAATGAAAGAATAAATAAATAAAAATCATAAACAAAGATAAAATAATAAATTAAAAGATATAAACTTGAAAATAGCAGACCTCAAAAATTCTCTATACAGAATGCATTTAATGCACTGCAGACAACAGAGAGGTAAACCAAAAATTCCTAATTGAGGACCAAGTGGAATAGGAGCCCCACCACTAATCATGATTAAACCGTGAATGTAGTCAGGTTTTTGTCTTGCAAGAAGGGCTGCAAAGCAACACCTGTTGTTAAAATAAATTCAATAAAATGTTTATATTTATTAAAATATCTTATAAGCAATAATTTTATTTATAAAATTGAAATGAAAAAACAATAAAATAATAGCAATTAACAACTTTATTCATCAGGTCAAAAAATATAATTATAAGAAGACCAACAAACCCATAAGAGTGCCCTACAATAACATTTTTCTGCATCATGAACTTATCAAAAATGGCAAACACATCTTTTGACATTTTTTCAAACGTGTAGGCCGCTTGATCGCGTGGTTTAGAACTTCCTCCATGACCGATTAAATTCAGGGCTATAACCGTAAATCCATAATTATTAAGAAACGTTATCTGGGGAGACCAGACTTTAAACTTTCCTCCAACTCCGTGGATCATAAAAACTGCAGTTCCTCTTATTGTCTTTTTCGGTGTTTTTGAAAAATAACTAGAATAACCAGATTTCATTTCTGTAGATGAGAACTCAGTTTGAGAAGAATTCCCACTAGAAAATATGTTTGTTTCTTTGTCTAGGTTAATTTTGTTGCTTTTGTCTAATTTAGTAGTAGGCGTGGCCTCTGACACGGCTTTTTTATTTTCATGGCATCTTAGGATTGTCGGACTTAACTTTTTATTGCCAGGGATGTAACAAACCCTGATTTTTCTGCCGGATTCAATCTCGACGTCCGTACAAAATTCATCGAGATGAACACAACAGCTTTTAATGACGGTATTGCTGATCGGCTTTATTTTGTTGGATTTCTTTTTAGTCGGAACTAAATTTTGAGTGGAAGAAATGTCGGCGGAAGATAGAAACGTACTGGGAGAAGAATTGTTGCCAACACTTTCCATAAAATTTTCATCTTTTTTAACTTCAACCATAAACAGAGAGAAAAAAAGATGACGTTAGTGACGAATGGTTTTTAGAGAAAACAAAAATTATATTAAAGTAAACAATGTGGAAAGACGATACATTTTTTACTAAAACGTTATCTGCATTAGTCACATAACTAGAATAAATTAAAATAAAATAAAAATTAATTAAAATAAAATAGTCGGGCTATTTGACATGTTTGGATTATTAGCTAACAAAATTGCATAGATTTTAACGAGCAAGCTATATGAAATAATTTTTTGACTTAATATGCTTAAAACATTTTAGTAATTCTATTTAATTTTATTAAATAAAATTATGTATTATTAAATTATTGTTGTTTATTTGAATATAAAAATTGCTTTTGGCAATCCGGTGGCTTACTGAAGCCGAAGGTTGGTTGACTAGGATTGAACTATAGTTACCTTTTTTTTTTACACTATTCGATCATGTTATAAATTTGTTTGCTTGTAAAATAAACGACCTAAATAAATCAAAATTGTTATTTGAACAACTATCTTCATTATATTCAACACTCTGTTGGTGCCCATAGAAATTATTTGCTGAAATCATACGTTGGCTATCTACTTCTTTCTTTATTTAGTTCTGCCAGCGTAAAATATTTGGTCAAATTTATTTGATAGGAATTGAATTTAACTTTTATACCAGCTGATTAACTACCATGCAGTAAAATAAAATAACTACTATTAATATGACGTAATTTCCTCCAACTATTTCGCAACGAATTACCCATCCTATTTTATGAGTTTTATTGGATGTCTTTTAATTAGTTAGGTCACAATCATCATCGTCGTCAATATCACAATGAAATCAAATAGAGAATTTTTTAAATTTTTGAAAAAGTCTCTTTATTCATTTTACGATGCTACTTTGTTCAATAAGATACTGTTTGATACATATAACTATAACTTTTTACTTATGTAAAATGAATTTTTTTATTTTGCGTAAAATTTATATTTTACAAAAATTAAAATTAATTAACAAATGCAATTTTATTAATCACTTATGATTTTTATTGTTTTGTTTTTGTTAATATTGTATCAGCTTCCTATATTTTTGAAGCAGGCTGGTTGCTCGTTGTTGGTATCACTAACGTCTTCTATTGTCTCTTCGCTTTAGTTATTTCATAAGGTTTTTCTCTGGTGCCAGGAGTCTGTCGAAAATGAAATATCGCAGAGCCAGTCACGCTGGTTCCTGGTACAAAGCCAACGGTTCGTTATTTTTTTCTTTCTACTTTTGACGGTTTTCACTAATCTTGCACTTTTCTTGTACATGTCCTAGTAAAAGCAGTAAATTATAAAGTCTTTCTTTTCTTTAGTTGTTTAGTTCATTTAATTAATGAAACAAACCCCTACCCTAAAAAATCGGTCCGCAATTCTAAATTAAATACTAAGCTAAGCTCATGCTTGTCATATAAAAAATTTGAGATAATTGAACATTTAATTTTTAATTAATATTAAATTAATAAAATCAAAAAAGCCAAAGAGCTGAATGAGGATTTGGCAGGTTGGTTGGAAGATGCACCATCATCACACTGGCCAGCTCGAGCTATCATTGGCCCGTATGTGGTTCAACTTATTATTAATACACAATATTATGTATACACATATTTATTAGAAGACACACTGAACATATTGAAATACACATGCATATTCGCATATACATATAGGCACTGAAATACATACACCAACACATGTGCTAAAATTAGCGTACAAACATATGACGTTGACACCAACAGTCACGCAGGTTATTCGTACAGTGGACCATGTGCAGCTCATGCTTATAAACAAATTGATCCAGACAACATGTAATTATTCTACATTTCAAATTTCATCTTTCATACATGACTTTATTATTTTTAAATTTTTTTACTAATTTATTATTATTATAATAAATAAATATTTTTTAAAATTTTATTATAGTGAGAGGATCTTTCTTCTTGGTCCTGCTCATCATATCCGTTTGAATGGCTGTGGAATGACCTCTGCCAAGTTTTATTGCACACCATTCTACGACATACTTATCGACCATGATGGTTGTGATGATGGTGGTTTTGGTTGTGATGATGTCGTTGGTTGTGATGATGATGATGATGTTGGTGATGATGATGATGTTGGTGATGATGATGATGTCTCAAATTAAACAATCAACCAGTTAATCCCTTAGTCTACAATTAGCCACTTGAACTAGCACACATGAAATTAAAAATTAATCAGTTATTTATGATCCAACTAATCGGTCAACCAATCATTCATTCTCAAGAAATAAATCAATCAATCACTTTATCAACACCTACCCTCCTACACACACACACACACACACGTTAGTCTATCAAGATTTAAGATCATTTACTGAGTTTGGTTTAATGGGCCAAGAAGTTGATGAGGATGAACATAGTCTTGAGATGCATCTGCCTTTTATTGCAAAAGTCATGGAAAAGTATGTAATTGTAGTGATTGATTGATTGATTGGTTGATTGACTGGTTGATTGATTGGTTGGTCGGTTAAATGAAAAAGTTACTTTTTAATTACAAATGACCAAAGTATTATATTATAATTACACTGATAATTATAGTCATAATTACGATCAAGGGAATGATACATTAAATAAAAACGTCATCTTCAACCAAACAAATCATAGTAGGCCGTTCAAACTCGTGCCAATACTAGTAGGAAATCTTACATTGGAGAATGAAGAGTTGTTTGGTAAAATGTTCTCAAAGTACCTACTTGATCCTGCCAATCTCTTTGTCATATCCTCTGACTTCTGCCACTGGGGTATGTTGAATGAATGGAGGAAGAAAAGAAGGAATTGATGGATGAATGTATGATATTAAATTTATACCGAGTGAATGAGTAGGCGAGTGGTTGGTGGATGTGTAATTTTACGCGGTAAAAGAGTGCGTAAATGAATGATTGGAAAATTTTTTACATGCATATTTTTCATTTCATAACCTCGCCTGCCAGGTTCGAGATTCAAATACACCCCGTACGATCAGAGTGCTGGTCAAATCTGGGAGTCAATAAGAAAACTTGACAAACAGGTTGCGTATGTCTTGATTGAGAGAGAGAGAGAGAGAGAGAGAGAGAGAGAGAGAGAGAGAGAGAATGACCAAAACAGCCAGCATCGTCATCATTTTTACTAGAATAATCATTACAGCCACCATTACACTAATTTCAGGGTATGAAACTCATAGAGTCACTGAACCACAAAAAATTTCACGACTATCTGAATGAAACCCACAATACGATCTGCGGTCGTCATCCTATTGGCATACTTCTAGCTGTTTGTATATATATGTGCTACGTTTCTTTCGTAAATATTTTGTTCAATCCCATCTAAGTTATCAGACTGTTACCTATTCTTTACCGAATTTTTCAACTTAAATAGAAAGAGTACCATCTGATAACTTAGATCGAATTCGACGAAACTTGCGAAAGAAAATATTCTGCATAAATCTACTGATTTATTTATATGTGTGTATTATAGATACGTGTGTTTGTATATCATGTGTACATGTTCTTAACATAAATACTAACTTAAAAACTAACCCCATGTTACATTTTCGAACAGGCTATAGAAGAGGCACAGAAGCAATCGTCTAGCAGCAGCGGCAGCAGTAGCAGCAGCAGCAAACCACTGAAGTTCGATTTGAAGTTTATCAACTATGAACAATCGAACAGATGCAGATCAATGAATGATTCTTCCGTCAGTTACGCGGCCGGCGTTTTACTAATTGGTTGACTAGCTAATATCTTTTCCTAAAATTAGGGCGGTACTTTTGTGCTAATTATCTAAAAGTAAAATACCCTCTTTGTATCATATTAATTAAAAAAAATTGCTTTTTTTGACAAATTTTCATCCTGTTTGACTCTGAATTTCTGTTTAGCAAAATTGTATGTGCAAAAAATTTTTGTCTTTTTTTTCGTTTAATACTTTGCTATATTTATTTTATAATGTTATATCACGTTAGATTGCTATCTTTCTAGAAATGTATTTGATATTTAATTTATTTAGTTATAAATTTGTTAAAACATGTCTGTTAAACATTGCGAAATCATACTATGTATAACGAATTATTACGACATATATACAAGTTACATTGCGTGTGTGTGTAACTCGAGTAGTAGTGTTTCCATTATAAAACTTTGTCGTTTCAAATTAGTTCTTTTTCATCTTAAATATTTATGCACGCGCGTGTGTGTTTGCAAACACGAAATTTAATTTGATAAAAAGATAAAAATTTCAATTCAAGCCATGTTCTTATATCTACATGACATAATTCAACATGCGAGAAACTATCTATTATTCAATCAACAAAATTCCTAAAAAAACGGACTAGCTAATTGTTAAACAAAGAACGTATTAATCAGAATCAAATCCATTGACCAATCAATCTCTATCGTAAGGAATGTCTTGAATGAGTTTAGTGATTGAGCAACTGAGCTCTTTAGAAGAGGAGCAGAGAACTTTTCTTGCCAGCAAATCAACTGGTGAACCTACAATTTTCGCAATACTAATTTTATGCCTGTTATACGACCGAGCAAGATGATTTTGAATTCATGGTAAAAAAAAGGCATACATACGTACATAAACAGACGTACACAGACCATTAAGGAGAGGGAAACCCACAGACACACGCACGCACACAAAAACAAACCATCAGTGCTAAAGACGACACCTCCAGCCTCCTTAACGATAATCTCCCCAGCTGCAAAATCCCAGATGTGAGGCCCAAACTCGAAGTAGGCGTCTGCCCTACCACAGGCAACGTAACACATGTTCAAGGCGGCCGAGCCCTGGCAACGGATGCTGCGTTCGTGTTGGTGACAAAGAGCAGAGGAAGAGGGGTTAGTGAGAATTGAGAAGGAAGTTGGTGTAAAATGAATGCTAATGCCTAAATGGTGGATGTGCCTTTCTAGTTGGTGTGAAATGGATAAGTTGCGAATGAGTTGATGTTAAACAGTGTTGCTAGTCAACTTCTAATCTCTACTTCTAATCAAAAAGATTTTGATTAGAAGTAGAGAGAGAAAGAACATTCATTACCCATGAGCTTTCTCAATGATTTTCTTCATGTTATCAAACTTAACAGTCAGGGTTGCGTCGTCTCTACTGGAACCAATTTCTGCACACACAAGCGCATCTTTCAGCTCTGATGAATTATTATTGTTATCATTGCTATTTACTTGTACATTGCCACTATTATTATCTGTTATTGTTATTATTACTATTTGTGACCTTTGACCTGAGAGACTGAGATCTTGTTTCCATTCAGAAAGGCACCCTGACCACGTTTGGCTGAGAATATTTCATTGGTCACTGAATTGTAGACTATGCCAAACTCAATCTTTGTAAGAAATTACATTGTATTTATTATGATAATGAAAGAATGAATGAATAAAAGAGTAAAAAACAGAAAAAAATCAATAATCTATACTCACAACTTTGTTCACCATTAGAGCAAGCGAAATACAACAGAATGGAAACCTTTAAATTTAAAACAAAACTACAACCAATAATGATAAACAGTATTCAGGAATGTTAATAGAAATTTATATTTAGTACTATTATAAAGATTATTATATTTAATATTATTTTATAAAAAATTCATTAACTTATGCACAAAATTAGTGGTGCCATCTATGGGATCAATAATCCATGTTGGAGCATCGGTTAGAATTATGTGTTGACCTTTCTCTGCCGAAGCTGACTCCTCTCCTATGAAGCTGTAATTACATTTTTTACCCATAATTATAACATAATATAATTATTATATTAATATAATATAAACTTTATAATATAATAAAGACAGATCATAAAAATTATTATTAAAAATGATTAATAATGCTATTATAATATTATTATTACCAATGATTTTGGAATTTTGATTTCAAGTGGTTGATAACTAATTTCTCGACTGCCTGATCAGTTTCTGTGACCAGATCAGCAAAGTTCTCCTTGACAGACACTTCTTTGTTCTCAAAAAAACCTTTCCTAATTACCTTAGTAGTTAGTATTTTAATTGGTTAAATAATTAATTTAGAGAGCAAAGCTCAAACAAATTTAAATTTTGGTATCTGGTTTTTTAAATGAATATTTTGCAATTCAGATGAGAGTAAAGTTATTTAAAGAAATATTATTCCACAAAAAATCTGACTGATAACACATGATAACATCATGATCATACCATGACATGAGAAATGAACTTGGGTACTTACTTATCAAACTGCAAATCAAAAGAAATTTAGTTCACTTACCTCCCCAGATTTCAAAACGATGTCATAAGCCTCCTTTATGAAGTTATCCAAACACTCACTTGAAGACGCCATTTTATTTGATTATTGTATAAACTTAAATTGCTTATTGTAATAAAGAAAAAACTTGGTTACCTTACCGAAATAATTTCGGTAAATAAATATCGAGGAAGGCGAGGGATTTAAAATTTAAAGAGCAAAGTCGTTTTATTTATGGAATACCAAAACTATTTTTAAAATATCATTCACCTGAATCCATATAATTAGAATAAATATAACGGCCTTCGCTCATTTTTGAGCATATAGCAATGATTACTGTTGTTTTTATAACGAATATATAAAATATATAAATATAGCGAGCAAAATTTTAACATAAAAGCGCTTATAAATCTATGCATATTGGCTCAGCTTAGCTTGGCTCGGCTTGGAATCGGATGTTAAGCAAGGTGTGGTCTCAAACTATTTTGAATTCTCCCCAAAAAATTTGAACTGCTTGCGTAAATATATAATAATGGCTGCTGTTGTTTTTTATGATGAATTTATAAAATATGTAAATATAGCGAGCAAAATATTAACATAAAAGCGCTTATAAATCTATGCATATTGGCTGTTGTTTTTTATAATGAATTTATAAAATATATAAATATAGCGAAATATTAACATAAAAGCGCTTATAAATCTATGTATATCTCAGCTTGGTTTGGCTCGGCTTGGAATCGGATGTTAAGCAAGATGTGGTCTCAAACTATTTGGAATTCTCCCAGAAAAATTTGAACTGCGTGCGTACATATATAGCACTGATTACTGTTGTTTTCATAATGAATTTATAAAATATATAAATATAGCGAGCAAAATATTAACATAAAAGCGCTTATAAATCTCTGTATATCTCAGCTTGGCTTGGCTTGGCTCGGCTTTATAAAATATTTAAATATAGCGAGCAAAATTTTAACATAAAAGCGCTTATAAATCTATGCATATTGGCTCAGCTTGGCTTGGCTCGGCTTGGAATCGGATGTTAAGCAAGGTGTGGTCTCAAACTATTTTTAATTCTCCCCGAAAAATTTGAACTGCGGGCGTACATATATAGCAACGATTACTGTTGTTTTCATAATGAATTTATAAAATATATAAATATAGCGAGCAAAATATTAACATAAAAGCGCTTATAAATCTATGTATATCTCAGCTTGGCTTGGCTCGGCTTGGAATCGGATGTTAAGCAAGGTGTGGTCTCAAACTATTTGGAATTCTCCCAGAAAAATTTGAACTGCGTGCGTACATATATAGCACTGATTACTGTTGCTTTTATAATGAATTTTTATTATATATATATATATATATATATAAGGTGTCTGGAATCCATGTATACAAAGAATTAATAAGATGATATGTTTATATGAAAAGCAATATAGCAGGCGTTCGTTCGATGACTTCAATTTAGTACGGTTAGCATTGTTGTTAAGACTGTATAATAGTGCAGTATATACATTAAATAAGTTTTTTACTGATGCGAATGATTGAAATTATGAGCATGTATGGTTGAAACGAGTATAAATAGAGGAGCTGAGACAACATGAAAATGAGATCAGGCATTCTGCCTCGCTTGAAGCAGTCTGCCTGATCTCATTTTTTTTATTTTTAATTTATTTTTATTTTTATTTATTTTATTATATAGAGTTATATAGAGTTATATAGAGTTTGCGTGTTTGTAGGTGGTTTGAATGTTTGTAGGTGGTATTTTTTTAAATTTTAGGTGGGTTCTTTAGCGGTTGTTCATACATACATACATACACCATGTTTGTTTGTGTGGTAGTATTTTATGTTCTGTTTTACTCCTTTTTCTCTTTCTTCATGAGTCTTGAGTTAAGTAAATTAAACATAGGTAGGTGAGATTGAGATTAATTTTTTATATAGGTAGGCTAAGGCATAAGGTAATTTATTTACATAGGTAGGTTAGGGACTTCTATTCTTTTACTCTGCTTGGTGT